AACAAAGGCCAATTTCTTGGTGATATCTCCTAAGGAGGGCATGGGGAAATTTGTCAGAACTGAGCCAAAGAACTGAGAGGGGGGAAAAAGAAAGAGGAAAGAGCAGGCAATATGTCTGCATTCCCTCCTTTCAGATTTGGGGTTCTGGGGTGCTGTTATGCCCCCTCCTCGCTTTCGGAATATGCAGAGATGAGAGAGCGCGAGAAAGGAGGGAGAGGGAGGAAGGGAGGGGTGCGTATGCGGAGAGGGAGGGGGAGGGAGGGAAGGAGGGGGAAAGCAAAGAAGGGAAAATTCCCTCGGCTACTTGTTATAACATTTCTCCAGGAGGTTGGAGGGAAGTTGAAAGCCTCGGTAACCGAAATCAAAACTAACAAGGAAATGATCTGCGCTTCTCATCTGGGCCCCGGCTCCTGGGGGCCTGCGGGGGGAATCTGCTCGCTTCCTCTTTGATTTGTAAAAAATGCATTACCTCCCAAATCAAACGGAAAATTACTGTAACCAAGGAGGAGAGGCCGGGAGCTGGCGGGGCTCGGGCTGAGGAGAGCGAGGAGTGCGTGGCGGGGGGGGGGGGGGGGGGGGGTGCCTTGGTGGCATCCTAGAGGACAGGGGCAGACTTGGGGATCCCGGGAGAGAAAGACGGGGTGCTCTCACGGAGAATGGGAAGAAGGGGTGCGGGAGGCCCCGCGTTGTGTGGGGGGGCGAGGGGGCTTGGAAAGGGCCGCGCCTTGGACGGAGCTGTCCGTGGCGCTGGAGAGAGCGAGCCGCGGCGGGGTCCAGGCGGGGTCCGGGGTCCCTCGCGGCTTTCCCAAGCACCCATCGATGCGCCCTCGGTATCTTGTTCAACCAGACGGTTCGTTTTTCATTTTAAACTGGCTCAGTCCCAAATCTCCCGACCAAATACACCTGATGGTGGGTCGTCTTCCCACCATGGCGCCCCCCCTTTCTCCCTCCCTCCTTTCTTCCCCCTCCTCCCTTTCTGCCCCCTTTCTCACTTTCGGGCTAATTATATTCCTTGTGTCGCCTTTTCCCATCCGCCCCCCTCCCCCGCCGCTCTTTAGACAGTCTCGCTAAATTTCTGGATCCTTTCCTATTTCATGCAGACCGTATCTCTGCGTGTCTGTGGCAAGTGTCACGCTCTCCGTGTTTATAAAGAAAGGGGCACACACGGAGACCATAAATGGGGAGACAGGCACGTGTGCACAGAGGTCTCCTGGATGAATCCGCTGTTAGTTCGCGGAGGAAGGCCAGACGCGCCCAGCTCCCACCTAGTCTAGAGAGGAGAAGCGCACAGTAGTCTTTCCGCAGAGCGCCGGCTGGAGCGCATCGCGCCCCGTTCAGCCCGGCAGCCTGAATCAAAGTTTTGCCGCTTTAGCAAATATGACTTCCATGTTTGCCCTCTCTCTGCGAGGGACCTTCCATTCAGGTCCTCCTGAGTCCACAGTCACGGGGGTTTGAATGGCTGCTCTCAGCTTCTCTTCTTCCACACGACCACCACCACCCGCCTTTAATTCATGGGTGCGCAGAGGGCGGTGAAGGAGGTCTCAGCGTCGGAGAAAGGCCCGCAACCTTGTGGGCACCCGTGCAATTTCCAGCATGTATCGCGAGGCAAGAACGGCATGTCTGCCTTCTCGTGGAGCCGTGGGAGGGAGGGGGGAGGGGGGGTGAGCACACTGGACGTGGCAGGAGTGGAGTGAGTGGGTTTCACTGGGTGAGACCAGGGGAGCACCCTCCCCCCCCACCCGTCTCTCCTCGGTTTAATTTCCCTGTTCGTGGCGGGTTTCTCTGTCGCCCTTCCTCCGTCTGATGCTGCCGGTGATGGAACCGGAGAGCCGAGGAAGTACTTCTAAGCAAACACCCCCCCCCCCCAATGAAGACAAACAAACCCGCGCCGGGGCCCCCGGGCCGGGTAACCCTTTAAGCTGCCTTCTCTTATGCGGCCCGGACTTGGCGAGAGGTGCCTGGAGCTTGGATTGCGCCCCCGCCCAATCCCATCGCCATCACCGCAGCCTCCTCGACCTCCCCTCCTTTCTAGCGAGTCTCGCAGCCGGCTGGGGAAGGGGCGCGGTGGGGAGGGGGGAGAAAAGAGAGCGAGCGAGCCACGGAAGGAAGGAGTCGAGAAACAGTAGAGAAAGTGCAGCGTGTGAACAGAGAGGAGGAGGAGGAGAGAACCTGACACGGGATAAGGGGCGGGTGTGGAAGCGTTCAGGGGAGAAGACGAGAAGAGGAGGGGACCTGAAAGAGGAGCTCTCTATCCCACAAGAGGGACCAGGGAGGCGAAGGAAAGAACGTGGGAAAGCGGCCTGGAAGGGGGATGAGGGAAAGGCGCGTCAGGACACCGTGCAAGGGAAGCCTGTGGGGAAAGGGACCGTGAGAAGGACCCGGGCAGGATTAAAAGGGGGCAAGAAAGAAGCAGGCAAGGGAGGCGAAAGCAAGAACGAGCGGCTGGCGGAGAGGAAGGAGGCTGGGAAGTTAGAGAAGGGACCGAACAGGAAGAAGCGGGGAGGGGAGGAAAGAGGGGGTGCGAAAGGCATCGAGGAGGAAAGCCAAAGAGATGGAAAAGGACGGAGAGACGGGAGGAGCGTGAGAAAGGCAGGAAGGAAGGAAGGAAAAGACAGACAGGCAGACAGGCACGCACGTTCCCGCTCCCTCTTTTGTGTCCGGGAGGCGAATCCATAAGTGATGCGGCTCCCCGGCCCGCGTGTCACTCGCCAGGCGCCGAGCGCAGTCGCCCATGGCACCGGCTCCGCCGCGGTAATTATCTGACAGCCCGGCCAGCCGCGCTCTCGGCCCGGGGCTGGCTGGAGGGGAAGGGGAGGGGGCGAGGAAGGAGGCGCGCTCCAGCCAGCAAGCGGAAGGGCTGAGAGAGGAGGGGGCTTCTGGATGGCTCCCAAACCAGGGAGGGAGTTGCCCCCGCTCTGGGCGCCAAGATAATTCCCCGGAATGAAAACGTGGTGGGAAGAGGTAAGAAGGAGCTTGACGCTGTGCTGGGGCGCTAACGGGGGTGGGGTCCGTGCGGAGAAGGGGAAGCGGCAAGAGCGGTGGACGACGAAGGGTTAATGCAACTTAATAGGGTAAACTGAGCATGCGCTCCGTGCAGGGGGGTAGAGGAAATATTTGAGGGGGTGCAAACACCCGTGCTCTGTTATTTGGTTCCCTTATTTCCCTCTTCGCCTGCTTGTAAGTTGTAAGCTCCTGGGGGCCGAGACCTACTCTTCCTCATTTCCTCCTTATTTAAAGTCTTTGCTCGTGGCGCTGGAAAAATTATAGCGATCGTGTCGTTAAAAGGAACAAGGGTGCGGCGGGGGGGGGGGACACTCATAGGGTCCGGGGGGGGGGAGGGGGGGAGTCTGAAGGTCTTAGTGTGCTTGGAGCAACTCAGAGTTGCGTGAGGCTGATGGAGGCCTGACTCCCCCCACCCGCTTTTTGTGAAAGCAGCTGACCGGGAGTGTTTGTTCGTGGGGGTCTACATTTTGAAGTCTGTGCATGAATTTTTGGGGGGGCTGAAACGGGGGGAGACTGGGGCTGATCAGTGTAGGAAGGGAGCAGGGACTGTCCCCAGTTTGGGAAGAAGGTGGCTGTGGGGGGGGGGCGTCTTTGGCATGCCCCCTCCTTTCGTGGGTTGATGAATTTTCAGGGTAAACATGCTTGAATAAGCGACCCCCACCGCTGGGGGTACCTTGGAGCGGGGGCATCGGCCACCACCCGTAAGCCCCGCTGGAACGGTGCTCCTTCATCCCCAGAACTGCTTTCCCGTTTCTGTCTGGCTCTGACTTGCGAGGAGGGTTGGAGAAACGGGACCTGGCTGTTTGGAAGGCAGCAGTACAATCCCCCCAGCCCTTTACAGGGACGCGCGTTCAGGGGTTGTCAAAGTGAAGTTGGGCAACTAGACCGGGGTCCGTGTTATGAAAAGAGACTGCGCTATATCGCTCAAAATAGCAGCCAAAACTTTAGTCTCCCTCTCCCTCTCCCTCCCTCCCTCCCTCACACACACACACGGCCACAGAGAAGCATGTGTGCACAACATCGCACTCACGTAAATGTGCACGCACACATCCGAACGCATGCAAGGAATGCGTGCACACAAGCCTCAGAACACCGGATCCCTTAAAGAGTACAGGCGACCGCATTTGGGCGCACGGACACCTGCAGTCCCAGCTGCTGCGAGAGCGAATCCCCCGGACTGACGCTCCCTGAGGCTTCCCTGGGGGTCCGTCTCACTCGGCCCTGTGGGTCTCCAAACCCTTTTACACAATCCAGGGGAGCAGAACCAGGATCTCAGCGAGGGGCGCAGCGCCAATCCCGGATGCGGCTGCACGCAGTGAGCCCGGCGCTTGCTCGCACACACGGCTTCGCCGCGCGCTCACACTGCGCACTTTGTCAGGGGCACGCGTAAAAACGCAACGGGCGAGCCCGGCTTATTTCCCGGAAGGGGCGTTCTGTGTCTATCCCATTCCAAGTATTCCAGAATACTTGAGGTGTGCGGAGAAGGAGGCAAACTTCCAGCAGCGGAGGGCCAGCGGGAAGGGGAAAGGGAAGTGCTTCGCCGGGGCGGCGGCGCCGCGCTCTCCCCACCCGCCGGGCGCGCAGGCTGCTCCGCGCGCTTCCGAGCCGCGGGAGACGGCGGCGGAGACACGAGCGCAGGCCGCGCCGGGCCGGAGTGGAAGACCGGGCGGGCGCGCTTTCCCCCTCGGATCTGGCCCCTGAAGGGAGCCTCCGCGTGGGAAGGGGGCGCTGGAACTGCGGGGGATCCCGCTTGCGTCTGAAGCTCCGGGGACAGCCTGCCTTAACTTTCTGCTTCTCTTTTTCTCCCCTCTTTATTTACACCTTCCCTCCCGCTTGCAAACTCGTTCCTTCTCATGCGCGCGCTCTCTGCGGTCATCCGGCTGCCGCGCACAACCCCTCCTCTCCCTCTCCCCCCCCCCCCGCCCCCCCAACCCCGCGCTCCTTCCTCCCACGACCCCCCGCGCCCCGTTTCTCTGCAGGTCTAACCTTCCCTCGCCATGGACTGTAATTGCGTCTCGGACTTGCTGCTCACCTCTTCGCTTCCAGCTCTCTGGACTCCAGGTAACGTTGCCTGCGTTTTGCCCGAGACCTCCCCGCCGGTCCATCCGGGCTTTACTTCTCGCCCCATCGCACAACGGAGGCCCGCGGGGCTGGTGGCGGGGAAGTGGGCGACCCACGCTTCTCCTCTCTTGAAACTCGGAGAGAGAGTCGGCGAGGCTTGAGCTTTCGCGCTTACAAATCAAGGAGGAGCAGAGTTACCCGGAAACGGAGGTACCTCGTCCCTGGAGCCTCCTGGAAGAGTCCCGTCCCGTCCCGTCCCGTCCCGTCCCTCCCTCCTGCGGTTTCTGGAGCCCTGGGTCCCTTTCCTAATACTCCTTAAATACAAAAGAAAGTGCTCAAACGGCCTGGAAGTCGCTGGCAGGTCCCGCTTAGGTCCTTTCTTACGTCCTATCCCTACCTTCCTGCAAGGAGTTCAGGGCAGAAGGGGCTGGTGATGAACATCAGCTTTGCACGCAGAAGGTCCCGGGTTGGATTCCTGGCAGAAGCCGGCCTGAAACACTGGGGAGCAGCTGCCAGTCAGTGTCAGCATCACTGGGCTACATGGACTAAGCATCTCTCTCTCTCTCTCAAAGACAGCTACCAATAGCTGTAAGTGGTCCCCCCCCCCGTTTTATCCACATAACAACCCTATGAGGTAGGTCAGGCGGGGGTACGGTAGTTGGCCCATAGTTACCCAGGGAAGTTCATGGCTTGGTGAGCTCTTGAGTGCAGCCTCAGTCAGACACAGAACAGGCCTCCCGCAACCTGGCACCATCCAGCTGTTGGACTCCAACTCCCATCTTCCCCAGCCAGCATGGCCAGCAGTTTCCCCAACCCAGCACCCTCTGTATGTGTTCGACTGCAACTCACGCTGATCAGAGCCACTGTGACTCATGCATGTGTTGGCTGAGGGGTGATGGAAATTGTAATCCAATACATCTGGAAGAGGTACAGTGCTAAGAGGGGGAACAGAAGGAAGAAGCCTTTCTCTTTCTCTGTCACAAACACACACCATATTCCAGAGCAAATGTGAACAGATTTCAAGGTGACTTTACCCTCATCCAGTTCTGTACCATACCAATCAGAAGTTTCAGCCTGAAATTAAAACCCACCTTCTACCCAGATTCCTTAGAATCCAAATGGGTGAAACTTTTCCATGGCTGTTCAGTGGTGAAGGGACTCTGTTCATTCTCTGAAGCCACAAGTTCCTTTCTGCTTTATTACTTTGACTAGTCCAGTGCTGAGCATCAAAAGCAGGTTGTTGGACCTGGAGGCCAGTGGCTCAGAGAAAGCCCTGGGGCACGAGAATCCACTGGTGGATTCTTCAGCATGCGTCCCTTTTGAAAGAAAGAAAGGTTATAATTGCACAATTCACATCTGTTTCAATGCAGGAGAACTTCCTGGAGGTGATTGCACCCCCTTTTAGTTAGTGGAAGTGAAATGTCCATTTAGACTTTGCTCCAGGCCTTTGAACATCTGGGGTCAACCACATTTCTTCCCTTCCAGCAGGCCTCTGCTTGTAATAACCACACAGATGTCACTTGCCCTTCCTTTGGCCTCCTGACCCATTGCTGGCCACTTTTAATGGCAAGGTTTAAGTCTTGCAACTTGTAGACGACAGAGGGTTTCTGAGCATGCACAAACTGCTTCACTCACCCACTCAGCTCCCCCAAACTCCTATGCAGGGAGAAGGACTTCCAGATAGAAAAACTTTGGCCTTTCAGGTGAGTGTGAAACTCACTATTCTGATAGTGAGTTTTACCATCACTGTCATTACTGTAGAGGTGAAATGAGTATCGACAGATATTTGACATCTGTCAAACTGCAGGTGCCGATAATGACGTTTGGCATGCAAAATTCCATTTGGAACATTCAGATTAGAAAACTTGAGATAAAAGGACGACTATACTTATATCCTGCCTTTTTCTTGCAAGGGTTTACATAACTTGATTTGCCTCTCCATTTTTATCCTCACAACCGTCCTGCCAGGTGAGAGCCACTGCATGGCCCAGAGTTTCCAACAGATCTTCTGCATCTAGCCTAGCACCCAAAACTCTACACCACGTGGACTTTCTTGGCCGTCTCAAGTTATGAGTGCTTCAGGCTAGCTGGCATCTCTTGGATGTCTGGCTACTGACTGGTGTCAGATAAAAAATCACATAACCTCTCCATTGTCAAAAGAAAGTGCATTGCTTGACAACTATCAAATGCTAACCCCACTGCAGGTTTATATATTTTAAAAGTCAAAGGTTGAAACCAGCAGTAGGATGCAAAACTATGCATGGTTATTTATGTGTTTATATTTCTATCCCACCTTTTTTCCTGTCAAAGAACTCAAGGCAGCTCTCCAAAGCTTCCTCTTCATTTCAATTTTACCTTTACAACAACCCTGTGAGGTAGGTGAGACTGAAAGTCAGTGACTGGCCGGAAGTCACCAATTATTGCACAGGCCTTTTCTGTCTAAACATGCTTAGAGTATGGGATTTAAAGTAGTCATATGCCAGTTTGAAGCGGTGCTGACAGGTGCTTGACTGGGAATCAGATCTATTCCCCATTCTGCCATGAAGCCCATCAGTTCTGGCTTTTAGGCTAACCGACCTCCCAGGGTTGTTGTGAGGATAAAAGCAAGAAGAGGAGGACTGTGAAAACTGCCTTCATTCCTTGCAAGAGAAAAGAAGCAGGATATAAATGTCATATATTAATAACTATAATTTCATAGGGTCTCCTCTAAGGCTGGATCCAGTCCTCTGTGAGTATGTGTTTATCCTGCATATGTGTGCCTCATTTTTTAATGAATTCCAAACAGTCTACGACAATTAATAATACAATGCCAACAGCAATGTTAAATTTTAAAAAGCTTGCAGTCCCAAAGAGTAAAAAGCAAGCGGCAGGGGGGAAAATCCTCTTCCCTGCCTTTTGGAGCAGCAGAAAAAAAAGAAATATAACCAAGAACAGGGCAAGCACCTCCCTAAACAGCCACATCTTAAGTAGGCACAGAAAAGAAAGAGGTGAGCAATTCTTCTCCGTATTCCCATGTACCCTGTTTGTGTTGGAGTGAGGAATCCAAGGCAGAAGCCCTGCTGTCAGCTGGGGTACCCCGAAAGAAATCAACCTGTCCTTCAGCGCCCATCTCCTGAGTTGATTGCATGCCAGCTACCCAATACCATCAAATTTCACATCCTAAGATACTTATTTGTTTAAAAATCTATATGCCGTTCTTCATTTCTCAATTCAAATAGTATGGATCGAATATCCAGCAGCTCTGGGGCAAATATCTGAATTGTCAGAGAATGTCTGTTAAATATAAAACATCCAGATTCACCACAGTGAATTTTACAAGCTGATTCATTGTGGCTCTGAAGTGGGGAAGATCCGATGGAGGCGAGAGCAGAACCCAGAGCAGAGCCATCTGGACACTGGGGTTGCCCTCTCCCAGTCCGCCATAAACAAACAGACCTTCTCAGACCTGCTGGTTTCACACAGCTAATAACTACAGCCTCCCCCTCTCTGCAGCAAAATCTCCCCCAAGGGGGTAGACAGCTCTGGAGTTCGTAGCTCCAAGCTGAAGGCTGCGGGGCAAGCGTCACAATCAAAGGAGCTCTTTTTAACCGCAGGCCACTCTTTTCCATGCTGGGCCTCAGAGGACAGGAGGCTTGCATGTTTCATTAGCCAGCTGACTGCACTGCTTTCCCCCCACACACTTAGGCTGAAATCACGGCAGGACAGGCAAACAAGCAGCCCGGTTCTGGAGACGAGGAGGCAGAAACGAGCCCGTCTGTGCAGTTTTTGCATGTGTGGGTCATGCTTTCGCCAAGGCGTTCAGGGCAATGCATGTGCGTTCTCTGCTGTCCCTGTTTTAACTTCTGGACCGTCCTCAGTCGCACACCGATGCCTGCCTCGTGGCCATCCAGTCGGTTTCCCAGCTGGAGCAGGGTTCTGAACCCGAGTTTCCACTCTCAGCTCAATGCATTTGTTAATCCCAGCACCAAGCTGATCACCTTTGCAGAATAGGAATGGCCACCACAGTCACACAACCGTCGCCACCACTTCAAAGCTCCAGGCACTCTAGCTCCAAATGCACACGTGTTTTGCTTCTTGCCTTGATGCAAAGGTGGGTTCCTTTAAAAAGGAGTTTAAGTTGGGCCCCATACAGGCTTCTGCATGCGCAAATTTGGTCTTTTTGCAATCAGTGTGGATCCAAGCACTTCTGGTTAATTAGGGAAGAATTTCCTAAGAGATCTCCAGACAGAGAAGATGTGACTGATGGGGCAGAGATGGCCTGAGGATAGCTTCCTGGAAGGACAACCTCTGAGATGATCAAAGCACTGGAGCAGCTCAGCCAGGAGGAAAGGCCAGAGTGCCTAGGGCTGCTTAGTCCAGAATGGGGTGGGACTCTCCAGGTCTTTTAGCCCACAGCCCCTGTAAGACCTACTCGGCTTAGCCAACACTAAGGCGAAATGCCCAGAGAGCCACAAGCCGGCTGTCAGTGAGTAAGCAGGACTTGAGTGCGGCGCAGAACATTATGTCTGGCGACTTTCCCATGACGCTGGCGCTTGTCCTGCTGCCCTGGTGACCAGCTTGTGAAACTCTCAGGGGCGTGTGGTTCCCTACTGTGGGAAACTGGGCAGTGGCTTAAGGCAACAGGTCCCTTCTTAAGATCTTGCTTCTCTTTCCACAAATAATGCAGTTGGATTTACCTGCCCACTTTCCCTCTGGAACAGAGGTTTCCAAACCTTTTGCCTGCCATTCCTCTTTCTGTTGAAGGAATGGAGTGGATCGCCAGGGATGCTCTTGCCTTGCACGCTGCCTGCCCGTGAAGCTGCTATGTCCATTAGATCGTCCTATGGCACCCTGTGAACAAAAAAGGACACTGATTTACATGAAACTTGTCTAGGTGGCTTCACAGGCACAGGTGAAAAGTTACCAAGAATGACAATTCCAGAAGAACTCTAGTGTGTCTCATTGCAGTGCGGCTGCAAAGCTCTTGAGCACAGGCCTGGCCATTCGGTCCGCTGCCCAGGAGCAAACCTGGTGGTGGAAACAGTTCCCAAAGTACAATCCTGGATGCGCTTAGACAGGAAGAAGTTGTTGGCTGGGGAACACGGGGACTTGCATGACTTCCTCTCATCCAAACATCCGCAGTTTTGTGTCTTTATGATTCTTGATTGTTAAAGGTCTGAAGAGTCCTTTAAACAGGGCTGCTCCCTGGCAGCCCTCCAAGTAGAAGGCGGCCTTCTGTAAAAGAGGCTGTCACAGCATCTGGTCTCCGAATGTCCCTGGAAGTGTCTGAAAAGTCACACTGGATTATTATCATAGCCACGTAAAATGGATCCCGAGAAATTTCCAGACAATTCAACAGTAGCAGTGGCCCTTCCTGGTTTGTCTTGCTTGATCTCACTGGAGCCGAGCCTAGCCTGGGACCCAAATCCACTCCTGGGGTTCCCCTGTGCTTCCTCCTCCCTGGTCCTCTCCCTTTCCCCAGATGCCTGGACATTTAGTGGCTTCCCAGCTTTGGGGCAATTTTTCCATCACTCTCTAAGGGCAGAACCAGCTGGTAGGAAGATGCGCTGTAAGCTGAAACAGGCTGGTACTTTTGGCTCACCCCTTTTGCTCTGGCCCTCCACCTGCCATGAGAGGGGCTATAAAACAGGCTGGAAGAGGTCCCCCAGCCCTGCCTGAAACCCACCACGCAGTGGGTCATGCTCTGCTGTGTCCATCCCGTTCCTACAGGGTTGGTAGTTCAGAGAAAAGAAGGATATGCAGCAGGACTGAAGCCGGCGAGCGGGACCACAGGTGGATGCCTGTGCAGGCCTTCCACGTCGCCCGTGGACATTGCATTATTGTCCTGCCATTTTAGGGGGCTTTCATTCACAGGCATGCCGTCAGGTGGGATGACACAACAACCAATGGGCAAAAGGATGCTACTTGCAGGATCCTCAAGCCTTCAGGTAGCCCGAGAGAGAGAAGGAACATGAGTCAACTCCAGTGCGATCAATGCAGGGGCTGGGAGGCCTCGAGGGTTCCGGGCATTGCAACCTGCATCTTGGGCCTCCGAAGGGAGCAGAGACTCTCACTTTGAGAATCGTGGCATGTGAGTGATGCATAGAGAGGCCACTGGGAGAGTGAATGTAATTTACTGCAAGGATGCCAAAGGTGCTCTGTGTAACTGAAAATCAAGGCATTGATCAGCACTTCATTAGGCTTGTTAATGATAGATTCATAGATAGAGGCACAGATCTGAGGAGCCCGACTTGACCTCTCCTGCGTAGAGGAGGCCAGAATACCTCCCTCAGCACCTCCTGCCTGAAGGTCCATCCCCCCCGAGCTGCAAAGCAAGCTCAGCTTTTAGCCGTGATTAATTAGTCGGGGTGGAGGTGATGGAGTTGGCTGTCCCGGTTCCTTGGAGATGCCCCTTTTCCAACACTGAGCCGGATTGTTATTAAAGCTGACTGGAGAATTAAATTCTGAAGGTGGACATAAATACCAGGAGCAAACCGTCTCAACTTCAGGAAAGAGACCTCAAAGGTCCTAGGCACCATTTTCTAGGTCGTGGAAGAAGAAAGTCATCAGTAGAGGTTTTGCTGTGAGCTCAAACTTTGTGTGTATGTATGAACATAAGTAGGAAAGGAGAGAATTAGAATTTATAGAAGCATTTTAAAACCCCCGACAACCCAAATGTTCCAAACTCAGTCATCTACCAGTCCAACAAGATTGTGCAGCTATTCCATCTTTTCCTTCTTGAAGGATTTATTTCCTTCATGGAAACAAAAATGATGGAAGAAATGGCAGACAATGAGTGGAGTCCCGTGAAATTCCAGCAGTGAGGCAGTATATATGCAGAACAAATTCCATATCTGGAAGCATTCGTACTCTGGCAATAGCTCTGCTTTATAAAATAGCAAATCTTCTAACTAGTGACAGGTGTGTTTCTAACTTTCTGTTTCCTCACAGAGAATCTTCTTCATATTCCGAACCGTATGCATGGAAACATACATTCTTTCAAGATTCATTTTAAATCTCAGCTACTGGTAGCCACCTTTTAAAGCCATACAAAACAACATGGACCAAAGACCTTCCACCTTCCGCTGCTGTTTAAACGGACATGAGAAGTCCTAGCAGAAACTTGGAAGTGGTCAATAGTTTGCCACCGTATCACTAGTTCAAATTGTTGTGTCCAAAAGAGGTAGCTGTTCTCCATCTGTTGGTGTTTACTCAGCAATAAATACATGTTTGCAGGATCATAACACTCTGAAAAACGGGCCAAGTCTCCAGCATAATCTACCACAAGGCTTGGTTCACCAAGGGCTCTAATCCAGCTTCCCCAAATGCAAATATTTGTGAAAACTGCAGTTGGCAAACATGTCTTAATGGAGGTCTATTCCCTCCAGTCTTTTGCGCAGGAGAGGAGATGACACTCCATGCTTGCTTTGGAAGTATCCTCCAAAAATAACACATGTGCGCAGATTTAACTGACCAAGCCTGGATTAAGGCTCAATCCAGTGCGATTGTGAGCAGAAGAAAGGCCTATAGCCCTCAGCAGTTTGGGTGCATGTGCACCAATTTGCATTCATGTAAAGATGAATGGGACTGTAAAGATGCAGTAAAGTTCTGGTTGAAAAAGTCCTTGTTCCTTCAGTGAGTGAATGGCAGAATAAAAGGCACCTGACAGTCTGTGAAACGTGGACAGGATGGATTCAGCGAACACTCTCATCCCTGGTGATCCACAACCCCTGCTGCCTCCAGCTGCTGCGACCAGTGGGCCTGTGGCTGGGGGAGCTTCAGTCCAATGCATATGGAAGGCACCAGCTTGCAGAATGTTGAGGTGCCAGTTCTCTGGGAACAGCCATTATTGTCCAGCCTGCCAAAAGCATTGGCTCCCTTCCAGACCACTGGCTACTCATTTACTCTCTCCTCCCTCTCTCCGTGGCAGGCTTTGCTTTCCCAGACTGGGCCTACAAGCCTGAGTCCAGTCCTGGCTCGCGGCAAATCCAGCTGTGGCATTTTATCCTGGAGCTGCTGCAGAAGGAAGAATACCAGAACGTCATCGCCTGGCAAGGAGACTACGGGGAGTTTGTCATCAAGGATCCGGACGAGGTGGCCCGGCTGTGGGGCATCCGTAAATGCAAGCCTCACATGAACTACGACAAGCTGAGCAGAGCCCTGAGGTGAGGCTTCGGGTGGGACGAGGGAGAAGGCTGCAGGATCCCCAGCCATGAGCGCTTGCCCGTTTCGGCACCGGGGCTGCTGGACAGCTCCCCAGGCTCAGCCGGCTGCCCCACACTCCTTGTGAAACCCACCTAGGTCTCCGGGCATGGGCCCAGCCTGGTTATTGCTTTATTCTCTCATATTCCATGAGAGACAGTCTGGCACAGTGGTTAGTCTCTTGGACTGAGACTCACTGAATGCCTTTGGCCAATCACAGACGCTCAGCCCCGTCTCCTTCAGAGGGTTGTCAGAAAGACAAAATCGAGAGCGGCACCAGCTTGCGTGGCCTCCTTGTATGGCAACTTGGGCCCCTCAGAGGAAAGGCAAGATATAAATGCAGTAATAATCATAACTGACAATTCACGGCTACTGCTGACATTCAGAAACAAAATAAGCCATCCATATATTCAAGAGGTTGACGCTGATTAATTATCTAACTTAAGACTCAGTCCTGCTGGCTGAGAAATGCTGGAACATATAGGATTTTTTCAATGCATAGGACTGCCCCCTAAGTAACTGGCTAGTGGATGCACAGGGGTGAGCCCTCCTTGCTTCCTGCTGCTTTGACGATTCTAAGGGAAGGAGACCATTTCAAGCACAGTGACTTAAGATTTAATCAACCAGCTTAGTTGCATGGGAAATTGCAAGAGTTATCCATTTTTTCAGTCTCACCACGCATCCGGTTGAACCCCTTTGTAAAGCAATTATAGCATTTGTGTTGCATACATTTGGGGAGTATAAGGAACATCCATAACTTGTCTCCCAATATCACCTTGCCTTGATCTTTGGACTGCCTATATGGGGGGCGGGGGTGCTTTGCTACAGCATTATCCACGGAAGAATTATAGAAGGGTTAGATCAAGATTTTAGCAGGCGGGCCGAAGTGCTGCCCCGTAGCCTCCTGGAAATGCCAGCCAGAGAATGAAGTGACTGGGACAGAATGGGGTGGGCGGTTCTGTGGGAGGAAGGCAGATGCCCCCTAATTAGGCAGCGAAAGAATCCGTGGATGGAGCCCTTTCCCCCCACCAACCAGTGCCTATGACACTGGGGTAAAATGAACCTGCCGAGGGATGTGCGTGTGAACACGTGTGTGAGCAAACGCCAGGTTACTGGGATGCATTTCCACTTAATGGGCTTTAATTAAACCCCTGGGTTAATCAAAAATTTCCCTATACCCTTACCTGATTATGGGTAAAATGGGAATTGTAATCTATGATCGAGTCTGTTGGAACAGATCCGAGACATGGTTGTTATACTAGTTTAGCAATTCACACCCTCTCCTATTTTCCCCAGTCCTGTATGGCGCAGTCCATGCAGATGCTTGCATCTAGTGCAGATTTAGCGCTATAGCTTCGTCCTGGCCAGGGGCAGAGAGACCAGGCAGGTCAGCTGGAAAGTCCTTCAGTCGCGACCCAGAGGCAAGCCACCGTCTCTCAGCCTGCTGGCTCTAATATGGGCTTTGTCATACTGCAGGCTTACCTTTCAGAGCTGGTTGTACGGATGACGGGCATAACATCGCTTCAGCGTTTTGCCCATTTGAGATGCATGCACTTTCTGAACTGGCAGACGCCAGCGTGCATGGTCAGTTCGGCCTCCTCCTTTTCACCAGGGGCAACAGCCCTCCCTGCTGTTTTTCAAGGACTCAGCAGCCCTTGTCTGACGCAGGAGGGTCTCACATTCCCTGACCGACAGATGAGTCCAAAGTGCGTCCCTTCAGCTCAGCCAGGTTTGATCAATTAATGGTTAGGTTTATTTAAAACACACACATATGCACACACGCATGCAGGGGGGGAACTTGGAAAGATGCCCGATGGATGGGAGAACAGACTATTTTAAAAGTTACTACTTTCACTTTAAATTGACTGAAGAAGGCAATACAAAAAACTTGCAGATGGCAAAAGATAAAATCGAACCGTGCAGAAGGGGGTTTGCCCCTTCTAAGATTGCGCCTACAAGATATACATGCACCATCTAAGCACAAAGCGAGCTCTTCTCTTGTCTTTCTTTTTCTTCCTTTCTTCGGATAATCATGGGCTTACAATGTCACCCAGTGACAAGCCCACGATACCATGCATCTTACTTTTATCTGCAATCACGTCCTCCATAAAGTTATTGAGGCTTTTTCCATCCTGAACCTCCATAACTTTAGTCAACTCCCCTCCTCCTCCCTCCCCCACCCAACACCATTTTCTTGGTTAATTGACTGACAGTGATATTTGATATTGCTTATTAATTAACTGTGCCTTTCTGGCCGCTTGAGATTCCACCTTCCTAATTAATATTTATGAGGAGCTAAGCGCTATTGACGCTTCCTATTAACTCAGCCTGGGAATTCAGCACAGCTCTGCCCAGTAAATAAATCCTGAAGACTCCCATGCTCTCTCCCCTGCACACCAGCTAAAAGGAAGCCAAGAGCAGGAAATTTATTGCTAACCCAGAGAGTACCATGAGTTTAGTGATCAGGGCGGGGGCGGGATGCTGTTTGTTATCCATGTAAAGTCAAATCACCCCAGTAGGGGCCATTAGGGTACAAGGACAAAAGCGTCCAGTGTATTAGAATGTGCAAGCCAATGCCCCATTTGATTTCCTTCTTCTTGGCTGCGGAATCTTTTCTGGGAATTTCTCATCTCTAGATCTGAAGTTTTGGAGAAGGTTCAGACTTTTTTTCCAGGAACAACATGAAAGTACTCCAGGTGAAAGTGATCACCTGTTGCATGACTTCACCCCTTGCCCAGATTTGTGTGGCTTCTGACCACGGAGGCCCAACTTCACTGTCATGCCTACTGTTTATAAGCTACACTGCTTTCCATCTCTTCTTTCTCCCCTTTCTTCGCTAACCTATTTTATGTATGTTCTCCAGATTTTATCCATTGATAGAAAGAGGTCTATCGGTGTTCTTGTGTTGGGGTGGGTGTTCAGAATTTTGGAGAGTGACATATTCCAGGTTTGTTTTTAAGAAAACATAGCATCAAAGTCCTTTTGCATCATCAACATTTTTGTTAATGATCCAACACCAATCTTGCTGTAGGGTTGGCAGAAGAAAAATGTTCTGTAGCTGTTTGGGATCATTTGCTTTTCTCAGAATGAAACACTCTGGGGATTCGGATCTTCCTAGAGTTACTGAGTTACTTCTTTTATTTTTCTGTCCAATTTCATAGCAGCGGCAACTGCACTTCACTCCCACCCCCCACCCCCAAATACTCCCAGTCCAGTGCTAGTAACTGCACATTTCTCTATTCCCTTTCCTCTTTTACTGGTGAATAAAATGTAATTATATCTATCCTGTTTATTACATATGCATGCACATCTGAGCATTTTAAATCAATATGGTATTTTAGTAATTCACATATTAATAGGTTTTGTATTAATGTTCTTTTTTGTGGCTTCTTTGGCAGTGAACTGCTCTGAGCTCAGGTCAGAAATTTATATGTAAATTATGGGTTTTCTTGAAGAACAGAACAAGATTCCGTTTTCCATCACCTTGTAGAGTAGGGACACGAAGCTAGCACGAAGCATTATAGTTATGTATCCAATGCAACCTGCTTTTATCTGTACCTGAAATAACTAATGAATCATCCAACAAAAGGGGTTTTTTTCCCTCTCTCCAACAATTCAAGAGGGCAGTTAGAAAGAAAAACCCTGAACTTATACTTCCCACAATCAACACATTCATAATAATGATGGCTAGTATTTTTGCCACTGCTAAACTCTTCTGACATTAAGGGCCCGAGCCATTGCATGCTTAGACAGAAAACTATCCTGTAATCCAAGCATTCTTCTGGGAGTGGAAAAGGAGGAACTGAATGGCTTTATTCTCTCTGTCTGCAGAGGATGGAGTCTCAGAACACCTTTCTAGGTCCTCGATCGCAGGGAGCCTCCAGTATCTGATTACGAAATTAACACAGTTCAGGTCTGACATGTGCATTCAGATGGTTGCAGAGGGGGGAACACCCCTTTTTTTGCACTTACAATACACCAGTTTTGTAGGAAAATGCCTCTATCTTTGCCAAGGGATCCGTTCTATTCAAATAATGCATAACAAGCAAACAGAAGTCTCAGCTTTGCTGGTCCAGCCTGCTTTGGCCGACCAAAGCTGCCCCCTCACCTTTCCCCCTTGCCTCTCCCCGGCCAGGTACTACTACAACAAGCGGATCCTACACAAGACCAAGGGCAAACGCTTCACCTACAAGTTCAACTTCAGCAAGGTGGTCTTGGTGAATTACCCTCTCCTGGACATGGCGACCAGCTCCCCGTTCCTGCTCGCCCAGAACCCCTTCAGTGGGAGCAACCATGGGTCTGACTGTGCCCCACTCACTCCTGAGGTAGGGTGAACAAAAGAGGCAACAGAGCCGGCGGCGTGAGAGTGAATATTATGGGTTGGATCCAGACATGTTCGTGCTTACTGTATTCCCGCTGAAATTCAGGGGACAATAGCCTTGAGTGCGGTGGGGAGCCGAGTCAGGAGGTCCAGGTTCTAGTCCCCTCTTGGCGATGAAAGCCACCAGGTGACTCTGGGCCAGGGACAGCCTCAGCCCAAGCTACCTCACAGGGTTGTTGTTGTGAGCAGAAAATGGAGAGGAGAACTTTGTCAGATGCTTTGGGTTCCTTGCAAGAGGAAGAAAGACGGGGTATTAATGTAATGGAAGAAGTGCCATTGGTCTCTACTGTAAGATCAGCCAAGTCTGACTCCAACCCAATGTCTTTGGCTTCCACCGAATAGGTATTTTGGTCACAGTATGATCCAGAATTTCAGTACAGGGCTCAGTACTAAAATGATGCTTTTTAAAAAGCGTGCCATGGAGTGTATGCAGAGTGCTTATTCTTTTCGCATCTGCAATTGTCACTGGAGCCGGGACTTAAAGGGCATGGCACCAACTGTTTTTTATTAGGAAGAAAGAGATATCTTCACTCCCTGCCCCCCGCAGAATTCCTTGTTCCCTCTGAGCTTACCTGAAATCCTTCCAGGCGCTGGGTGGAAAGTAGAATGAATTTTCCCAGCAAAATTAGGCTGTTTCTTGCTGCGATGCAAAAGGTATTTGACGGTTTGGTCTTGCATGAGCAGTTAAAATCTGTTCAGGCCCCAAGAGGCCTGTTTGCTGGATTTGAAAACTGCATTTGGTTCATTGCTTGGTTTGGACAAGCACAGCTGTGGGGCTGTTTCACCCGCCCCCCCCCCCCCCCGGGGCTGTGGCCACAGGGACGACCACTAGAGCACCTGGGCTTCTAAAGTTGCCACTGCAGCTTTGTAATTAGGGGCCGGAAGTGCAAGTCGGCTGTAGAATTTTGAGATGTCCCCTAGTTTGAGACTTTCTTCTACACAAAGGTTTAGGATCGTTCTCTGGGCCCCATGGAGTACATTCATTCTCGCCTACCTTCCTCCTAGGCCCTGCAAAGTCTCTTCGCAAGCCCTCGCTTGGGGGACCCAACCACCCGCACCCCACTGTTTGAACGTCAACCAGAGACAGACAAACTGAGGTTGGATGCAGCCTTCCCTTTCTTGGGATCAGGTGAGAACAAGCGTATTAACTTGCTTTTTTCTCATTCTCAGCCCTAAAATTTTGGGGGAGGGATGGGGATCTCCTCCCAAGTAGAGTGCTCCGTTTTGGAGTTTGCTGTTGCAGTTAAAACACCTCCTATAAAAGGTTTCCCCCTCTCCTCCCCTAAGGCTGAGCTCCAACCCCAAAGGGGCCGATGGAATTGGGTGACAGCAACTAGATGTCCCCCAGAGTACTGACAACGAAGAGATGGGCCCTGTGTGGAATAGTAGCTCACATCTCTTTCCTTCTCCCCACAGGTGTCTCTGGGTACACAAAGCCCCCCAGTTTGCTAAATCCGTATGGCAGGAATGCTTCCTTCCCAGACTACCCCTGGAATTTTAACCCTTACCTCTCCAGCACTTTCCCCCTGAACAGCTCCAAGCTACCTGCCTCCCTCTACTCCCCCCATTTCTACCCCAACCCCCTCTCTGGGTCACTGGCCCAGCTCCCGGCACCCGTCTCGCTGCTGCCTGCAGACAGCCCCGAGCGAGCCACGGCTCTGGGGACCGGATCCGTTCCCCGTCTCTGCCTGCCTCCCCACGGCACGGCCCTGCCACTCCGTGGGGAAGGGAACGTGTCCAGCCACCGCGAGAAGGAGTTACTGGGTGCCAGGCCACAGAGTCCGCCAGGGGGGCGAGGGGCCAAAGAGGACCCCGGCTCAGACTCCGAGCTGGAGATCACAGACCTGAGTGAATGTAGTTCGGAGAACGAAGGCTGTGATTTCAGCCCTGACAGCCTGGAGGCGCTGGAGAGCCAGGTGCAGAATTACAAGCGGCTGGAGAACGAAAGGACAGCGGGAGCGACACCGAGGCAGCCAGAGGGGGTGGCCGGCAGTGCCAAAGAGGGGAAGAGCCTGCCGGGCAGCTGAGCCGGGGCATCCGAGAGCCCAGCTGTTGGTTCGTGTCCGTCAGTAGTGAGATTCTCCAAGTGTTCGAGGCCAACGAAAGCAAACAAAAAAGAAAACCCCACCCCGTTTGTTTGATGTCTCTATTTTTATAGGAAAATTTTATTCATCGAATATACCGAGTCTAATCCCCAAAGCACCCCTCTTCCCCAGCTCCCCACTCCTTCACACGGGGCTGGAACACTTTCCCACCTCAAAATCACCCATCCAGGCCTCTCCCCGCAGCTGCGTTCCAAGCACTATTCATGCGGAGTCTAGTGCAAGGCCCATTCCACCAGGCTGCACCACTGGAAACAGCTGGGTCCCCTTGCAACTTGCCTCTGGCAAAAAGCAGATTTACCACCATTGGGATTAGTTCTGCCCCGCACCCAATCTTGAGCCAGCCAGCCAGATCCATAGGTCTCTAGGGGGGAAAAAGGGGGAGGGGAGAACCCCACAGAGAAGCTGATCACTTTCAGCACCATCCTATCTCTGAAATTCCCTGTCCCAGGGAGCTGTTGCAGCTTTCATCTTTTTTAAGGGTCTAGTCCTCATGGAGGTGTTGAGACAACAGCGGCTCTGAAGATTCCTGCTTGCCTCCCTTCATAAAGGCAGGAGAGTAATCTCTGCTTGCCACAGGGTGTGAGGGAGTGCCTGGAGCGTTCCATGGAAAGGACTTCAACCATGCATAAAGTGGTTGTGTGAATCAGCTTTTAAATACAGGCACCCTAAACTATTCCTGCATTATCACCACTGCATTTTAAGTTGTACGCTGAAGCTGTTGCAAAGTGAACCCAAGTAAACATCAGCACATTGGCCGGCACAGGGCTGGTATTTCTGACGGTGTACAGCTTCTTTTATCAAGATACACTTGCCGGCCAATAGAGAATTGCCTCAATATACTGTAAGAAATGGCTGTGAGCTAAAGTGTTCTGCCTAGAAGTCCAGGGCCTTTGGAGATGCATCAACTCCCAGAATGGCAAGGAAGAAGCATCATTCCACTCCAAAATAAATAGGGCATTGTATCCTGGGGAAGGGGGGAGCTACATTTTACCCATCCCCAATTTTTCTAAGTGCAATATTGTCTTGTCATGCTCTGGTGTGACCCTTTCTGTAAAAATACCCCCCACTCCCCCCCCCACAAAAATTTTTCACCCTATCACTGTGCTTGTGTCTGTGTTTTAAAGACAAAAATTAAAACTGTATTTGTGTGGTTGATATAAAGAAGTTGTTTAATTCTGCCCCTATATATTTTTTTCTTTCTGTAAATACTGTATTAATTTATGGAGTGTAAAAAAAAAAGAAACAGATGGAAAAATTTATGCCCAGCAGGTTGTGATCTTGCTGGCTTCTAAAGCAATAAAATATCTATTCGTCATTTCGTCTCCACTCACAGGTAAAAATGTGCGTGTGCTTTGGTGTGATTGGGGGTAAATATTCCAATTTTACTGGGTGGGGGGGTAAACGAAATAGTGCTGCGTGAAGTCCTGCTGTTCAAGCCCCTGCACATCATTCCAACAAAATTTTCTTCAACAAAATTGTGCTTCTGTTGTCCATGCTGGACTGGGATACTGGGGGCATGAATTTGGCACATGGTTACCCACTGCCCACTGGACTTCTAGCTTTCTATGCTCCACTCTCACTTCTGTTGCTCAGAAAAACTGCAAAAAGCATCCAGGTATAAAACAAGAAATGACCTGCACGGATAATGACATGGCCCCCTCCCCGCTTTCGTATCTGTCTCTGCCTTCCTTCCTTCTGTTCCCTGTCCAGCTCAATTTGTTTTCCTCCCAGCAGCCATGCCCATTTGGGGTCCTCCCACCTTGTTTGCACTTCTGCAAGCCTTGGACTTACTCTGTATTGGCAGAGAAGTCTCAGTTTTGCAAGGAGTGCAGGCAGAGGAGGACTCGTTTCAGCCCTGGAATGCAGATTAGAAATGGGGTAGCTGTCCTCTCTTGCAAAAGGGCAGATTTAATTAAACCTGACATTTTTTTCCTAATGGATTTATCCTCTTTGTTTTATTGAGAAGAGCAAGACAGGATGGGAAGTACAGGATCCTTGGACAATTCATTCCGTTTTCAGCAGTGAAAATGAGAACTTATAGAACTCACACTGAGAACCCAGCCTAAGTAGAATGGGAGGGCTGCCATAAACTTTACAAACATCTAAATAAAATTCGACGCTGTCAAGGGACACAAGACACTGCTTTTCTAGAGGTGACGGAATAAAAATGCAAGTAAAGCTATGTGGGATCAGATAACATATAATCTATGAAAATATTTCATAGAGTCCCTTCCATGCCACCGCTCCCCTCCCTATGCCCCTTTGGCATCTCGTTACAGAAAGAAACCAAGTATTTGACCTTTCTTCACTCCAAACACACCACTTTTCTTTCACTGATGCAAGTTTGCCCAGAGAATTCTGGGAATTACCACTGAATAAATGCAGACACTTGCAGATGTACCGCTCCCAGCCTTCCCTGGACCACCACCTTCCCTGGTGCCCAGCAACTCTGATCAGAAAAGTCAGGAGTCAACACCTTGGCCGCAATCCATCCACAGACTCTATAGGGGATACTGTAAGGGAGCCTGAAGAACCACGGGCCTTTGGACTGAAGATAACCCTTGAGGTTCCCCGAATGACCAAGCCCCCTTTCCCCTGACCGACCCCCTTCCTCCAGCCACCAAGCATTGGATACCTGGCTTTTTGGAGTTTCCTTCCTTCTAAAAGGCTGAGAAGTGAATGGCTGGCCTTTCAGGGTCCTCTGAGCACCATCCCCTGCTGGACTGCAGCTTCTCCAGATGGAATTCAGTCCTTGGCCTGAAAAAGATCCCCCAACCCTGAATATGGCAGTGGAAATGTCCTGTTTAAACCATTCCTGTTCCTCATTCGGGGGGCACCCCCATCCCACTGTCTCCCACCCAGTCTCAAAATAAGCCAGCCCCACTTGTACATCACAAGGCCCCAAAGAGCTGCTTTCTCTCCATTTGGGAAGTGAAACACTTTTGGGGCTGGAAGGATCAAGGCAGAGGCCGCTCGGCAACCTACTTCTCCTGCTCCATGGCCTCTGGGGAAAGAAAGGGTTAACTAAGTACATGAGCAATAGAAGGAAAAATGAAGAGACCAGGTGCATTCCAACCACAAGGACACTGACAATGGTGATTAATATATATTTTAATTTGGCATCTTTTACAAGGTTATCTTTGGTTCAGTCTCTCTCCCCTCCTATACGTACCTTTGATCCACCAACAACATACAAAGGCTTTCAACTTCTCTTTGCACAAGGGAGAGAAGAGAATCAGCGCCTCGTGTGGCATGAAACTCTTCCTTCCCCAGAAGACTTTCCTCTTTTTACAACACAAACCAGAAAACCACCTGACCCACATCGTTGGGAGATGTTTCCCCCACTCTTCGGATTCCTTTTCGCTGCAGTACCCTCTGGAACACTAGCTGGGTGGAAGGGGCTAGACAATTTCGAATCTGACCTGAGATGCACCACATACAGACCGTACTGCAGCATAACTAATTCTGGCCATCGCGAGAGCGTTCTCAGGACTGCTTACCACTGATTAACCATCCCATGGCAGTCCACACAATCGAGAGGGAGGGAAAAACAGAGCCTAGTGCAAGCTCTGATTTATGGCACATCATCAAAGGATAAGTCTCAAGAGCAGCAAAGCGGTTCAAATCCAGTTAGCAACTGAGACCAAGAGTCAGCTGGGTAAAGAAGGTGTGAGAGCATGCCTCTAGTTTGATATTAACACAGCATTTGTAAAAGTTAAGTAACAGTCCAGCATAATTCTCTTCCTAAAATTTGTCTCTAGACAAATTTGGGCCCGAAGCAGTGCTCAGTTTAAGATGGCTCATGATTGTGGTGTTGTGTGGAGTCAAAGACATTCAGAGGGTATTGCACAACTCTGAAGCTGGTAGAAATCTACCTCTGACTGGAAAGGTTTGCAGGGAAGTTTGAGGCAATGAAGAGGGAGCCAAATAAAATCCCCCTAAAGCTTGTGAAAGTTTTGATTCGAGGCCAATTTATAATCTTGCATTTACGCAACACATAAATGCAGCTTACAGTCTATTCAAACTAAGGAATTTGAGCCGACATCTTATTTTGCATAAAGAATGCTGCTTCCAAATTCTCAAGATTAAAGATAGCAAATGTTTGGGGTCAAGGACTGCATGGAAAGGATAGAAAAATGAGGATTCATCGAGGTGTATGGGGCATGGAAACCATTGGTCTTTTTTCTACATTTGTACGGGTAAGAAAATTACTTTGTTTTTAAGCCTTAAAATGTGACATTCGGATTCCCACATCTGCACTCACACTAAGTAGCTGACCAACATACAGCTACTGGTCTCTCATCTGCCCACGGTCCTACTCCTGACCTCGCTTTTTGTGGGTCCCTTAAGACAGAGAAGGAGGTCAGGCCAGAAATAGACAGAAGGGTGAAGATTTTGTACGTGTGGAACTGTAGTGGATGAACTAATCCAAAGTACACAGTCCTGAGAATATTTCCTAAAGCACAAAGTTAACTATTGCAAGAGACATCACAAACAGTGAAAACAGACCCAAGGAATGGCATTTGCCCTTAAAAATTCTGGATTGCTTAGTCCAGAATATATTTTTAAAGTATGACTTTAAAACAACCCCTTTGAACTATAACGGATTAAGGTGGGACTATTATACATTCCATAATACTAGAAAGCCAAGAGAGGAATGAAGTCTCACTGTTACCTCTTGATATATTGGTGCATGCCCTTTGTACAGCACAAACAACCCCCTAAATACTAACAGATAGACACAAACACACACACTCACTCACTCACGCGCACATTATATATATATATATAAAATATCACTCCATATAAAAAGCCCTGGAATTGTAATCCCAGCTGAAGAGACAAAATCACTCCCTTATAGGGCGTGTGTTCCCATATTAGTTTTCTTAAAAATACAAGCACATTATCAGCAAAATATCAAGGCACTTGGAAGAAGTGGAACACAGAGGAGAGCAGAGGTCAGCCTTGGAGGATCGCTGAAGGGGAGTTGGCATTGCTTGCTCACGCCCACATGCTTTGGCTTCTCCCTTGGCTGCCTCCCCTCCCCTCCCCTCCCCTCCCCTCCCCACTCAGCACTCTTCCCCCTCCCCCCACCACCCCCGGTCCCCAACTCCCCCCCGCAACCCCCCCCCCCACTCCTAAGTTCAGCCCCTTCCCTTCAAAGCTGGAATTCTACAGGGGAACATTCTCCGCAGTGGGCAAAATGGCCAACAGATAGAAGGCAGCAGCAGGTGGCCACAGGGGCCAAACGCAATTCCAGAGGAGGTCCAAGCAAAGAGGTGTGTGTGTGTCGGGGGGAGGGGAGCAGGCACTCCCCCAAGCCCTTCCCGCAAAATACCGCAGCAGGGATTCCCCCCAGCACCTTGAAGGTGCTGGGTTACTCACTGCCGGAGCGCCCCCTGCTGTCCATTTTGTGGAACGGTGTGTCACAAAACCGGCAGCGAGATAATCATGCACTACACTGAGCTGAGTTATTCCATCATTCTGCCCCAGAGCCCGATGGTCCCCCTTTATGCTGCATGAGTGGCACTCAGTTGCCAAGAACGCTTCTAGCACGAAGGGAAGGGGAAAGGGATCCTGGCCGGAACTGAGCGGAAGGCAGTTCCGGGGGCTGGCAAGTCTTGGACGAATCAAGATGCCCGACTCCAAGACAGGCAGGATTATTCAGGACTCACTAAGCAAACGGATGTTGCAGAGATAAGGGAATAGGGGGAGGACGGGGGCTGGGATCTTCTGTCAAGCAGAAGAGCTGCGAAAAGTCGCACGAAGACCAAGGGGGCCTTAATGAGCATCTCTGCGCATTGGCAAGGGTCCCGGCAATGCCTGCTAGGCCTCACCTGGAAATCCTCCCCCCTCAATACGCAGCAGTGGCTCCATCAGCAGCAGGGGCCGATGGACCTTTCCAAATGACAATCTGTCCACCTCTGCAGATTTTTCTCACTGAGGAACCCAAAAAACCCCAGGGTTGCCCTGAGCAGTCTGAAAGCAAAGCCACATCAGTCTTTCCAGACCGACAGCCACCTTTCCTCCGCCCTGAAACACGCGGCTTTTCTCTCTTCTGCAGAAGGCACTCTGCACGGCTGGGGCCACCCACGTTAGGAAAAGTTGCAAGGCCTCGCTCTGCTGTGGGAGGAGAGCACTGCGCTCCGGGAAGTGTGTGTGTTGCACCAGGGGAGGGGGGCCATCTCAAGTTCCGGTCAGCTGATTTAGCTGGCATAGGCAGATCATCACTGGGGGGGTGGGCGGGGGGGATGCCAGAACAGGTTTAGGACAAGGCTCCAACACAGAGAAGTGAGTCTGGCTGGGGAGACCCTTTGGCATCATTACGTGAGGCATCAAGGGGGAAACCATGTGGGATATCACCAGGAGGAAAAGTGGAGGAGGGGGCTAAAGCAGGGCCAGGAAGACAGAAATTTAGAGCGGACAAGAGCTTTTCCCCATGGAAGGTGTGGCTTCAACAGCAGCTCCATCCAATGGCTCTTCTCCTTTGTTTTTTGGAAGCACCAAATGCATATGGGGAGAATAAATCTACTGCAATGGGGAACACCCGCTGACACGTTTTACCACGGGGAGCTAAAGGTTAACAAATTGGGGGAGGAAACAGATATTGCTATCAAGCCCTCTTGCAAACTTTCCCTGAGGAACCGGGCCGGCCACTTTTGGCAGAAGGGACCACCAAGCGACACAAAAATTGCTCAGACATCAGCCGGGTCGTTTGTACGCCTTACAGCTCTGCGAAGCTCAAAAGTTCACTCACAGGTCCCCCAGTCTGTCCATCATGAAGCGATGGGCAGAGCCTAGTTTTAAAAGCTTGTCTCTCCTTGGGACCAACAGTACAAACTACTTGCATTGCTAAAGGAAAAAGCTCAGACACCCCAGAGCACCTCTTAAAACGGATGGAGCAGCCTTTCCCTCGCCCCTCGCGAAGGCTGCCCCACCTAAATGCAACTCTTCGGCTTCTAAATATGTCTCCCTATAACACGGTCTATGCAGAATGTATATAAACCCCAGAATCTCTCTCCACACTACAAATCGTCTATACAAGAAGCAGCGTAGGTCCCACTTGGTGGCGAACGTTGGGAAAGAACCCTCAGGCAGGAGAGCGTGGCTGGCACAAGAGATCTTCCATCCTTGCTGACGACAGGCCTAGAGAGGGAAGAACCACCGAGACATTAACACAACGTATCAAGAGAGAAGAACACCCAGCATCATCCTGACCATCCTTTTGGTGCCAGGCAAAAACCTTGTTATTCCTCCTATTTTAAGAACTAGCACGGGGGACTTTTTACATATTTATATCATAATATTGTTACTGCTGCTGCTGTACCGTGGGGCTGAATTTTTATAATTATTGGCCTGGTCTAGACTGAGCCCAAAGCTCCTGGTCCAAGCCAAGCCCATTCTGAATGCGTTCTAGGAAAGCGAGCTGGGCCACCTCTGTGGAGGAGCAGCCTTGGAGCCAGGGTCCCGGTCCCGGTCCCGCCCTGCCTCTGCTGATGCCCTGCAGAGGATCAGAAGAGCTGCAGAATGCAGTGGACAACACGGCCCAGTGCATTTCATTCCTTCTTTTAAAGAACTCACAGCCTAGAGAAGTGACAAAAATGGGGATGTATGAAAAACACTAACCCAGTACACTGGCAAGTGCAATTATTCCAAAACTTCTCATACGGCAGCACGCCTATTGCCCAACAAAGCCGGGAAGCCCACTCTTCTCTTGCACCTAAAGGCACTTACAAAGATGGGTCACTGCCCATCTAACCCTGCCCTTCCCCAACCTGGCCCCTTCTAAATGCGTAGGACTACAGCTCCCACTATCCCCATTAGCCATGCTGGCTAGAAATTATGGGAACTGTTGCCTGACACATCTGAAGGGCATTCACTGAAGGAAAGCTAGTTTGGCGTAACTTTGCAGGGCCACTGCAAGGATACAGAGGGCTCAGGTGGAGCCCAAGTGTCATTATGGCCCAGTTTGCACATAACAACAATCCACAGGTTGCTGAAACCATGGACTCTCGTGGCCATCGGTGAAGGAAAAGGTCTGCTGCCTCCACTTTTAATCACCAACACAGGCCTGACATCCAAACCAGGAAACCTGAGGGTTTTTTTAGGGACTAAATCACCCAGAATTAACCCAACTTTCCCTCATGAGGTGTTCCTGGGTTGTTGACTTAAAGTAAAGGCAGCAAGTGCAGGAATTTATTTATTAGTTATTTTATTTATTTAGAATATTTATATGCCGTCCTTTCGCAGAGTGGCTTACATAAATAAATAAGAATAATAAAACATGGTACTAATAAAATTCCAGATCCACCTTGGCTGCAGATTAAAACAAATATAGCTAATATTAAAAGTTATTAAAATGTTGTTGGAATAAAAAGGTTTTCGCCTGGCACCAAAAAACAAATAACGACGGCGCCAGGCAGACCTCTCTAGGAAGCGCATTCCACAGACTGGGCGCCACCGCAGAGAAAGCCCTCCTCCGGGTACTTTGCCTCCTAAGGTCTTTCACGGAGGGCTCCCGGAGGAGGGCCTCTGCTGCCGATCTCAGGGGGCGGGAGGGCAAATACGGAAGAAGGCGTTCCTTCAGGTATCCTGGTCCCAAGCCGTTAAGGGCTTTGTAGGTGATAACCAGCACCTTGAATTGAGCCTGGACTTCGATGGGGAGTCAGTGAAGCTGGCAGAGGACTGGGGTTATGTGAGAATTGTCAAGACATGTGCACTAGGCTCTTCTCTGCTACTCTACACCCTTGAGCCGTCACGCAGATGTGCCCAGTGTCTTCCCCAGGTACCCGAAATCCCAGCGTGGCTGACCTCCTTCCATTACCTTCCCGCTTGGCCGAGCTTCATGTGAAACTGGGCTGCTGAGATGCTGTGAGTTTTCCTATCAGCCGCTGCAGGCGCCAGTAATCCGTTTCGATATCCTAGTGGGACAGACAAACACACTGAGAAATATCCTCAAGGAGGATGGGGAAAGGGGGTCACGGGGAGTGCATGTGCGTGCGAGTGACCTTCAGGCTCTCCCGAGGGACCGCAGCAGCTCCTCGCATCTCAAGGATGGAAGGATTCATACCCAAAGCCCAAGCAACATTAGTGAGAATGTCGTGGAACTATTACAGGTATTAGCTGGGGTTGTAACTTGGGGCACAGGTATGTGGAAGGTGTTCATTCAAATTAAGTCTTCGCAGCTGGACTGTACGGCTGTTTCACGGGATTCTCTGCTGGAAGACTCCCCCCAAGACCTTCAGGAGAGACATGTCTGTGAGTCCCACCTCCTTCACGGTTGAGCCTGATGGAAATGCCGGAGCAGGTCTTCTCAGTGGCTGCCCCAGGGCTTTGGAACTCCCTCCCCAGGGAGGCAGGATCGGGACCCTCCCTGCTATGGTCCTGGAGGTAGGCAAAAGCTTTTCCTTTCCAGCAGGCCTTGGGGAGTAGTCTGAGCCTGTGAAATTGTGGGGGATGGGGGGCTAGCATTCTTGTTTCCACTGTTTTTACTGCTGTTTTAATTATGGCACTTTAATTTTAATATCATAGCTCACTTGCTTGCATTTTAACTTTTGCACACTTCTATTAATATTTTAATGGCACAACTAGCAACAACATGCCTCGGGTCTGAAGGTAGATGAGGCAGTCACCATGCAGAAGCTAAGCAAGACTAGGTCTGGTTAGCGCTTGGAGGGGAGACCCCTGGGAACCACGTGTAGCCACAGAAATAAATGTATTAACAGAACAAGCAAGAAGAATAAAGACTGGAGATCCTAAGCACATGGTGTGTATGTGGGGTGGGGGGGTCCTTACCACTTTTCCTTACCTTTAGACTCTGAACTGTCTCTTCTAGAAACTGCAAGTGATGTTTCACCCCATCAGATTGCTGGTGGGACAGAGCCATGGCGGATCGGGGCCCTGCCTTAGCCACGTGCTCCGAGGGCCACTCTGATTCTTGGGGACCATTGGGAGTACTTCCTGCTAGAGACAAGTGCTTTTAGTACTGCGAAACATCCGGCAATCTATCTTCGTACCTGCTTCTTCCCAAGGCCACACTAAGGATCTTTCCCAGAAAATCTCCTTTCCAACAAACCTGATGGGACTTCTTCCCATTCCCTTTCCCCCTTTTCCACTAGCATGCCTGGACCACCCACCCAAAAGCGAACCCACAATCTCTGCTCCAAGTGCCCCTCCCATCGTTCCCAGCACGCCTCTTCTCTCACCACTAGTTTTTCCCAGCATGCCTCTCCCCCGAGCCCCAGCACGCGTGTGCTGCCAAGCCCTTACCATGATGCCGCCTGCTGCCTGCCGGAGCCCCACGCCCCACGGCCCACTCCTCTTCCTCCTCCCCTTCTCGGGGGCTCCCGTTCTCTGGCGGACGGCCTGCAGGCTCTGCCGAGAAGACGACGTCCCCTTCCTCCGATCCCTGAAGCAGCCTTTTCAGCGCTGTGACTGTAACGGCACAAGCAAGGCCGGCCCAACCATTAGACAGAGCATCGTGATCGCCGCGGCGGGAAGATGCTAGGAGGCGGCAGCATGAGGCTGGAGGGCAGAGCTTTGTGCCACGCGACCCGCCCTGTGCCCTCCAAGCGCCTCCATGTGCAGGAGCGGATGCACGCCCAGAACCAAAGCAAGATTTGGCAGGTTCACGGCACAGGAGAGGGGCCCACTCAGAGCTTCGCCTCAGCCAGAAAAGCCCTCGGCACAAGGTCTGTGTGGACCGCTTTGCCTCCGAGCTGCAACTGAAGAGGCTGCTGGGCTGGGGGGCGCTGAGGAGGCGGAGAGTCTCGACAGAGAGGAGGGAGGAGGATACGCACTGCTTTCCTGGGCGGCCGACGCCAGGCTTCCGTGCCCAGTGGGACGCGGCTTACAGAGGGTCAGTATGTCATCCAGTAACTCCTCCGTCACCTTGCCCCGCTTCGGCTCGCCCACGGGGCTCCGTTCCTCGAATTCTGTCCCTTCCAGCACCCCGTCCTTCTCTCGTTCTGGCGCAGGAAAATGAAAGACTGCCCCTTAATACAGCGTGGACACACAACCCTTCCACCATCCCTACAGAAATACTTCCTTTCCCCCACTCTTCCTTTCTCTTTGTGTGTCATTGTCTTTGAGACGGTAAACCTGTGAGCAGAAACCGCTTTTCATAAACCTTATTTGCCCAGCATTTTAAAAGTTAGCATTGTTTTTAATACTGATTTTATATATTACAGTGATGCTGTGTCTTATTTTTGTTATCACCGCCCTGAGACACTGTAGAGGGTGGGATACAATTTTTTAAAATGAATGGATGGATGGATGAATACTCACCCTCGGAATGCAGTGTCTCCTTGAGGGAACTGCCATTTTCTGTCCCACCTGGCAGCCCCTCTGAGTAACTGCCAGAGAAACAGGGAAAAAAATATTGTAAGCATTGACTCGGCCTGTGCCAGAAAGCCAGCTATTCTCTTAATACTGTCTGAATGCCTGTTTGAAGGAAGAGATTCCTGCTGCCTCTTTCTGGACCAAAGAGGAGTCTTGCAGCTCTCCAGGCAGCTGCATCTTGAGTTCGGTATTTCATTTTTGGTCTGTGCCAATGAAGCGGCTACACAGAGCGCAATGCTCCCCGGCTGACCACGCCATCAGTCCAGCATCCTCTTGGGGGTTGGGCTTCTTTGTTTAGTTCCTCACTGATTTAGGGGCATCTGAGCCAGGGCAGGACCTAGATAAGCTTTTGGTTCTCCTTGTGCTTGGCCACAAGTGATGTACAGGCTGAATGCAAGACGAAAACCTGCCCAATAGGACTTGACCCCCTTAAGGTCTTGCTCCTTTAAGCTTTATGCCTTCCCCGCACCTAGAAACACCGTATTTCAAGGTGCAGACCCTCAGAGCACTGCTCCCAGCCGGGCCAATCCAGGATCCCCAAATGGCTGTGCCCCCTTTCCCCCACCCACAGTTTTTGGGTCCTTTGTGCCCATTCTCAAAGGTCTTCTCGGGCTCGGCTGCTGGCCGTGAGAGCTGAAGAGTCAAACTTGCCGACCAGTTCGGCCCCAGCCGCTTTGCCCCCACCCGGCAGCCCCCCAAAGTGCTCCAAAACGGAATCCAACCCTTGCACTTACTAGCTGGGGCTAGGCGGTGAGGTTCGGTTTGGCACCGAGAGCCGCGGTTTCAGGATGGTCGAGCCAGGCACCTTCAGGGAGCCAGCCGTTTCACTGATCATGCTGCACCAGCTGGAAGGAGTCAACGGGAGGGTCAGGGGGGACGGGACACACCTCAAGGCAGAAGTCAGCCGTTCTCTTAGCTGGGGCTTGAGCCGGCCTGGAAGCACAGGACTCCGAAGTGGTGCCCCTTCAATGCCAAATCTGCACTTGCCCCAGGCTCCCGAGCGCTTTTCTGGGATGCCCCCAAGGCTGAGAAATGGGGTAACACGCAAAGGTTCTTACTTCTTCCTCTCCAGGACCGTCTGCGCCACCAATTCGTAGATCTGCGCTCCGCTCTCCCAGCTGAAGATCACGTAGAAGGCCTTGGTATCTAACGGGAATCCACAGGCACTGACCATTCTGAGCAAGAGCCCAGCCAGGCTTTGCTTAATCAAACGTTTCTCACATAAAATAGAAAGCTTAAATTACACTATAACTGGAGTGATGCTCAGAGAGGTTCCTTCAGCCCAAGTCACTACAGACAGGGTTGTATGTACATTACAGTTCCACTGAAGGGTGGAAAAAGCACGGGAGGTGCTTCCTGAGAATCTTGGCTGTTTTTCTTTTTAAACAAGCTTCTAGTCCTTATTGTTGCAAAGAGACCCTGAAAACTCCTTGTGCTGTAATCTCAGAAAAAGGAGAGATGGCAGAATAAAGTTTCTGGTGTTCAGAGAACAGGGGTTAGTACCCTCCCCAAAGCTTGAATTGTGAAAATCGCTGCCACAGGATAGGAGGGCAAACTTACACCGCAGGGGTGAGGGCCAGAGGATTTAGCCAAAGCCCAGCAAGATGTGCTGCCCCTCCTGAAAAATGGGTGAGGACCCCCAGTTCACTGGCAGAACGGCCCCACAGTGGAAAAGCCAAAGCGAGGTGATGTCTGGGGGGCGGAGTGGGGGATGAAAGGATGATGACGTGCATGAAAAGGGGGGATGAAAGGGCAGCAGTGGAAGCAGTTACACCTGCCAGGACTCTACCTGGCACAGGCCTATTGGGCAAAATATCAGGAGGCTGCCACTGGGATGCTCAGGGGAGGCAGGGCAAAGCGATCTGGCTGGTCCTTTTAGGGCCTCCTTGTTCCACACAGCTCTCCTCAAGGTTGCGTCAAACGTGCAAGGGTGTAGAGGCCTGCTCCCACCTTTAATTTAGTGGGGGATTCTACCCTGGAGTCAATCCTGGGACCTCCTGCAGACAGGTGAGCTTTTCCGTGCAACAGGGGCTCCTGCAGCAGCCCTCGCTGTCCTGGCAGCGATTAAAGCAGCAGCTTTGAAAAGCAGGAAAGGGATGCAAAGCCCTGCCTTGGGGGAGAGGGGGCGCTGGCCGAAGCAGAGTTACTGGGCTATACCACTAGGGCAAACAGGGTGAGTGGCCCATGGCATTCCTGTGCATGGTGACGCAGAATTGCATGCAGGAGAAACATTCCCATTATTGGGCGTTCCTGGCTGCCTTCCCCCATGGGCACTGCTGCTGGCACATTCCGAGCACAGCCTCTGGCAGGGCTCCCGGGAGGTCTGTGGCGCTTGCCAGCGTTCGTTCCGTGCATACACGCTCTTCCCACCCCTCTCAGGTTGGGCACACCAGGGATGATCCGCCGGTGCAAGCAGCAGCTTTTTCCCTGGACCTGGCCAGGTTAGGCTCGCACTGCTCATGGTGCAGAGTCAGAGAAACTATGCAAATCGCCCGACTTCCATCAGTTTATGCAGGTTGCAGAAGTCCACGGGGGATTTCAGATCACCTGGGTGCAATCACAGGGCCTAGAATAAGCCAGGGAAATGCCTTCTGTGGCAGAATCAGGGGACTGCTTAAAGCAGGACTGCAGATACGGGGCCTCAGAGCCACAGGGCTTTGCTTTCGTTTTTCCTTCCCTTTCCAAAAGCACAGAAAAGCAAGACCTGCCCTGAGTTTAGCCCCGAACGATTCATACCGGCTGCAAGGATCGCTTTGTAAACATTCCAGCAGGCACTGGTGGTGCTTTTGCCAGGTTCCCCTCTTGGAGAAGCCCAAGTCTTACTGACAAGCTCACAGGCTGCCTCACTCAGAGAGGCTTATGCCACTTGGTGGGCAGAAGAGAATTCCTGGAGTAGCTGAGGATGCCAGAGGTCCAACCCTGGGCCGTTGGCATGAGCGCTGCCATGAACATTCCTTCACGCTTCCAAACCACCTTCGAAAAGCACGCTCCTCATTCTGCGCCTGTGCCTTCTCTACCGCACCCTCCCTGACCAGCGCCTGCTTGAGGCAGAGGCACCTGTCTCCAGGACTCACCTGTGGCCACTTCGCGGGTCATGGCTGAGTTGAGTCTGATGATGGGGCTGAGCATCTGCTTCCCATCAGGGGTGGGGGTGATGGTGCGGCTGTGACATTTGAGGACCAGGCGTTCCTCTTGCTTCTGCAGAAGGACCAGGATGTCATCCAGCAAGAGGACATGAACATCTGGAAGGGGACCGGGGAGGGAAGAGGGCATGAGGAGGGTGAAACGGAAGCAATGCTGCAGAAGGCTGACATAGACATTTGTTCCCAGCTGCAATTCCTGCCACAGCTGCGCCCGCTCTCTGCCCCAGAAGCCTTGCCCACTCAAACCCAAGCAAGGCCAACCGCAACGCATGCGCAGAGGCACAGCACAGCTGGTGCCAAAATGTAGCTTCTAGCACTCCTGACCACTGGCCAGGCCGACCGGGGGAGGGGGCAGTTTCAACCCAACACACCTGGAAGGCACCAGGTTGGAAGGGCCACTATAAGGCCGGCCCCAAAGTTTACAGGCTTGTCCACCCAGAACCCACGGCGGCAAGACAGAGATTCCAAGTAGGAAAAGCACCCAACTAACCTACTGATTTGTCCTTCGTAACACGCCACGTCAGGGGTCCCTCGTGCACGAGATTTTTCTTGGTAATATCAGTGTTCTGCAGAAAACAGCTGGTTAGACTCTGGGGCTTGCATACATTAATTCCACAAACACAAAGGCTTCGGCGAATGGGGCGGCATAAAAATGTTTTAATAAATAAATAAAATATTATGAAGCAGGAGACGGGGGGCATGTTTGGGGACCTGGGGACCCTGGAACTGATGGAAGACGCATGCACAGCTTTGAATCAAAGACGCCCTGTTGCTATCAAGATTATAAACAATTCCTTGAAGTATGAGGGGTCTTTAAAAAGTTTCTGCACTTTTATGTTTTATAAATATATTTTATATATCTTTTGCTGATGGCATTAAAAAGTTGGTACAACGCTGGGAAAAATGCATCGCAAAGGAAGGTAACTATGTAGAAAAGTGATGCAATTTGTTTTTGAAATTCTTGAAAAAGAGAGTTAAAAATGTGGAAACTTTTTGAAGAACCCTGGTACATGTTTTGCAAAATGAGCTCCTTTCCTCCCGATAGATCCTGTGCTTTAACAGCTGAGGATGACAGACTGAAACTCAACTGGTGCAGCTCAGTTGAGGAGCTGCAAGGCAAGGAAGGGCTGCAGAATTTGCTGAACTTTCTGCCACTTGTCTCTCTCTCTCTCTCTCTCTCTCTCTCTCTCTCTCTCTCTCTCTCTCTCTCACACACACACACGCACACGCGCGCGCGCACACACACACACACACACACACACACACACACCCTGCTTCCCCATAAGTTGATGGGAAAACCCGACAGGCCAGAACTCACCTTGAAATCACTCAGCAGGGGGTCTGTACTTTGTTTCAAGTTGGAGAGGTCCAAGCGACGCTGGTAATCTTTGAGTCTCTGAAAAGTGTAACGAAAGGTGGAAAACACACGGAGATAAGAGGCGGAGAGGGAGGAGGAGGGTCGCTGGTTGAAGGAAGGAAACATGCCATGGACATGTACTTCCCAAAGAGGTACGCCTGGCACCGAGCTTATACCCTTTTCGGTGCCAGCTCAAAACCCTTTTTATTTAAACGGCATTTTAAAATCAATAGTTTTTAATGTTCAGTCGCTCTTGATTTGTTTTGTGATTTACCGTGTATTGTTTTATACATTATTACAGTTCTAATTTGTCTATTTGAAGTTGTTGTTGTTTTAAGTTGTTTTTAAAGCACTGTAAGCCATCCTGAGATATTTTTTATAATAGGACGGCATAGAAAAGCTGTTAATAAATAAATAAAAATAAATATCAGCAAGAGGAAGGACACTTACCAGCAAGTTCTCCATGTTCCGCACCTCCTGGTTCACGTGGTTGAGGATCTGCCGGCAACATTCGGCGGCCTGCTCCACCTTCTGCCGCTCCTCGGCCTCCTCTTTTAGCGTGCATTGAGAAAGGTGGAAGGGCTTTAGATAGCCACCCCCTTAAACAGAGTCCGGGAGCTTCTCCAACTGCACTGCAGCTCAAATCGAGTTCTAAGTTTGGGCAAGTGGGAGATCTTCCCTCTGCTCACAGCAGAGTCAGTCATGCAGGCATTGGCAGGTTGCAGGCAACCCGCACTCAAGGGCTGACCATGGGTTGCCCTCAAGCCATAGGCTGCTGTTGTTATTAGGGTTACTGTGTGGTCTGAACCCAGACATGCTAACAAGCCACGCTGAACAACACACAGCTCAAAACCCAGCAACAAACTGTGGGTTCTTTTTCCAGTTGTCCATGGCTAACAAGCCTTAGCTTATTAGTGCTCCTGGGTTCAGAAATAGAACAACCCACAGTTCAACAACAACCTATAGTCCACCCTTGAATGTGGGTTCCTGTGTTGTCTGAACCCAGTCAGTCACTTGATGGAGGATCCCATTAGCAATCACAGAAAAGACAATTATATCGGATTGGGAGATATATTGCCTCAGATTTCACACCGCTGGCCTGCTGAGTAAACGCCACCTCCATCCAGCCCCACCTGGGCACCGTCCCTCCTCGCCATGACTCCCTACTCGCTCATACAGTGCGGGTGCTCAAAGAGAGGCTGGACGTGCACATGGAGGGCATGTCGTGAGCGGAGCTGGCTGGTGCTGGAGGTCAGACTAGATGGCCCGGGAGGCCCCTTCTGACTCGCTCTGTTTCTATATTTCTATACCTTCAGCCCCAAAGGTGCCACACCTGCCTATAACCTGCAAGGAGCAAATGGCTAACTAAGCTCTTGTAAGGGGGGGGCATTAGAGGCCGGAGTGACCAAGGAACAAGGCGGCTGCTTCTGCTCCATCCCCACACACACACACACACACACACACCGGCTCACCAGTGCATTTGGCGATGTTGTGAAGAAGCAGCGGGTATTTGGTGAGCCGCTGCATCTCGATGGGGATGATGTCCTTCAGCTGCAGCCGCCGGCACCGGGGCTGGCTTTCCGCCTCCTACAAGGAAAAGAAGAAAAAGATAGTGTGTTGCTTTGGGTTGGCGTCTGGACGAGATCCTTAAAACGGAACAAGAACAGGGAGAAAACAGGTGGAAAGGTGTAACTAGGACAATTTTAAAAGTTCTGCGTCTTAAAATGCCAAATTAGCTTGCCTAAAAGCCACAAAGAAAGGCTGATTTGCCATGCTTTGTTCTGTTTCTGCTCACCTAAGTCCCAAGGGAAGCCTCCTTCGGCAATTACCTGGATGAACTGGTTAAAACGGGGTTCTTTCTTCTGCTTGGCTTTCAGCTGTTCCAAGGCGAACGACTGGCGGCTGCAGAAACGGGCTGAGATCTTCTGGAACCAGGCCCCTTCGCTGCCAGCAAACTGGGGAAAAGACCAGCAGGCTGGTCACATGCAAACTTCCTCTAAAACTTCAGTCCTTCCCAGCCTCCAGGATAACCCCTGCCTTGCCTTGTCTTCCCCCTCCATATCCCATCACTGGCTGCATTCAAGAACTGTATGCGACTCCTCCTACCACAGACCTTCCCATCACTCATATCCAGGGATCCCCCTTCCGAATCCATTCGCATATTCAGCAGCAACCTTGCATGATGGAGACTGGAGTATGAAGTAGTCTTACGAAAACTCCTGTCTCAAGCTCAGTATCGGGCAAAATTAGACCCTTCAGAAAACTTTTATCCTTATATCTGGGTGAATAAGAGGCATCTGAGCAGTGACAGACCCCCCCCCCCCTTCAGAGGCAAGCCAGGAGACGCAAGCTCCACACACATGAAGTAAGAATTCAGTCACAATGGCAGGGTTTTTTTTTTTCAAATCTTTTGAGAGCATTTAAGGAGTTTCATTCTTGAGAGTCCATACACACCCAGGTAAGGCCAGGTAGCTTATTGTCCCCATACAGACTTGGAGGGTTGGGGCAGGGAAGGGAGACTCAAGCTGATAGGCCATGCCTTGATTAAGGTCAAGAAAGTTGTTCTCATATCTGAACTCAAGCCCAGTTTTGGATGCCACTTTTACTCACAGGACTCTGTCTTTCTACAAAAAACCAATCAATCAATGACATACATTGGAGGCAAAGGTTCCCAGCTCATAGCTTGTGCTTCTAACTAAGCATGTAGCATATTTCTCATTTGAATTATATGTATTTAAAATGGGATAACCCCAAATAATACCTAACTGGGCTTTCAGGCAGATTTAAGCCCATTTGTAACAAGCAAGCACTGCTCCCTTCTCAGACTCAGTACGCCACTCCCCTCTTCCTATGGATCATTCTAACCAGTCTCCCACCTCTGCTCTAAGGCCCTCAAAAACATCTTTCTGTGTCTTAGACACCTTCCCACGCCGTTCCCCTCACCCCGCTTGCTCTTACCCTCGCCAACAAAGTGCTTCCAATTTCAGAAACGACAGAATTGCTTTCCTCTCGGAGCTTCTTCAAGTTCTCCAGAAACGCTTCTGAGGAAGGATGAACACGGAAAGACATGATTCTGGTGATAAAACAAAGATGCGGCGACGACATCCTCCAAGTTACTGCATCCACCCCCACATAAGTGGGTTTACTGACAGGCTCAACGCTCCCAGCTTTCTAATTCCCCCCTCAGGTCCCTCAGCCAGGCCCTAAACTCCTACAGGCTGCAGCTGCAGACTCTCACTAATAACATCTGAGGACTTCGTGGCCAGAAGACACATACGTTGCCTTGGACCGCAAGGCGATCAAACCGGTCAGTCCTAGAGGAGATCAGCCCTGACTGCTCTTTAGAAGGCCAGATACTGGAGATGAAACTCAAATACTTTGGCCACCAAATGAGAAGGAAGGACTCCCTGGAGAAGAGCCTGATGCTGGGAACAATAAAAGGAGGGGACGGCAGAGGATGTGGTGGCTGGATGGAGTCACTGGGACAGTGGGTGTGAGCTTGGGTGGACTCCAGGGGATGGTGGAGGACAGGAAGGCCTGGAGGAGTGTTGTCCAAGGGGTCGCGATGGGTCGGACACGACTTCGCGACTAACAACAACAGAAAAGGGCCATACTCTCACAAGCACTCACGCGTTACCAAATATTATGCCGTATTTTAAAATGGTTGCCACAAGCAAAACAGAGCGCTGAGTTACTGGGTCTGCTACACAGGAATTCAGTAGATGAAACTTTTCCACGTAGGACGGAAACCAAAAATGGACAGTTGCCTATTTCCAAGAAGACAGCTCTTAAACCGAGCTGAGAGTAGGCTCAGTTTAAATAAGGAAAAAGGTGGAGATCCTTCTCAGAGTACTGACCATCCTTTTTCTAGAACCATCCTAGTTACAAGGTGCTTAAGTCTAATAGAAAGGTATCATCCAGCACGTGTTTATAAGCAGAGAAGAATGGGAATCTTAAATATCAAGATCAGGCAAGACTGTCTCAATTTTCCCACACTGTATGTTAAGTGGGCTGCCAGGGGAAGGGTCTTCACAGGGGTGGCACCCCAGTTCTGGAATCCCCTTTCTAGATACCTTGGTCTGCTTCCAGTTTATGACCATTGAGCTGCCAGGAAGCATAGCTATTTTCTCTTGGACATTCTGAAGTCAGTTTTATGGGTGTTTTTCACTCCTCGGTGCTCTCCGTTGTTACCTGAATTATTGCATTTATGTACGCTTCCCTTTGCAAGCTACTCTGGGAATTTCAGCAAACTCAAAGGCAGGGTATCAAATAAAACAATTAATTTGCGTTGCGAAGGACTGTAAATATAGAGTGGCGGACTGCCATCATTCTAGGTAAATAAGTCTGGAATACAGGGGGCCAGAGTGCCTCTGCCCTGCCTTCATTTCAGCCTCGGCAGCCCTTGCTTCCCAGTCTGCTCACTGTGTTCGTCGATCAAGTCCTCCAAGCTGGGGAAGATGTTTGCCACGTCCCTTTCTGAAAGGAACCCCTCGGTCTGCAACGGTTCGTAGAAAACCTCCTGCAGCACGCGGAGCATTCGCAGATGGGCATGTTCCGTGATGAACAGCTCTGCCAGGGAGAGACAAAAGATACGTCAAAGCAGGCATACCGGTCAAAGATGTCTAGCAGGTGTAAAATTCATTCCCCCTACATCTTTGCAGGTGCTCAGGTGCCTTGTGTCCTGCCCGCTGCTCATGAGCAGGATCCAATTTTGCGCAAATGCATGGATACGTATTTGCGCAAACTGGCACTCCCCGAGGATGCGCAAATAAGCAAATCCACGAAGCCTAATCTTGATTATTTTAAGTATTTTTTAGGACTACATTTGCCAATCATTGTGGAACATTTTAAAAGGTCGCTTGCAAGTCTGTGGAATCCACCTGACTCAGCCTGAGACTCTGCTGCAGAACCCACGGGATAGTCTCTGAGAAATGCAAGCTCGTTTGAGTCGGTGGCAGATTCCTCAGAGATGCCGGAGCCTCAGCCTGGGAGTGTTTCCAAGGGAAGCACTCAGTCAGGGCCTCCCTCCCTTTGAGCTCCCTTCCCCTTCGTCTCCGTCTCCTTCCTCCACACAGGGCCCACTTGCTCCGTGCACTTCCGAAGTGAGCAACCCGGGAAGCCTGGCCGCTGCATACCGTTGATGACTTCTTGCCGCTTCACTTCACTTTTCTTCAGCCTGAGGAGGGTGTCGGGGGGGACGAGCTCTCGCCAGTTTGGCGGTTCGAGCTCCAGTTCCGGAATGCGCGGCTCAGTCTCCTCAGACTGGGGAAGCAGAAAGGACGGCGGGGGCTCCCCTCCCCCTGCCCCTCCTGGTTCCAAACTGTATGGGTCAAAAAGAGTGAGAAAGACAGGGATATAGTAAGGGTAAGCCGACACATGTGTTCAGGGGCTCAATCCCAAAGAATGGTGGCTTCTTTGGCTCTCATGAAACTACAATTCCCATGCTTCCTTGGGAGAAACCACAGTAGTTATACCTGCACAATTCTGTTTTACATTTGAGAAGTATCTCCAACCACAGATGGCAGCAAAAGAGCTACCACATAATTGTCTCTCCCATCACATCAATTCTGCAACCACAGAATAACACAGAGCAAAAAAAAGACACCCCCGTGAAGCGCACTTGTGTACCCAGCCAAAATTCCTTGCTACCCAAAAGCCAAATGATCAATTGCAGCTCCTCTGCTTCTTACCTCTGCCCCGCCAAATTATTCCTATCATGCAAATAACTGGTATTAATACCTGCTATTGGTATTTTCCATTTATCACACAAATGTTTTATTGCTGGCATTTTAGCACTGGATAAGCTTCAGAGAATTCACCACAGCAGCTTTCTCCAACCTGGTACTCTCCTCATTTTGGACTTCAAAACCCATCAGACCCTGCCTGCATGACCAATGATCAGAAACGCAGGGAGTTGTAAACCAACACATCTGGAGACCCTCAGGGTGGTGAGGGGCGTGCTGAAGATGTGCCATCTAGATTTTCTTTTTTTAACACTTAGAACCAGTTTCCATGAATTTTGTCTATCAGCGGCTATTACTCAATGAAGCCCCCAAGGAAAGAAGAGGAGGGCTCTCTTTAAATGCCAGTTGTTGAGAAAAGAACAAAGAATGCATTTGGCTAAGTGAGAGATACCCAGACTGCTACACTTGCTAAACATGGTCTAATCCAGCAAGACTGTATACAGCCCGGAGCTGTTGGGTTCACACCTCGGACAATGGAGGTTTGTTTTTAAATTATAGCAGGGTTGGGTGGCTTGTGGACCTCCAGTTGTTTTGGCCTACAACTCCCAGCAACCCTAAGGCAGCATAGCCAATGGTAAGGGATGATGGGAGTTCCACGCCAAAACATCTGGAAGGCCAGAACTGCCCACCCCTGAATTAAACCATAAGAAGCTGAGGTCGCCAGGGGCATGTCACTGAAAGCATGAAAAAAATGTTGCAAATATACACAGGAGTCATGCAAAGCTATTTCTGTTTTCCTGGGCAGAAGAAATGGCTGGCTAGATTGGCCGTTTGACGGTCCCACTTATTCTTTGGTTAATTGGAAGGAATACGAGAGGTTTGTGTCTTCTCTTTTCAGCACTGCAGCAGAAGAAATGCCATTACTGGAATTCCCATGGAGCAGCCCCGGTTGGAAGCATGCAAGTGAATACTTGCTGTTGCGGTTAGCAACCAAGTGAACGGCCCCCATTCGAGAAGGGAGAGTGGGGCGAATCCTGTCACATTTCGTGCAGATGACGGATCTGCATCCCCGGGTTGGCTGCAAGGGGACGCTGCAACTTAGCCCCCGCTGCAGCCACCCCACTGTCGCTCCCCACTGGGGCGGTGGCCGGGGGAGCACCTCAGGTTCCCTCTTCACCTACTTGCGGCTCCCCTGCTTCTGCCGAGCCTGCGCTAAGGACGGCGTCTCCTCCAGCTCACCGGCACGGGCAGCAGCCTCGATGTCCACATCGCTGCGGGAGCGTAGCTGCTTGCCCTTGGCTGAGCCACGCTGAGACCGCTTCCGCTCGTAAACCCGCAGGCTCTCCGAGCGGCCCAGCTTCCCTGTCAGCCTGGCAACAGGTGGGGCGGGGTGGGGCAGGGCAGGGCAGGGGGGTGTGGAGCCGGGTCACAGACACAAAAGACGCAGACCAACCGGAGGGCACAGGTGGGGTGCGAGGACAATGGTTCGACAAGCCGGGTGGAGACAAGGAGTGGGGAGGCAAGCCACAGAACGTGGGAGGGCCACAGACCGATCACAAGAGACGGGGATGGGGCAGAAAGCCACACAATGTTGGCGTCGTACACCGGGAGGAAGGAAACGGCACGGGACACGACGAGTGATTCCCCGGCCGAACAAATGCCCAATCGCAGGGGTGGCAGACAGACGTTAGCGGCACATGCAGCAGTGGAAAGAGAAGGGGAGAGAAAGAAACATGAGAATCCCAGAACCAGTGAGAAACCCATGCGCCCAATCAGGGGAAGGTGAAGTGTGGGCTTGCGAGGAAAGGCCAGGTCCCCCATGCAAGGCTGGAAAGGGCCGGAAAGCACAGCTGTGGTTGCAAAAGTTGGGGAAACCTCGAAAAGGAGCCCAGCTTCTGGTGCCAATTGGCCTCTTCCCAACCCAGCAGGTGCTCAAAACAGGTGTTTGAAGAGGCGGGGGGGGAGACCACCCATTTGTCACTGTGAGTATGTATGGGAGGGGGCACCAAGCCAAGCAGGCCCCAGTCTTAAAAATGGCACCATTCCTCACACAACTGAGCTGGGGAAGGGGGGGCACTGCTTTGCTGCTCCAGAGAGCGGGGAAGAAAGTAATACTTAACTCAGTTTGTGTGTCTTTCCCTTAGGAAGAAATTCATGCAAAGGGTGGGGGGTGAGGATGCCACCAACCTTTTTCGCCTTCTAAAAGGGAAGAACAGAATATAGAAGGGTGATTATGTTAATACTGAAAGGAGAAACAGAGAGAGGGAAGGGGGAGGGAAGAAGGGAGGGGGTCTATCTGCTCATCTCCAGAAGGGGAGAGGATTTTTTCCCCCTAATATTGATATTGAGAAACTCTTCAGATCACAAGAGAACCACGAAGAGAGGAAGGAGGGACGACATCGCTGAAGTAATTCACAGGGGAAGTAGTGGAAGATCCGCAGTGATAACAGGAAGCTCAGCGAGAACTGTAGGGTTTTCTTCAACGGGGATATTCACAGGGTAACCGTGCGATCCTCAGAGGCAACCCCATTGCCAAGTCAATATGCACACCACACGCGGGCACGATGCAGCTGTCCAGGTGTGGGGGGACTGCTACGTCCATCAGCCCTGCCCAAGATGTGCTGGGATGGGGAACCCTGGACCACTCAGCCCGACAGCATCCGGCACGGGACAGATGTTCCCCTGCCCAGCAGCCTGAATCATCGAGAACCCACAACATGGAATACAGTTCTGGGGAAGCCCCAAACCACAGAGTGGAGAGGGTGCCATCAACTGATCTGCCCGCACGGCCCCTTCCACAACCCCCACAAGGCTCTCTCCCTGCCCTCCCCACACTCACCTTTCATTTTCTGCCCCTTCATCTACTGGGACCTGCTCCCCTGCCTGCGGCTGCTCAGTGACGGCGAAGTCCCCTGAATCTGCAGGGGGATGGCTGTCTCCACCTGTGGGGACCAAAGGATGCCCATCAGTGGGGCGGGGAAGCAGGCGCCTCCTTTCCTCCACTTGGGAGCTTCTTCCCCCAGCTCTCACCCTGCTCTCCATCATTGCCCTCCCCGGGCGGAGGGTGGATATTAACAGCCACTCCAGGGGCATCAGATGCTTGAGGAGGGGGCTTGCCCCGTCCCGAGCTGCCCTCCGTTGTTTTGGCTCCTTTCCTGTCTGAGAAGGGCGTCTTCTCACTTGCTGGAAGGAGACAAACAGGGGAAGGGAGAGGAACTTTAGAAGAGAAAGAAGAATCACATTTGCCCCATATGCAATGCAGGATCCTTTCTCTCCACCCCCCCCCCCCCCCCCCCGCTTTTAGTGACACTTCCGTCTCCCTACACCTGAGGGCTTATGCACACCTTAAGACTTCCACCTGAGTTTCAAAATGAGGAGGTCACTGTGCCATTTCGTTCTGGACAGTTTTCCCCCACCACCCCACAGCAGTGAGCAATCGTTCCGTAGAGCAGATGCAGGAAATTTCTGACCCATGGATCCAATCCAATCCTCCTCGGATCCCTCTGGGTTTATGGCCCACATTTGCCGGGTCGGGCGGGCAATCAAACTGCAGAAGCGCATAACCTGTGCATAAGCCTTCGGAGAAACGGACAGCCCTCAAGGGTCCAAATTCCACCCAACTCGGGCAAAATCTACCTCCCTCCGCCCCCCCAGACAGACAGACGGACACACAGCAAGCAGCTGCAGCATGCCAAGAAATTTAGCCGATAATGTGACAGTGTGATGGACTTGTATAGGGGTATGTGTGATACATATTAGTACATTATTATGGAGAGAGTGAGCAGACAAATATGTCATTACGTCAAACCATGAATACAAGGTTAGCGTCTGTAGTTACAGTAGGATGCATTAGTTCGTCTGCCTCCTCTGCAGTGAGGCAAGGTGGTATATGTGGGTGCCATGCATTATTTGGGAGTTGGTTTGCAGGGGGGAGGGGGCACTGGTACCTTCACCCTCGGGTTTGGACTGTCTGTAATCAGAATCTACAAAAAATGCAGGAAAAGAAGGAAAAAATGGAGGAGGAGGACAAGTGGACAGGGAAGAGGAAATATGAAACCAGTCCCCGCCCAGGAACTACACATGCCTGTGTTAAAAAGAAATTCTGTGGGGGCAGAGCGCGCATCAGATGCGCCTCTCCATTTTGGCTGGTGCGTGCAACTTGGCCACTGTTTTTCAATGTGTGTGTTGCTTCTGTCTGCAAAGCAGCAACAGGCACTGGACCTCCACGTGTTAAGAGGTTTGGGGATGCTGTCCAGATCAGCCCCAGGACAGAGCATGGCCAGAGTCCACACAGAGTCGTCAGCCAAGCTCTTTACAGTGAGCAGAAGGGGAGTGGCCGGGTGCCACGCAGGTTTGCACGGACTATCAGTTCTGTGGCCACTCAGAACAAGCACTGCTTTTTGCAGAAGGCACACGTGGCTGCAATTCCGATTCTTCCCTCGCCTCCCGGCACTTCTGGGAGGCGGTCAAGATTGAGCATATTCTCCTTGCGGGGAGGGGGGCTGCCTTCCTCTTTGATGAGATTATGCAATGGTCTTGTCTGTTGGTTTAAGTGGACTCAGGAAATGAAGCTTAGCACAAGGCAAAAAGCCTTCTGGACAAGGGCTAAGATAGATCGGCCCGTCAGTTCTGCTCCTTTCCCAGCTGCACACTTACAGTTGGATTCTCCACGGTTCCAGCGCGCTGGGTCCAAAATATTGAAGCTCTTTCTTGGCTTGGGAGCTTCCTCGGGCTTCTTGGTTCCTGGAATCTGGATGAGCAGGAAGGAGGGCGGGGGGGGGGGGGGGGGGGGGGGGGGGGGAGAAGGGGAATGGTGAATTGCACATGCATGAGAACCCCCTCCCAGGACGGGCTCTGCAGCACTCACTGCTGATAGTTCCCCTCCGCTAGGTTGAAACTCTGGACAAAGCAAGCTGTGCTTTTCGGGAAGTCAATTTTTCAGCCCACTTCTCAGCTGATCATTAGGAAATGGGGTGAGGAATGGGTTTCCCTGTGTTGTGGCCCTCACGGTACTTCCTTGTTGTGGTCTCGTGTGTCTCCACAGTCCAGCTACACCCGCAACACACTTTCCCCCAGTCTCAATCCTTAACTTACCTTCTTGCGGAAGAAGATGGCTTTGGACTTTTTGTTATCTGTCGATTTGGTCTTAACCCCCAGGTGCTTCATATATGTCGCAATGGCAGTGAAAATGGCAGAGCTGAGGGAGGAGAGAGAAAAAAGAGAAGAGATGGAGGAGTTCCAGAAAGTAACGGAAGAGGTCCTCAGGATCAGTTCATATGTGATGTTTCTTGCAACTCTAGAAAAAGTATTCCCGAAGAATAGAGAGGTGCAGGAAGAGGCTCGGAGAACCCTATTCCCAAGCACATTCCCTAAATATACTGGCTCACAGGGCAGCATTCCAAATTTCTACAGAGTGTACCATCCCGGTATTATTTTAGTAGCCCTACTGGCAGAGCAGCAAGGGATGCACTCCCTGTGGACTAGCCACCTAGAGCAAACCACCCTCAGCAGATGGAACAAGGGCATCACTGTGCTACAGGCAAGGCTTTGTAGAAAATACTTGCCTGCAACATTTCCTTGAGTCCCAACCACTGGGAATAGGCAGGATATAAATAAAAAGAATTAAATTTCTGGTGGAGAGGTTAACGAATTCAAAACTTGCTCCTACCAATACACAAAGACTTTGCAGAGTAAACCAGACCCTGCTCATGAAGAAGAGAAGAGGAGTAAGAAGGGACAGAGGGAGACTTCTTTTTCTAAGCCTATGGTAAGTGCAGACAAACAAAGAAAGCAGCAAGAATCCTTTTTGCTCCCTGCAGAAGCAAACCCTGGCATTTCCAGCTCAGAAGTAACAAGACTGAGAGAAGAATTTTATCTGAGGCACAGGACAGACAGAAATGGGGCCATATGATCAAGGGACAGATGTCTATAGGAAAGACTGGGGCCTCTGGGGTTAAAAAAAGCAGTTCCCCTCCACCTTGCCCACCCACCCACCCTACTTCCTGAGCAACGACAGAACTGAAGTTGCTGCAAGCCACATCCGGCAGGGCCGGTGACGTGGCACTCTGCAGAGGCTGCAGCGGAAAACAAAAGCCCGGCACCCACCTCTGCAAGCCGCCCGTTACGTACCTTTTCTCCTCGTCGACAGAAATTGTGGGGCTGGAACAGAGAAAAGGAACAGAGACAGAAAGAGATGGGCTTGTGAAATTCACATCAGTTTACTAGTTCTCGTTGTCTCCCTCACCTTGCCTGAAGAGCTTTGTCTTCGCTAGAGACCACAAAATAGCCCAGAAGTCACGCTGCTGGACTTCCCAGCTGAGCAAGGATCTGCACCTGGCTCTCCCGCTTCCAGTCTACCTGTGTCGCCTCTCACGAGGCTGTGGGGAGCAAGGCAGCTCCCCGAGCAGAAGCGGCTCTCCTTCCCAGCAGCCGCTGCCTTGCCAAGCCCTTCTCCTTCCTTCTCTTCCTCGACCTCCCACACGTCTTGCACATATAAACTCACCGGTGCAAAAGCCCCATCTTTCCTTGGTGAGAGAGCCACACACGAAAGGCAGATTGGCATATTCTGTGGCATAGGATGCTGGGAAGTGCCTACGGCTCAATCGTAGTTGCTGGACCGAGCTGGATGCAGCAACTGAGCTGGAAGGGGGTGCACGGGCGTTTATACACCCTACAAGGATGATGCAACAGGAGGCAACGTCCTGGGATGAGTGGAGGACGCCTCTCTCCTTCCTCCCCCACCGGCTCTCCCAACAGCTGGTTCCTATTATCTGGTAGGAACTTGGCAGGCGAGAGCTGGGGGGAGCCTCCAGTCAGCTCGCCGTGGCCACATCCCTTGTTCCTCAGAGATGAAAGATCAAGCAAGAAGCAGATTCCTGGCTTCGATCCCAGTGCAAGTGGGATCAGGGCCAGGAAACAGAAGCTCTGTTCATGGGAAAAAGGGGTTGGGGAGAGCGGGGCCTCCCTGCTCCGGGATGGATGGAGACATCCGTCTGGGTGAATACATCTTCCTGGTTTGGAACGGGAAGCTTGGACGGGACGGAGAGCTGAGCCAGCAGCAGGGGACTGGGCTGGTTGAGGTTAATTAAGACACTGCAGAGGCTCGTTCCGTTTAGATAAGAGCGGGAAGACACAGTAAGCAAAAAGCCCATTCTGGTTTTGTCAACTAGGCACGATGTGTCAGAAAGAGTATGAATATGGAACGGAGGGATTTTTTTTCTCCTTGCCCTGCCCATACAGCCTAGCAACGGATCAGCCTATCGGCATTGTTTTGAAATGCACACAAAGGAGGGAGCGAACCCAAAAGTGGGTACTGCAGCCAATGCTGCACCACAAAATGATCCCGTTCAGGGTTCCAGCCAGCCACACCCCTTGCTGACACTCCATTCCACCCCCAAGGCTCTCATCTTCCACCCCACCTGCTATTTCCCATTATTCCCCCCAACCCGAGGCAGCCAAAAGCTCAGTTCCCATTGAGCTTTTGACAAGGGTGGGGGCCGTTTTCCTAATTTTCCCCCCTTTCTTTACACTTTGGGCTCCCCCACCCCCCCGACCCAGCTGATAACCCTTCCCTGGTGCACAGACAGACCTGTTTTAGCTAAATAGGGACGGGCACATGGAGGAAGACTCCATAGGACAAGCTTGTAGGGCCAAGAAGGCCAGGCCCAATGAGAGCAGCTTGGGAGGAACCATTCATCTGGTTTTGAAAGGGGTGAAACGGAGCCGAAATGGGCAGGTTCATTGATCATGGCTTTGGGGGCGAGTGTAGAGATGTTTACTCACTGCATCTCCTCCAGCTTGCCCAGCAGGAGCTCTGCCAACTGCTTCTCCTTGGAATCACGGATGCTTCCATCTTTGGTCCGATAGCCTTCCAGCTCCAAAAGCTCTGTCTCCCCGAGTGTCATCCCCATCTTTCTTTTCTCCCTGCAGGAACCAAAAAGCGAGGGGTTAGGACTCTCTCCCAGCAAAAATACACACCCAGAACAAAACCAAGCACAACGAAAAGCACGTCTTCAGCACTCCCAACTCCCCTAGAGACTCGCCCAGCCCTAATTTGCATTCTGAATCTCTTTTAAGGCCAGCAAATTTCCCCAGTGGAGTTGCGGGATCCCTCAGGGACGCCTAATGAGAGAAGACAGGGCGCCATTACCGCCTTGTTCGACTGATGCACTTGCGCTGGAAAACACTGGACACATTTCAAGGCATGTGCTGCGCACTGACTGAACCACAGTGTGGCCCAGGGCTGCATGGGAATTCAGCATAAGATGTGCCATCCATGGGCTTCCAGGTTGCCATCCTGGTGAAGTAGTAGCCCACCCCAGCCTCCCATCCCATCCCATCCCATCAGGAGGCCCCAAGAGCCAATCCCAGCCCATGAGATCGCATAAAGCACCAGCCTCAGAACCTGCTGCTTTGCCCAAACAACCCATAAACTCCATTCATGTGTAACATTAAGCCAGGATTTACATTAACCATAGCTTATTGTTTTAGCCATACATTGTCTCTCCCATTTTACCAGCTTTCAGAGCAGTTTCCTTTCCAGACTGCTCTTGCTAGGTATGCCTTTGTTTGAGGTGGGATGGCGACACAAGCAAGCAAGGGATTCGCCACAGTTCCGGGTTCAGGCATCGTGACAAACAGGTTTAGGCAAGCCAGACCTCATAAGCCACAACAAATCACACCTTCCATTGGCTAACAAACCACGAAGTGTTTATGGGGATGGATTCAGACACAAGAAGTTAGATTTTAACACAGCTCACACATAACAAAACCCATATTTATTAGCCATGGTTTATTGAATGATGAGCTACTACATGTGAACCCAGAGTTATGGTTTAACTATGGATTATTAACTAGGAACAAACCATGAAATGAACCCATATTTTGCAGTCAGACTGTGAACATGTTGCTTAAAGCATGGGTTTGCTGTTACACATAAACCCAGAATGGTGGGTTGTTCATGGGTTGTTTCACCAAGCTTTACAGGTGGAAGCCAAGAGCAGTAAACTAAAATTCCCAGCCTCTTTACAGCCCAGAGCTGCAGTGCTGCAAAGGCAGCTGGGATACAAAGAAGAACTGTGCAAAAGGGGAAACAAACCACAAGGATTTAGAAAGCAAACCATGGTTTGGTTTCATCTTCTGCCAGACATGCTAGGTACGGCAACAAACCATGGTTTAAACAAACCATGGGTTAACATGATGCGTGAATGAGGCCTTGGTAAACCAAGTCACAAATACCATCAGGACAGTGCACATCACTTGCTCCTGCTGGGCTCCACCTGTTTGATTTTGGCTATACATCTGCCACTAGCTTAACCCAGTTCTTGTTTTCTGCTCTAGAACTAGTATGTTGCCCTGTTTAGGACTAGACACCTGCTTGAACATGCCTGGGCTAATGCAGTCTGCTCCCCTAGGACCGAGAGTCTGGCCATCCATATCCTAAGCCTTTCCCCACCTATGTTAAACCCATTCTGGTTTCTGCCCGCTCCTCCTGCTCCTGCCACTCCAAGCCCAGGAACCAGACCTGAAGTCCTCGAGCTGGCGAGCAATCTCTGTTTCCTGAAAAGCTTGGATTTCTTGCAAGTACTTCCGCTGCAGGTCGTCAGAAAGCAGTTCAGGTCGAGTTCGGTCTGCAAAGAGAAGATGAGAATGGACTTACTGGAAAATGGAGTGGGGGGTCAGGTACCAAGAGGAAATACAGTAACCATCTCTTAGGCTGGGAGGAAAACTGAGAAGACATGAGTATTCGAGTCAAAGCTTGCTTTTCTTTAGTCTTAATTAATAATGTAGAGTGCCCAGCCTGTATTACCTCAGTCATTTTTGCAACAACCCTATAAGGAGGACTGGTAATATTATTTCCACCTTGCAGCTGGGTGGGGAGCTGGTCAAAGGCCTGCAATTTAAGCTCACCTAAATGAATTAATGTCCAAAGCAGAATTTCAGTCTGGGATTTCCTGGCTCATAGCTTAGTCACTCACCTTTTCTACCATGCTATATTACAATTGTCACTCGTCAGGCTGACAATTTCCATTCTGTGTTTAGCAAGCAATCTGTCCCTTCCCATGTTCTTTAAAAAAACAAGCATGTGGATGTTTTTGTTACTGGATGTTAAAAATACACTAGGCATGAAGGAGGAAGTGCCTGCCCAGACGGGTGCAAGTCATAAGGAGTAGAATCTGGAGTGGTGGGGCATTAAAAGGGAAAACCAGGTGGTCTAAATTCTAGCAGCTTCAACATGCTTCATTTCTTAGCAGGGGGCAGGGCTGTGACTGCACACCTGCGCCTCTTCCTCCCATCACAGCAGCAGCGTGACCACAATTTCCAACTACTGGTAACATCCTCACACTAATGACATCTCTGGGTTGCTGCAAGAGCATCTTAGAACCTTTCTCAAACCCAAGTTGCTCTATGCTTCCTTTCACAGATTGCATCCTCGAAGTACGGAGGGTAATTCTTGTTGCTATATTTGTACGAAAGGAAAAAAAGGCACTACACAAACTCAGAATAAACTTCCCCAAAGCTCTCCAGCTGTCCTGGCAGCCAGCCCTCCAAGATAAACAAAAGGGACCAGCCTGCAGTTCTGACTTACAGACTCTTGGGGGGATGGAGGCCATTCCACGGAGAAGCACCTCCTCTGCTAACAAGGCATTTGTTGCCCAGGCAAATCGCCTGCCACTGCTTTGGTCTGTGCCCAGCGGGCTGCCAGGACACGAGACGCTTCAGCAGCAGACCACGTGGGCCTGGTGCTACAATGCAGCCATCTCGGAGGTGGGGGCGACTTTCCTCACAGTGCCCTCCAACAGAGAGCTGGAGGAAGCCGCAGCTGTCACTGGGTTCCAGGCAGCTGTTTCCCTTCGCAAGGGGTGCATGACGCAAGGCCCTGCTTGCACACAGAAGGTCCCAAGAACACCGCGTCTCTCGAATGGCCACGGTCTGCCTGAGACCTTAGGGCAGCCTTGCCCAATTTGGTGCCCCTGCCGTTGTGGTGGTCTGCAACTCCCAAAATCCCCAGCCGGGATGGACACTGGCGGGCCATCACGTCTGGAGGGCTCCAAGTTAGGGGTTAGAGAGATCCATTCACAATCGGTACGAGCAACACCACTGTAGGTGAACCAATTTCACTAGTGTGACTTGTGGGCACCGCTTGGAAGTGTGCATACGCAACAGCCCAAAATGCGTACGAAAAGCCACTGGGAGGCATCTAGGAGGCGGGGACCAGCCACTTAGATGACACACAAGCTTCCTGCATTCAGCACATTGCTGACTGCAAACAATTACTGTGGGTATCTTAACCTCCACGTCTTTTTAGGTTTCTAGTCCTTATGGTTCTAGGGCCATGCTGCGTGAAATCTTGGAAGTGAATGTGAGTTTGGGAGCAATGGGGGAAGGTGGATAAACTGGTTTTGAAGTGTGGGATCTTGGAACTCAGCTGCTCCAACCACAGAACCTGGGTTACACCAGCAACAATATTTTTAATAAATGGATTGATTTCTATAAGGTCCAATAGCTGCAGCTCTCTGGCAATCTGGAATTCCTCCCCATTGCTCTTTGATGCACAGAGTATACAGCTCTCGGGAGGATGCAGAGTTTTTCTGGGCCACTGCTAGGTCAGACGGCCCCTGCACTTCCCCTTTCCTCCTCCCGCTCCCCGGTTCCGAGAACAAGCTTGCCCCTATTCAGGTGGGCAGAACGGGTGGAGCAGCAGCCACTAGGTGGTGCCATGAGGCTGTGGGCCCAGCTGCCTCGCTGGCACCCCGTCCCACCCACCCCTCCACCCACCCCTCCACCGTGGCAAGAGAGGCCGGGCTGCTTTGCGGCTGCGGATGAGCTAATCTATTGGCGAGCTAATCTGTTGGCCGGGGCAGCCAGAGACCATGAGCCCTCCCCAGCTCTCTTCCAGCCCTCTGACTTCCTGCCTTTCACAGCTTCACCAGCTGGGTGCGGTCTCCAACAGCTGCAGCAACGCTAGGAGGGACGGCTACCGCCCCCCCCCCCCCCCCAGAGACGGGCGAGCAGGGCGGAAGGGAACTGGGGAAGGTGGTGGGGGAGGGATTCTGGCTCAGTCTGGGGTAGATTCTCTGGCAAGGCAGCAGAACTAGAGTGGAAAAAACAAAGGATCCCAAAAAGGTGGGGTGGGGAAGGATGGTGATACTGCAACATGCTTTCACGCGCTGCAGGAGCAAGTCCCCCTCTTTACCTAAGCCGGTATACATATTTGCTCGGAAGCAAGTCGATTGCGATTGATGCACTAACTTCCAAGCAAGCGAACAAGCATGCAGCGAGTGCAGGCCCCTCTCCGTGGGCCCTGCACTGTGCAAACAAGAGAGTGCAGCAAAGACACGGTGGTTGGACCCGCTCCCGTGCCGAAAAGCAAGGCGTCCTGCGCTTGCCACAATTCCAGGCCCTCCCCTGGGGTGACTCTCTTCTCGTCCTGTCAGTCATTCAAGGCCTTGTGTGTTTTGCACACTGATACATTCTTAAGGCCTCACCAAAAAAAGCTGAATGCTGCAAGCTCGAGATAATGCAAATTACCGACAAAATGATTAATAGCAAAGCTCTTCTGACTGTAACATTCATTGGTGCAAAAGATGTGAAGTTTATCCCCTGTCAAATTAGAACATGCGCTTTCTCCCTCACCGCTGATGGAGATTCTTACCCAGTTCGAATTGTACATGTGATGGAACAGGGACCCTCAGGTGCTGCAGAAAAGATCAGAGACAATGCTTAGATGCAGGCGAAACTCTGCCCTAGGACGAAATGTTCACAGAGGACAAGCCACAACCATCAGCCACAAGAGGAAAGCTGCTTGCGCAGGCGCCGTCTTAACACACGTCCCCCACTTCCGATGCTGGCACACCCGCAGAGCAGCCGGAGCGCATCAGGCACGCACCAGGAGGGTTCCAACAGCCGTGACCCCCAAGCCAGTCCTAAATCAGAGGCAGCTATGCAGATCCACGTCAACAAACCAGTTCGAGCAATTGTTGCTCTTCCGGGAGCAGGTCTTTTGTCAAGTGAATAGCGATTTTTAGCCAACCAGGCTGGTGCGTTCCAGAGGGGGAAAGGAGGCGGCTGGGGCCAAGAGGCTCCGGGACAGCTCACTGGCCCTCCCCACCTCCCCCTTTCCCAGGAGAACAGCCTGCATGGTCCTTTCTGCAAGAGGGAGAGGAGGTGTCTCTCCAAAGAGGGGAAAAGTCCTACAATTCCCAGCATGCCCCAGCGAGCCGTGCTGGCCGGGGCCGGTTGGGCAATGCGCCTCTTTTTCTGCTTCTACCAGTGCAGGATTAGCACCTCCAAAAATGAACATGGGAAAGATGCCCGGAAGCAGACTGATCCCTCTGCTCCAGGAGTGGCAAAGCAGTTCGGGTTGGGGATGGCGCCAAGACGGCCCCCAGAGCTTCACTCACTCCAGCTTTGTCCAGAAACGTGTGGCAGAACTCCACAAACTGCTTCTTCGCCTCCTTGGGTCCAAGGTGAGACAGAATGAGGTCCACGTGTAGGTAACAGAGCTGCAAGAAGAGAAGGCAGCTGAGAGAGGCACCGAACAGAAAGGATGGAAAGGCAGGTTCCTTTCCTGCTGATTTCCCCCACATCCTGAGTCACACTTCACAACTAGGGGGCGGAGGACTTCAGCTATTGGGTGGCATACAAATTAAAGCAGCAGCAACAACAACAACACAAAAACTGGGGCCTGAGTTTGTTTTTGCTCTCTCCCTTGGCATCCCTTTTTGAGTCAATTAATTTCAAGCTTTCCAAACCAAGTATTTGTGGAGTGCTTCATAAACGATAAACAACATTAAGCAGTAAACTGAATGGGCTTATGAGCTTCTTCCTTCCCCACTCCTCCTTTGTTTAGTCGGGAATCAGTGGGGAAGGAGCTGGCCTTTTCTACTCTTTGTACAGCAATGACAATATTATTAAATGCTTAATAAATAATAATGCATCTCACTGCCCAGAGGACTGAAAGACCAGCCCAGCTTGCAGTTTTCCCTAAGTTAAAGGAGCTACTTAAAGCATGCTTTCCCAACCTGGCACCCAGCCAATGTGCTGAACTACAGGTCTCAAAATGCACAGCCCCAGGGTGTAGAAAGACACCCAGGGGCTTATGGTAAAGCTGAAAATTCAGAGAAAGTGCTTGGAACATTCATGGGGTCTCTTGGCTACATGTTTACTTCCATAAGTATTTTTCACAGCCACACAATGACCTGGTTTACAACAGGACAACCCAGAGTGTGGTTTGTGCGTGGGTTGTTGCTGAACTGTGTTGTGTGAACCCAGTGGCACTAACAATGGTTTGTTAATGACAAACAACCCACAGTTCACATCCCTGCCACCAACCACAGATTCTCTCATAAGCTTAAGGAACTGTTGTGAGGTGTCAGCTCACAGTATAAATGACCCACACTTCAGCAGGCCATAAAACTGCGGTTTTGTGAGCCGCCCTGAGGCTTTATTGTGATGGGGCGGCATAGAAATGTTTTAAATAAATAAATAAATAAATAAATAAATAAATAAATAAATAAATAAATAAATAAATGAAACTAAATCTTTTTATTGCTACTTATCTGCAAGATTCACAACGCTACAGATAAACTCTACTGCAATGATCTTGACAAGTCAGTTGCTACCTCCTTAGTGACATCCCACAGGGAACCCACGTGGGATTAGCTTTCCCTGTCCCACCTCTTCCCCCTGAGGTGGGACAAAGCTTCCTTCTGTTCCAGTCGGCGTAAGCTGCATCTGAGAGTCGGGCGAGTCAAATCTATCCCGCCTCTTGCGTCTCCTGTATCTTGTTCAGGAGACTCAGCGTCGGGAGGAAGGGGGGCATCCTGCCCACACTCTTCAGGGGCAGAACGTGGGCCCTCGTGGCCAGACTGAGGCGCGGCTGTTTGCCCAAGGGGTAAAGGGTCAGGATGAGGGACGGCTCTCTATCCAGCTACTCCCAAGTCAGGTTGTGCAAGGGTCGCCTGGTTACAGGGCCTCAGGTAGAAGCCCACCTGTTCTGATGTCTGATTCTCTGTTTGGGCGTTTGACTCTTCCTTGTGAGGTGCCGCCTTTGTTGAGGCGTCAGGCACGACAGGAACCATGGTTTGTTAGTGTGCCTGGATTCACACAGCAGAACAATCCCCGATTCAACAGCAAACCATGCTCTGGCTGGCTGTATTGTGGAAACCCAGCCAACGCGAGTGGCCTATTAACAGGAATGCCTCTAGTCAACACTGAAAGCTGGGAGAGAACTCCCCGAGGCACTTGCTGTAAGGGAGCATTGAGTCCCCTGAAAGCTAAAACTGGGCAACCCAGAGAAAGGAGCACACTGAACATGCAGGGTTGTGCATAAACAACATCCACATTACAGCACATGAAGCATCTGTTAAATAGAAGTTAACCTTTTGCACCGATGCAGCTCAAGGAGGCAGACTCAAGCTCAACTTAGCTCGCACTTCCAACAGCTCAGAGGGAGATGTTCACACACAAAAGCCCCTGTACTTCAGGGCTGACAGCGCCAGGCAGCTGGCAGTACGATGCAAGGGCACTAACAAAACATGGATGCAAGAACGCCCCCCGCTCACCAAGGGGCTGGAGTCAAATTGCAGCACCACATGCTGGACGAACACCATCAGGTAGGCAGGATGGGTGGTCAGGAGCTTCAGGTTCTGGAACAAGCAGCTTTGAGCATCTGGGTTCTGCATCAGAGAAAAGAAAGCCAAGCGGGAAGATCAAGGTCATTTAGCTTCTTGGCTACCCCTGCCCACCCTTTGGGACTTGTCCCGGCTCCTTCCATCTCACACCCAGGGCCCTATTCCCTCCTGATGTTGCCACTCTTCTTCCTGCATCCCATAATGCTCCTGCAGATTCCCACTTACAGGCTCAATATCATTCTCAAAGTCTTCATCTTCTGCTCCGATGATTGCCATGGCTGACCCACCTCGGGCACTGGGTGCTGGGCTCTGGCAAGGAAGACAGGAAATTCCACCTTATTCCACCAAAGAGTCCACAGCTTTGGGTCTCCACTGCTCCCTCCCCCGCCCCACAAGTCTTCACACATCACAGGGGCCCAAACCTCTCTGCATCTTTTCCCTTCTTTTCCCAACCCTATTTTACTTCCTCATTTGTCATGCAGGAAGCCTAATTCAGCCTCCTGCCCCCCACAAACTGGCACCCCCTGGAAGTGTTGGACTACAACTCCCATCAGTGGTCATGCTGCAGTCCATGTTACCTGGAGGCTGGGGCAAAGTGCAGATGGCTCTCTCGAAGGCAGCCTTCCCCAACCTGGCATCTCCTACATTTGTTGGACTACAGCTCCTATCATCCCCTGCCACCAGGGGCAAATGGTTCAGGCTGCTGAGAGTTCCAGCCCAAAGCCCTGAAGGCTCCAGGTTCAGGAAGAGCTGCTCAGAGGCCTGGACAGTCCTCTTGCCTATGGCCCTTTTTCTCCCTCGCATTTCTCCACTGCCTTCCACCCATCCCGTCCCTCAGTTACTCACTCCATTGTACGCCTCTTCCAGCTCCATTCTGCCCCCGTGGGGGCAACCGCAGCCACCAAGTCAAGCGGCCCCACCGCTCAGGATCTGCATAGATCTTTGTGTGACACAGAAAAGAAAAATCCGTGGCTGAGATTGGGAGAATATAAAATCCACGGCTTCTTTGCAGCGCCAGATCGGGGCCGAGGGGGTGAGCCGCCTCTCCTAAAGGGGTGCAGGGCAAATAGACCAAACTTGCTTCTACTCAGGGTGAGCGATCGGCAGCAGGCAGCCCCAGGAATCAAACCCGCTCCCTGAAGGGTGCACTTAGGTCGAATGCGAGGAGGCGGCATGTGTGTTAGTATGTACACACGCACGCATGTGCGCATGCAACTGGGGGATTTGTGAGCAGCTGGTATGTGTGCGCAAGCTGGGGTCTTGCGTCCAGCCCGGCTTGTCCTCATCATGTTTTCAAGGTGGCAGTTCAGTAAAATACATCACAGACTTCCATTTAATCTTGTCTCAGGTGGCGAACCTGTATCTGGATTGCTCCACACCATAGTTCAGGGGATGGCCAGGGAGGGGGAACTGACATAATGCATTGGGACCCCACCTCAAAAAGAAATAGAAGAAAGCTGCAACATTCTCCCATTCACCTCATTTTCTACATGGAATGGTTCACCGGGTCAATCACCCCCCCCCCCATGGTCTGAAATGGAACAGCCCAGATAAGGGTTATACCCTCAAACCAAAGATGTGCGGGGGGGGGGGGGGTCGTCCCTGTGGAAAGGACAAAGGCAGGCAAAAGGAGAGGGGTGGACAACTTGCCGGCTTCCAGATTTCGGGCCTGCTACTCCTATCAGCCCTAGCCAGCTAGGCAACACTGAGGGATGATGGGAGATGTAGGCCAAAATATGGCCTACAGGCCTACAGGCTCGTATATATTTTGTGGTCCTCTAAAGTAAGAGTCCAGACAAGGCAGATAAGAATATGGGAGATAGGCTGGTACCTGTGTGTGGAACAGGAATTGCAGGAGGAGGCTGCAGACAGAGGAGTATTCAAGCTACCAAGAGCATCCTCCCATCACCGCCCCCCCCCCAATTACTCAGAAATTCCTGCGCTAGGTGGAGGTAGAGCGAGGCATGAATACCAGCTCTGTCACCTACAAAGAGGCCTCAGAGTACGATGCCAGCAGGAGGGGAAACTCCACACCCCGCAGACAGACTGACTCATAAAGGGCATCGTTCCAAGGGGCTGGCACTAGGACATGGAATTGCTGGGAGAAAAATATGGGTCAAAAACACCCCATTGCAACATCCCGCAGACACTTTCCTCTCCACCACACACAGGCTGAAACCCCAGAAAAAGGGAGACTTGAGTTATCCGACTATTAAGATTTAGTTCCAAACGCCATCAGCATGGCACTCATTTGCTATCAAGCAGCATGCAACCCAATGTGGGAAACTGAAGTTTGGGGTAATCTGGGGTTAGTGCCTGGGCTTCCAGTTGTGGCAGAATGCTGAAAATAACAGTTCATTCGGTATTTTGCACTTTGGAACTTCCTGAAGAGCAAAGGGAAATGGATTAAAATTCACATAAAACAAGTGAGATCAGCTTGTGAAGCCCCTTAAAGACATGTCTGGCCCAGGATCATAAAAATCCCCTCACTCAAACCCCTTGAACAAGGGGGAACTGCCCACACAAAAAGCTCAAATAGATTTTAGGTCATAAATGGCTAAGAAAAGAGACCCAGAGAAGAAGGACAGTAAACTTTGAGGACTAGTAGCTTCAGAGCAGTGATTGACATAACTGTTTGGTGAACATCAGTTTCAATTTAGTTTAACTAACAGAGACTCTGGTGTTTGAATAGCTGCCTCTCCAAAGCAGAAGTTCAACAGGGACTCCTCTCCCATCATGGTGTCTGCCGGACGCAAAAAAAAACCACAAGGGCATTGAATTTTGGTCTGTGGCACAGCAACTAGAAACACGCAAGTTCGGAGGAAATATGATAATAGTGCTGAGAAGAGTGAGAGAGGAGTGCAGCAACTCTCCAGATGCACCAGGCTATGAACCTGTTTGTGCTGTCTGGGGGGGGGGGGGGGAGTTGTAACTCAAAATGTGAAGGACGCCATAATGGAAAGGCTGAGAAATGGATTACGGCCTTTAGGTTCCAAAGATTAGTACCATTTTAGTGGGAAACTGTGGTGAAATATCTATCTATATATACAGATGTAAAACACAAACGAATTCATTAAAAAAGAGGAACCACAGAGCAGAAATATCTAGCGTAGACGGAAACCAGCCGTGTGGTGCTCTCAGATAGGGCTGAGTTGATATAGAAAGAAAACGGCTGAAAACCTCAACGAAAGCACTCGCACTTCAATAAAAATGGCTGCCAATCGCAGTGCGGCAGATATGCGAACAAGAAGTTGGAGGTGATTGTGTAAGAGCAGCAAAATTATAATTAAAAAAATTTCACTAATTCCATTTTTCCCTTCAAAGTACTTTAATTTGTTCATAATAGCTTAAGAGGGAGGTGCATCTGGGGGGTATTGTCTGCATGTATGTTTGCATGAAAAAGTGTTTTGCATTATCTACAACATTGTATTTTTAAGGCTTTACTCCTTATGTACTGCCCAATTTGGGGAATATCAAAATGTCATAAATGAAATGAAAAAAAAAAATCTGCTCCACCATAAAATATGCTGGGCCCCTGTCGTGCCTGACGCCTCAACAGAAGCAGCACCTTACGAGGAAGAGTCAAACGCCCAAACAGAGAATCAGACATCAGAACAGGCGGGCTTCTACCTGAGGCCCTGTAACCAGGCGACCCTTCCACAACCTGACTTGGGAGTAGCTGGACAGAGAGCCGTCCCTCATCCTGACCCTTTACCCCTTGGGCAAACAGCCGCGCCTCAGTCTGGCCACGAGGGCCCACGTTCTGCCCCTGAAGAGTGTGGGCAGGATGCCCCCCTTCCTCCCGACGCTGAGTCTCCTGAACAAGATACAGGAGACGCACGAGGCGGGATAGATTTGACTCGCCCGACTCTCAGATGCAGCTTACGCCGATTGGAACAGAAGGAAGCTTTGTCCCACCTCAGGGGGCAAAGGTGGGACAGGGAAAGCAGGGAAACAAGCAAAAACAGAGCGAGCAAACAATACAAAAACTCACAAAAACAAAATAAAAAGATATAAAGCCAAACAAAAAAAATACGAAGGGAAACAAAAGTGGGTCGTTTCAGCCCCGCCCCTCATAGGAAGAGGAGGAAAATGGGTGACTCACCTGCACACTGAAACAAGATTGTCGAGAGCAGAAACAGCACACACACGTGCAGGAAAGCGACGTGGCACTGCTTACAAGATGAACTCTCAACTGAAGAGGGAAGCGGCACCATGAGCGAGACGGGTGAGCTCCAGCCCTTGACCCCACGCTTCTGCCTGCTACCCACTTCGCACCTTCTTCCAGCCACTGCAAGGCCAGGAATACGGGCAGGAAAGGTGACCACAACAGCCCTACCACCAGCCCTGTCTTCCCGTTTTCCTTGGCGGCCTTCCCAACAACGGGGCCGGGGGCTGGAAAAGCCCTGCACTGGGACACCTGCATTCCTTTGCTGGCGCTGCCCCTTTCCTTATTATTCCTATTCAGAGGCCAGCTTTTGTCACAGACAGGTTCCAAAACAAAAGAAGCAACCAACGATTTCCTGACACAGGAAAGGATGCAAGTGCAGCCACCACACACACACACACGCACACCCCGCTGCAGAGACACATACTTTCTCAAGAGGCTGCATCACCTTTGGGAGGGAAGCCAACTTTCACAGGTTTCTGCAGCAACCACCTCCTAAGAAGGGCCCTGCGGCACCAGACTGCATCTCTCTGCAGTACCTGTCCATCTGCTTCTGATGGTGGACAGCCAGAGGCCTCTGGAAAGAGCGAAGGGCAACTGCCACGGAGCCCAAACCCCGAGGACTGCCAAGCCCTGCCATCAATGGATTTAGTTCTGCCTTCCCCAGCCCGACACCTCTGGACCCAGTAAACTCCGGGTCCCATCTGGACAGCCCATGATCGGGAATCCTGGGACTTACAGTCTGGAAAGCAACATGCCGGGGGCGACCACATTCGTTGCCTTGCCTTCACTTACCCCAACAGCTCTTGTCCTCGGGCTGCACCAGCCAACTCATCTTGCAGGGAGAAGGTTCATTTTCTTTCCCAGCTCAAAGCTCTAATGATGGCCTTCCCAGGCCCAAAATGCAGCCTCTCCTCCCCCTCCGTCATCTTTCTCTTCCTTATGGGAATTGTGGGAACGAGCACGTCTTCTCCTGCCCCCTTGGCGTCTCCCTGAGATTCCTCTTCCAGATGTTTATTTAAGGAAAGAGGGAGGGGGAAAGGGCACGGAGGGCTGCGGGACCCTATCAGAGTGAGGAATCTTGTATGCATTAAAGAGTGTGGGGGGGGGGGGGAGGTGTCCACAGCCTTCCAGCTCCCCTTGTCCGAAACATGTCTCCGGCACGTTGCCTGCATGCCGGCATGTCTGTCCTGGATGGGCTTCCCTGTCCCATTCCTTCCCACCATCAGGAGCAAATGGAGGTCAGTGCAGTAGAAAATAAAAGGCAGCTTGAAGCGAATCTGAATGTTTGGACGATAACACAACCCAACCAACTGCCCAGGAACCTCCACCAACATCACCCTGTGTTCTGTTTATTTATTCATTGGATTTATATCCTGCCCCATTAGCCAGTCACTACTCTCTGCCCTTTTCATCTTCACCATTCCATGACAGTTTATTATCTTTAAAATCTCCTTTTCTTGAAAGAGGACATCGAGGCAGGAGAATCAGTATACTGGGATCATAAGGAGCCCCATAACGACTACTCATTACTACTAGTAACACTTTTCACGTGCTGTTCCCAAGTCAAAAGCAACATACCTCTGAATACCAGTTACAGGCAGGCAAATAAAAGCACATCTGGGTTCATATCCTGCTTTTGGGCTTCCCAGGGACACCTGCCTGGCTGCTCTGGGACATCTTAGGTTATGCCCTTACTAAGAATCACCTTTCCCTTGTCTGCAAATACTTCACTCTGCTCTGGCTTGTGCTGCTGCCTGAAATATTGCGGGACTTACAGTACCATTAACCTTGTGGAACACCCTTCCTAGAAAGACCCACCTGTCTTGAGCACTGATCATTTTTAGATAAGAAACAAAAGCCTGGCTTTTTCAGAAGGCCTTTGAAGTAGATTGTTTTGTTTGCATTGGGTTTGCAGTGGTTATTGCTTTGTCTGGCTTATTTTGCAGTTTGATGCATTGTGCTTTTATTACTTCGATATTGCTTTTTGCATGGAGTTATGGCATTATTGGTTAAAGCCACTCTGCTTGCTTGCTTAAAAAAAGAAAACAGCCCAATATCAGTACAGTAAACAATAAGGAAGAAATGACTCTGGGGTCACTTCTTTTGGTCTTCCAAGCAGGTGGAGGCCACGTGAAACACCAGCCATGTTGCTTTCCAGCTCCTTCAGCCTGAGAGGTGCATCTCTCGCCATGCTGAGCGTCAGCTTTAGAGGCCAACACAGCTAGAAGCATTCACAATACAAGCTGCCAGGGACAGGTTGAGAGTCAACACACAAAGCAATTTCCTGATGCAAGCACAGGGCCACGTGATCGGTTCCCATTTGACCTGGCTACTTGTTCATGCTTTCCTTTCGCATCCTGTTCAACCGTCAAAACCTACAAAGAAACCCAAGAGGTGCTACATGAAAAACATACCGATACTTGGAGGGAAGCAGGTTGGGGACGGTACCTTTTAGGAGCTGCCTTAGGCAACTAACCTAAGCTTGTCGCACAGAAAAAGAAATCTGGAATACCAGCACTGGCCACCTAGCATGAGTGGAGGAGAATGACGAGTCGTAGGATATTTTTCTAAACATGTATGGGATTGCACCCTAATGCAGATAAGAGGGTTGGTTTTGCTTCTAATTATTCTTTATTGTTAATTTTAACAAATTTGAGCATCAGCACGGTTAACTGATAAGGGTGAGGGACCAGGACTCAGGCAGTCTGGGATCTGGGATCTTCTGGAAACCTCCCTGAGGCCTGACCCCTTTCCCCCAACCACACAGCCCCTGGCATTCACTCTGCAGCTGACCTCACAGGCTCAAGATGCTCCCTCGGCTCCCTGGCCATGGAGCCAATTGGGTGACTTTGGGCCAGTCACAGAGACTGGTTGTTGTTGAGGGAATAAGCTGCTAGCAGGAGAATTATGTAAGCTGCTTTGAGTTCATTGTAAGGGAAAAGTGGGATATAAATCTCATAAATATGTACATACAAGCCAAGCCAAGCCATGCATTCTTAACTGCTGGGGTTAACTACAGCAAAAATAGATTTTAGCTCTCCACTTTAGTGAAGTCCTCAAGTGGCCTTGTTCAACCTCCTGTGCAGGTGTATGATTGTCACTCCTTTTTATGGGAAACAAATAAAGCAACTATACATAGAAAGTATTATTGTGGTAAAGGCAAATCTGTCCTTCAGATGAATTTTTTTGGGGGGGAGTGGATGCAATGGGTATACACAAGTACACCACATTCTTTCTCTGCCTCTCACACCCCACACAGCAGGTTCAAGCAAAGAGAAGCCCTTCCTTCCAACACACACACCCCTTCAGAAGGCATTTTAGCAGAAAATAGAAACAGCTTATTATTTTAATGATTGCTTTGGGGACCCTTTTCCCGATGCATGCAGCTTCTGCCTCTTCTCACAGAGCACAGCCTAATCAGACAGTTGAGGAACTGGTTGTAGGTGGATTATTTGTACTATATTTTACTCTGCAAGGGGAAACAGGTTCACACACACTGCCTTTGATCCACGCAAGTCAATCAAACTGCAGCGCTCCTTCAATGGGGGCACGGAGGAGGAGAGGAAGCGGAGGGAGGCTGCACATGCCAGGCCTCCCTGGAGCTTCTGGAAACCTCCCTGAGGCCTGACCCCTTCCCCCAACCGCACAGCCCCTGGCATGCACGCTGCAGCTGACCTCACAGGCTCAAGATGCTCCCTCGGCTCCCTGGGCAGGAAAAATGTCTGGCATGCAAAAGCTGGCCGAGGGCTGGCGGGCAGGGAGAGGTGGGGACGGCTGCAGCTGGAGAGAAAGACGGGCCTTGCGAAGGGCAGCAGTTTCCACATCAGACTCAGGTAAGGTAGGCAGTCGCTTTTCTGCCCTGGCACAGGACAACCTCACAGGAGTTCAGAGGTACCATATTTCAGGCTCTGTCACTTCAAACGGCTTCTTGATTTTTCCCGTTCCTAGTTTCGGGTCATGGGAAGCAGAGACTGGAGTAAGACAGAACACCTGTGCTCAGAAATTGTGTAGTGTGGTTCAGTGCAGCCTCATTTAACCAGGTGCCTTTCAGAAGTGTTGGACTACAACACCCAGCTGTGCTGGTGTGGGCTGATAGGAGCTGTAGTCCACACATCTGGAAGGTGCCCAGTTGGGGAAAGGATGGCATGATAGATTCCAGGCATGGATATGAACAGCAGAGCAATGCTGATTCGATTCTGAATTTCGTTTCGATTCAGTGGGAGAGAATGAAGTACTGCAAAAAGTAAGGATTTTTATATGTATATATACATTTCATGCATTAAAGAGGAAAAAACAGTTCCGCCTACCTCCTAGAATGCTGCTCAACCAACACTCCTGCTTTCCCTGTTTACTTCCAGCCTGTGGTAGACAAAAGAGCAAGATTAGGTGGTGTCTTGTGGCTCCTTGCAGCCTTCGACAGTCAGGGATGCCGTGAATTATAGCCCATCAACAACTACAGCCTCACAGGTTAGACTCACACACTGACTCTACCCTATTTCACAAAAGCCAGTTGTATGGCCCCACCAGGATGAAGATACAGGCACCATGTTTTCCCTTTTAAAAACACAAACAGATCATCTTTCTTCTACACACCTAGATCCATTTCTGAAGCAAATATTCAATAAAATCCAGCAATCACATGAATGTCCCATAAGCCAAGCACCAGTTCTGGCCTAAAAGGATGTCTCGAAAAGCCCTTTTCCAGACTCCAGGCATGTTGATCTCCATTGTAAAACCTTTTAATTAAGCAGCCACCAGGTACCGCATTCCACAGATCATTCTTCCGCCACCCACATCCCTCACCTCCAACCCTCTGCTTCCTAGAACAACACAGGCTTGTGAAATAATTAGTTTGTAAACAGGGATGGGGCGGTTCTGGCCCCTTTTAGCCTTAGCTAAATGCAAATTTTATTGAACTGCACCGGCAGATCACAGAAAAGTTAATCACTGTTGCCACGCAACAATGCCTTTAATTCTCCAGCCTCTTTTCCATCTCTTCCAAACCTAGAACCCACCCTTCCTGCTTTTCTTTCTTTTTTTAAAGAGGCAAAGCCGTCAAACGTGGCTCCCTCGACCGCTTCTTTTTCAGTTTGCTCCTTTGTTAGGGAAGTAAACAGTGCCCGCATATGTGCTCCCCACCCCCAAAAGCCGAGATCGGCGAGGTCGGCCCCAGCTCCGCGTCCAAGCCCAGTCCCGGAGTAACGCAGAAGAGCGACCACACGTCTTGCGGCACCTTCGAGATGAACGAAAGCGAGCTGGGACCGGCGCCCCCACATAAGCTTTCCCCAGCCGGGCACCCACGAACGCCGAGCCACAGCTCCCCTCCCTCCGCAACGCTGGATTTTGGGGGCGCGGGGTCGACGGTTGCTCGGAGCGGAAGCAGCGCCCCAGGCGTGCGCTCGGAGGCGCCCCGTTGCCCGCGCATCCGGGGCCAAAGCAAACCTCGCCCCGCGCCCCACAAGCAGCACCCAGGCGACAGCGCCCAGCCGGCAGCGAGCGCGGTTTGGCGAAGGCGGCGCGTCACCTACTCGGGAGTAAGCTGCTGAACTGCGGCCAGACGGGGCTTACTCCCGAGTAAACCTCTGCAGGGCAGAGCTGCGAAGCGCTTCCAGTCCCAAAGCAGGGCTTTTTTCCCCCTTTTTTTCGGCGGGGGGGGGAGCGGCCGACGCCGCGCGCCGCGCTGCGTGCAAACAATGCCCGGCGCTGCCGGCCGCCCGAGGCAGGGCACGTCCCTCTCCGCGCCGCGGGATCCCGCGGGCGCCGGTTGGGGGGCAGCGCGGCGCTGCTCTCACCTGGATCGACCTTGCGCTGGGCTCCCACCTCCGACGCAGGGCCCCGGGACGCCGCTGGCGGGGGTTTCCTGTTGCAGGCAGAGGGCGGCTCCGGGCGGGGGGGCAGGAAGCCGACTGCATTTTCCGGCGGCCTCCCAGCCCTCCCGTCTCCTCCTCCTCCTCCTCCCCGTCCCCGCCCCTCCCTTTTCGCCGTCCTTTTGCGCGGCGGCGCAGAGCGCTGCCGGCTGATCTCTTCCGACTTGCTCGCATTCCCTTTGCTCACGAATGCGGCGCACATCCGGCAGGTAGACACGTGCCGTGGGGGCGGAATGCATGTCTGAACGTGCGGAGTGGCGGGGGCATCGAGGAGCCCAAACGTGAGCGTGTCTCCCCGCAGAAGTGATGGGGTTGTTCTCCCCCCCCCCCCCGGTGTGTCCGGGCGGGGAAGGAAGGGAGAAATGCATTAAGTTAAGGCAGAACAAGCCGCGGCTCCCGCCCTCGCGCGTGCTTACTGGAAAGTACGCCCCTTTCTGCCAAATCGAATTTACTTCCAGGTAATTACGGCTCTCGGCTGCGTAGCTGAGCAGGTTTTCCTGACTGAAAAGAAAATGCACTGTAGATGCAAGGGGCTTGTTTTCACATCGAGCCAGCCCCTGCTTGCAAAGCTCTAAAAAGAGAGACCAGAAATTCTGTAAGTTTCTGTAATAAGGGACCGAACCTCCCCCCACCCCAAGCTGCCGCTTCCATTTTCACTGCGGCTGGAAAGGTGCCTTTATTTCCCGGGCCTTGTCTTCCTCTGCCTTTAGGTGGCGCTGTGGTATAGCTGCAGTCTTGCGGAATTGCGCCTTTACAAGTGGCTTTCAGCTGGTTTGTTCCAGATCCTTTAGCCAATGTCGTGATCCTCTGCGGTTTCACCTATATTTAACAGTTGTTTTCACATCTTTATTTTTAGAGCTGAGACAATGAGCTATTCTGTCTTGTAATCAAACATTAGGAAGTGCTCATGAAATTTTGCCCTGTGGCTGTATCACAGATCCTCCTTTTGCTTGTGAAATGGTATACAAAGAAAACAGGAACACCAGCCTCAGAAAAACAGTGCAGTGAACATGGGTATAAATAATACATAAAATAGGTAGAGATGCCCCTTTTTCCTCACAGCAACCCTGCAAGGTAGGTCAGGCTGAGCATCAACGACAGGCCGAAAGTCAGCAGTAACCTTCATGGCCTTATGGAACCTATGGAATGCGCTCCCCAGAGAGGTCTGCCTGGCGCAGTCATTATTTGCTTTTCGGTGCCAGGCCAAGACCTTTTTATTTGAAAGTTATTTTAACTGTTAATTTATTATTATTGTATTTATAGGTTTTAATATATAGCTGAGATGGTACCAGTTTGTAAATTATTGATTGTATTTTTATGGATGTTGTGAGCTGCCCAGAGGCTTTGTTGCAATGGGGGCGGCATAGAAATTTTTTTAATAAATAAATAAATAAGAGGACTAAAACCCAGACCTTCCAAGTTGCAGTCCAGCACTCTAATCACTATAGCAACTATCATATTTTAATCCAAAATTCAGGCCAAAGTGGCTCATATCAGTAAATTCAATATGCTTTGCTAGTATTGCACATATACGTCAAAGAGACAAGTCCCCTGCCATACAGCCTATAAATAGGTCCTATCCACACTTACCTCAGAGTAAGCCTTGTTTGGCAGTTTGGGACATCTGAATAAATATGCGTGGGACTGTGTGCAGGAAAAGACAAATGCCAAAAGGAAGGGAAGTGAGATCAGTTTGGCAAGGCCAGAACAGAGCAGTGAATTTATAACAGGCATTTAGATCTAGTCAGGTGTGGCGAGGCTGATCTTAAGAACTGGCTAGTGGGCACAGGGTGGGGGGTGGCCAGGTGCAGAAATGGAGAAGACTGCTGCCCTTTTAACAGGGAATTTCAGGCAGTGTGACTTGCATGATTTGTTGTAAGCCGCCCCGAGGCTTCGGCGAATGGGGCGGCATAAAAATGTTTTAATAAATAAAAAAAATAAAAAAATGATAAGTGAATGTGCAGACATTCCTGCTGCTGCTCTGTTAAAAGGGCAGCCATGGAACACTGGGTCATACCCTCTTTTCCCTTACTGGTGATCTTTCAGGCATGAAAGTGGCTAAATACACAGCCATTCTTAGCCTCTTGGTAATTCTCACAGAATCCAGAATGAATGACCCATCAACAATGCAGCACAAGACAGACTGGTTCCTTGCAACTTCTCCTTTTGTGGAGCTGAACTGGCCTTCCTCTTGCACAGTACTTTTACCAGGCAGAGTAGAGGAGGGGAGCGCATGGGGTAAACGCTTGCAAAACTGTCAAGTACTTTTCATTCGGTTGAAGTGTTTCTCTTCCCTGTTGTCCCAATAATTTCAACAGCCCTGTATGGTTGGCCAGCATAACTATTGTATTACGTGCTCTAAACACTTTAGTGTAACTGTCTTGCAAGTGAGACCTAAACCAAGACTTTGCAGTGCCGTGATTCCTTGTTTCCAGCCAGCCATGCTCTCTCCCAGGTGCTCCATTCTGTCCCCCTCCCACCAGAGGCTGCACTATTCCATGGCCCCGGAGCATGTTCATTCTTCATCAGGCTTGTTTTGGGAAAGTTAGTAGGAAAGTCCAAGGCTGGAGAAGAAGACAACAACCAACTATGAAATGCATTGAGGGGGCAAAATGTGAGCCAAGGCCCCTGTGTTTTTGCACGCAGGCAGCAGCTGAAGTCATGATCAGGCATGAAATAGGAGTCTGCAGCTTTCTAGACTGCAACCCAGACTCTTAACTACAATGGATTGTAGTCCCTAACTCCTAGTTCATTATGCCAAAGGAGTCGGAGTCTGAGAGAGGGAACTGAAATTTGCTTTTCAAGTAAAAGACGAAGTACAGAGGGAATTTGTGTCTGGCTGGCATGCAAAACTCCGGTTTCTTCTTTACATGCAGAGCTCTACAGGAATCCATTGTGAAACCGTGTTATCTAAAAAATTAAAGCAGGATATAATTTTAGGGACTGTCCCCAGTGATGCTTGCTTTGGGAAGCAGAAGTGTGCTCTCCCACCTGAGAGAAAAAGGAGTCAGCCAAACACAAAGAAAGCAGAAGTTCCCTTCTTTAGACAGATCATAAAAGCAGATGATTTGGTTTGCTGTTTGCATTTACAGGTGCTTAACAAATCCAGGCTTAGCACTGCTGGCCAGAGGTGCGCTCACCTGGTACCAGAAAGTGCATCGAGGCAGTATAAATACTTAAAGATAAGCCTTGCAGAATGTATAGCAGATGGATGCTGGTTTTGAGCAGGATGCACAGATGATAAATCATATCCCTGCTTTCCCATAACTCCCGTAATAAAAGTCAGCAGTGGAAGTAGAAAAGTTCTCTGGTACTTCTTTAAACAAACATGCATGAGGTGTATAGTAAAGCAATGCATCTCTGAGCATGCACAGAGTGCCTTTCTCTGGGGGTGTCTGCACAGAATTAGAATTAAGGGCAACAGTGGAGCAGATGTTTGGGAACTGCTTGACATAAAAGATTTTTAAGGCACATCTGTAGCTTTTGAGAATCCCGAGTTCCAGTACCTCCCCTTTTACTGATTAATGGTGGCTGGAGTATGCTGGGAGTTAAGGGTTTTTTCTGTCAAAGCAGGTATAGGATTGTGCCTTTAGTCCTGTTGCCACCGTCTTCCGACAATGCAGTCCCTCCATTAATACAACCAAAAACGTTTGAAAAATGGCCTAAAGCTTATGGGATATGTATTCCTCATTGCTAACCTGAGATTACTTATTTTCCAAACTGGTAAGAATGAGTTTCTCCTTTTCTCCAAATAAAATGCTAGAAATTATGGCCTTCATCTAATGAAGTACAAAGTATACCTTCATACAACCAGGTGTTTTCAGCTTTTCTTGCAGGTGGAGCCATCTGAAACTTCTAGACTGCTGTCAGCTCCGAACACCCCATTTCACGGAAGACACAGTGATACTCGGAGAAACACACGGCAAAAGGACAAGCAAGAGAGGGGGGTCCTGTCCCCCACATGCGGCTATTATCCCTTGGCCTTTCTTTTTTCCCCTCTGGGCAACAGGGCGTGCTCCAAAACAGAGCAGCGGGCTGTTTGGCACCAAACTTTCTTTTCTAGGACCAAGAGGCATTCTTTGAAATAAAAATGGTGTTGGAGGCGGCGGCTTTACTTTGCAGCTTGCTAGACACCCCATTAAAAGAAAAATCAGAAAGCCAGATTATGTCCAAAAAGCTCTGTATGCACATGATGGTTATCATGTTGCTGGACTTAATTAGCTCGTGGAATGGATTCCATCCATGCTGCGGTCATTACTCCTGGCTTTGGTTGTTGTTATGTGCCATCAAGTTTTCTCTGACTTATGGGCCACCCTGTGAATCCATAAGGCAGCCTGCCCTGACAGCTCCGCTCAGTCCTTGCAAATTGCTTCATTTCGGATGGATTCACATGTTAAGGTATACACCCAGGAAGAGAACTCGTGGCTTAGATGGCTTCAGAAGGACTGGGCAGAGGGCCGCTGGTCCTGCTGGAACCTCTGTGCCACAGTATGTCCACCCACTCTTCATTCCAAAAAGGCCCCTACAGCGGGTCACAGACCCTCGAGCTTGCAATCTGAAAGATGCGACACAAAAGGAAATGTGACTGGGAAGGAGAAGGGAAAAAAACCCACTTCAGGCACCAAATCTTCGTTTCAGAGCTGAATGCCTGTTGCAGGGGAGCAACAGTGTGCGAGACGGCTTGGCTTCATTCCTGGAGACACTTGTGAGAGGCATAATGCTGTCTCAGAGGGACCTTTGGTCCAATCCAGCAGGGCTTTTACACAATAGTTGTAACAGGGTTGCTTCATCCATGTGAGATTGGGCAGCAGTGGCCAATGAAAGCAGCAGATCAGTCCAAAAGAACATTTTGTAGCTTCCTTTCCAGGTGGGTCAAAGTAGCTTCAAAATGCCCGGCTATTTATTTACACGGGTGATCAGGCCAAGATGTGGAGGCATGTGTGGAAGCCATCTGTGAAGAACTGAACCGAGCAGTACTGGGCTGAACATTCCCACTGTCTTTCTTGAACCCTTGCCTACGGCAGGGGTTCCAGGCCAAGTCTCTGGTGCTTTTTCACCCAGCTTTGAGTCATAGGGTTTTCCCTCTGCTGGTGAACTAGGGGCATTACAAAACTTGATTTCCACATTTCAGTCTCAATCCCACCCTGATAGAAAGCACAACTGTTGATCCTGAAATGTTTGGGGTGCAATGCCAGTTGTTAAATCTGAAGAATGAAAAAAAATCCTAGCTTTGTGTCCAATGGGTAATGAATAGCCAGTATTAGTCTAACTGCTATCCCATTGCTGTCCATGGGCAGATCAGCATCAAGGGCACACACTGATGTGCAGCTGACAAAGGCCCAGGCCCCAGCAGGGGCTCACTGAAAACAGCCCGTGGGAGTTGCGACACCATTGCAAGCTACTTCCACTCCCTGCCCCAGACCACGGTGGTGGTAAGAAGGAGAGGAGCAGAAGCTCTCCCAGCCCTGCCGGAGCAGACCAAAGAAGCATCTAGTGCAGTGCTCCAAACACACAGTGGCAAACCAGCTGCCCACTGGAGCTCTGAAGAAGGACGAGGAGGTAGGCAGGCTCTGGTGAAGGAGCCAGCAAGGCTAGTAGCCCCCGATAGCCGCCTCTTCCACGAATCTGTCCAATTACCCAAATGGGTGGCCATCCCCATTTCCTGTGGGAGCAAATTCCATAATTCAACTATACATCTTGTGATAAATTCTGTCCTAAACACCCCACCAGTCATCTTCATGGGATGACTCCGGGTTCGAGTGTTGTGGGATAGGGAGAAAAGTGGACACTCCTGTTTTAAGCCGTAAGAATTGGTGCTGCCTTTGTTTTCCAAGCTGTGCAGGAAAACAATACAGCAAGTGAGGAAAAACCGTGGAAGGTATAATGGGGTTGGGGCATGGCAGTGGGTCAGCTTTGGACAAGATCCTTGGTATCAGAAGCGATGTTGCAAACAAATTTCTGCTTGCAGCTGTGCAAAGTTGGAGCTGTGCTTTGGATGCCCCTGAGGAGTTGCCAGTGCTTGTGTGCAGAATCCGGCAGCGCTCGGTACACCGCCCTATTTTAAAGGGGCGGGATAGACATTTCTAGTGAAAACTGAGGCTGCTTGCAACAACAACAACAAAAACCACTCATTAGCTTAGCTGGGTGGAGCAAGAAGGCAACGGGGCGCATCTCCTGGTATCTGTGTAGAAGAGAGAGAAAATAAGCCTATAAGTTAAAAAAAAACAACAACCCAACAGCTGCATTTGTCTGCAGGCTGAGGAAGGACTGGCTAATTCTGAGTGGCTGATAGCAGGATGGAACGCGGCCAGTTCCAGCTCTGTTCCTTGCTGCTCCTGAGCCTGCTTTCAGGTAGGAAACCTCTGGGGCTGGAGGTTGTGACAAGGCAGGGCCTTAGGGTGCCTCTGGGTGAGGTTTCTGTTTTGCAATTTTATTAGGTGTTGTAGGAATGAGCAACCTCTTTTAGGTGTAACCCTCCTAGAGGCAGCCAAAGAAAAGCACCATTAATGTGCTGGACTTTGGCAGCATCCGGGAATGTAACAGTTGAACAGGTGTGTTGGTTACTTGTCTCCATGCCAGGAAAAGCATCACCTCTTTAAAGTGTGTCAGATTGCTTGTCGTGAAGCTGTTGGCAGGTAGGTTTGGAGAGTGCCGGAGGAACAGCAGCTTAATTCTCTTCTGTCTACTCAGAAATAAGCCCCATTGAATCCAACTGGACTTTAGCTGAGGCTACTGTTTATTGGACTGTGTCCTACAGTGTGAGCTTGGCAACTGAATTTAAAACAAGGCCATAAGTGTTGGGAAAAACCTATACTGAAAATCATTTTTAAGAGCAGGACTGTAAGTTAAGTGACCAGACATGGTTATCTTTTCAAGGTAGTTTGGTTCTGATGCAATGTAGGATCTACCCGATAATGTTATAGTACAACCTGCCCCATCTCCTTCATGATGGAACTGTGCCGACTAGAAGTGATGGGCGGTGGAATCCAAGACATCTAAATGATGCCATGTTGAGGAAGTCTGGGTTATTGCAATGGAGAATGAAAGAGAAAATGTGAACTGAATTGTGGTATTATCTTGTGCTTTATGCTCTGGATATCCGTTAAGGTTCAGTGGTATATCATGTGTTCGGAATGCAAAAGGCCCCAGACCCAATTCCTAACATCTTTAGATAGGGTAGGAAAAGTTATATGCAAGGACAGAGATGTACCGCTGGCCAGGGAAGATGATACCAAACAAGGTGGATCGGTTGAGATCGGTATAAGGAAGCTGCTTATGTTCTTCAATATTTCAAAGGCACTTTTATTAAGTTCTTAATAATATAGAAATCTCATTAAATGTATCTGCTTGATTAAAAGTGATCAATCAGCTAAATAGTCTTTATTTGATTGAAAACCTTAACTATAACCTTCCCCGATGCTTTATAGTAAAGTCATACCAAAATATCACAGCTACATTGAATGTGATCTATTTTGATCTTTTTGCCTCTCCAAAGGAATAATAAACATAGAAAACTTTTGTGCTTAACCTGTGTTGATTCATGCTTTATGTATTTTCATTAAAGGGATCCTCAAAAGGCACTGGGGTTAGTTAGAACCTAATTAGGGTGGAATAGAACAGATGTTAATAATTCCTGTCACACACCTGTAACTGTCTTCTCAAAAGTACATTACACTGTGTTTATTTCCAGGTAAGTGGGTATAAGATTGCTGCCTGGATATTTAATTCTGGAGATCAAAATGACTCCAGCATGATAAAAATGACACAGAAGATGCAGCAAAGGATTTAGGAATTTAGCATTGCTATTCTAATTCATACTTCTAGGAGGGCTGCATATCAGACAGATACTAAGTCTGCAAATTTATAACGTAACACTCCTTCTGCAATATAAAAAGCAGTTATAAAAAGAGTTCTACATTTTACATTAATTTGGAGGTACTTTCAAACACTAGTCAAATTTCAAACAATTAATTGGAGTTTATTTGACCTCAATTTCAGATTAGTAAAAAGTTTTTGTATAAACATAGGAAGACTAAATGAAGCTGTTGGAAAAGGCAACCCCTTTTGCATAGCATCCCATGGTTTTGAAAATATTGATTGGATCAACCATATTATATATAAATTAGGGTTATGTAAGTTTACCCAGAGTTAAGCACCACTAAGTTCAATAGGGCTAATTCTTGAATCATTGTCTAAATGATTGTAGCCTCATGACATGAACTAGTGCATATCTACTTGGAATTAAGCCCAACCAAGTCCAGTGGAATTTACTCCCAGGTTAACTGTGACCTTAACCTCTGCATGGATTTCTTCCTAAAGCAGGTTTATGGATTGCCACTCTTCAAGCTGCTTTGGCAAGTAGGAATAAACTGCAGGTGATTAAGCAGGGATGATTTTGTAAAATGGAAAGCAGTTGATTCTTTTTAGCTTTCCTTTTGATGAACTTCAGATGGCAAAATGCACAGAGTGCATTGTTTTTCTAGAGGCTTTTCATAGACTGACTTGTCATTCAACCTGCTGCCCATTCTTGCCAGCTTTTGCTAGCCAAGATCTGGATTTTGTGAAGACACTAAAGCTCGTGTCATCCTGTTCCATGGCGGTGGGCATTCAAGCCCTACCTGCCCCCCACACACCCACTTCTGAACATGCAATGGCCTATTTTAGAACAGCTGCCCCTAGAGACTCGTTATATAAGGCTCCAAACCATCCTGTAAAGCCTCAACTTCTGCATCCTCAGAAAGGTAAGGCTGCAAAGTTCACTTTAGAAGAAAAACTACCCCGCTTCTGTTTCCTGTCAACAGTGGCAGGAAAAAGGAACTAAAACCAGCACAATACCCTCAAGGGGTGATTGGGGGCATTTTGTGCGGAGATGTGGTTCGGTGGTCTGACCAGCGGGGAAGGAACTGTGGAGAGATGCAGAGTGCTTGTTATTGGAAAGGTGGTTAATACATCGTGGAGTGGAGAGCAAGTGGGTTGCTGCTGCTGCTTTTTTTTTTAATACTATTCCTGTACCTGTCAAGGGGAAATTAATCAGGTGTCCACTTACCTCCCTCTTAGGAAAAGTTTAATCTCTTAAATGTCTGCACATTATGTATTGCCTAAAGCATGACCTTAAGGGTACTAGCAACCATTTTACTCTAAAGATGGAACATATGACATTTCTACTGAGTCTGACCACTTTTCCTGGATTATGTACCCTGACTGACAACAGTTCTCCAGGATGTTCCAGATAAAGATACCTTTATCTAAAGATAACATGAGCTCATAAGATTGGCTTAGCTGGAAAGTTCTGCCTGCACTAGTTTTTCCGTACCTTTTGAACCCCACCTGTACTGTATTTCCAAGAGTGCTGCCATGTTGGAAGAGGATGGAATCCTAGCCTTGCCTTTCCCACATTATGATGCCTAGACCTGAAGATACAGAACTCACACGTTCTGTAGACTAAACATTCTCCCTTCTCTTGTCCCCAGGTTATGTTTGTGAAAATAAGACCACACCTGCAAATGAAACCATTTCAACACCCAAACCACGTGATGTCACAAGTCACAATATCACAGCAAAGGAGACAACTTTGCAGACTGAGAAGGCTGGGACTGTGAAAAATAAAAATGTTCAGGACTTACATCTGAGAATGGCCCACTATTCCCAAGAGAAGGTGATTGTGGAAGCTGGACCGCCTTCTAAAATCCTTACTGAAGGAGAGCATGCCACGCTAGAGTGCAGGTTCAAGGCGCCAGGAGGGGCCAAAGCCATGTGGAAAAAGTCTTGTTCTCCCAACTGCAGCCTCAGCAGCGAAATCTCCGAGACCTACGAGACCGATGTCAACTACACTCTGGGGTTGGCGAAACTCTTCTTCAAGAACGCTGAAAGAAATGATACTGGCATGTATTACTGCTTTGTGCATACAGAAAGCGCCCAAGATCATTCATGTGGCACTTACCTGTGGGTCCGGAGTAAGTGTGAACTTTGTGCTCCTATGGGTTGGAGTGATATCTGTGTATCAATGGGGTGGTCCATTTTGCTCTAAGGGAAAGGGCTACCTTCGGATCTCCAGTTAGGCAGGCTGGGAGGAAGGCACAGACCATCCGTGGTTGCGTAGGGAATGCTGAGCGCTGTTTCCAATTTTTCATTTACCTAGCTACAAGCATTTTTTTCAAAGATGGGAAGGAAAGTGACTGTGATTGGCCAATGTATGTTAAAAGGGAGTTACAAGACAAAACTCAAACTCACAGGAGCCTGCTCTGAAAAACATGGCTCTTAAATTGCTGGGCTAGGGAACCTGCAACCTTCTGGATGTTGGTGAACTACTCTTCCCATCATCCCTCACTGTTGCCCAGGATGGCTAGAACTGATGGGAGTAAGAGCCCAGCAATATCTGCAGGACTGCAGATGACCCAGCCCCTGTCAAGCAAAATTGAAATACAGGAAATCTGTTTGTTCCTGAAATTTGTCAATATTTCAAGGTTTGACTTTTTTGAATTTTGAGCATTTTAAACATTACTTTTGAGATAGAATCATAGAATAGTAGAGTTGGAAGGAGCCGTCAGGAGCAACCCTCTGTTCATTGCAGGACTCCAGGATAAGCATCCTTGACAGATGGCTGTCCAGCTGCCTCTTGAATGCCTCCGGTGTGGGAGAGCCCACCATCTCCCTAGGTGATTGGTTCCATTGTCATACTGCTCTAGCAGTCAGGAAATGTTTCCTGTGATCTAGCCAGAATTCGGCTTCCTTTACCTTGAGCCCGTTATTCCATCTCCTGCACTCTGGGATGATCAAGAAGAGATCCCGGCCATCCTCTTTGAGACAGCCTTTCAAGTACTTGTCAAGTGCTAACAAATCCCCCCTCAGTCTTCTCTTCTGATCCTTCCCCTGGCTTGCCTGAGTTTTGAACAGAAGTGGGTGTGGTAATTCTCACCTTATCCCTCAGAGGGAAATACACAATCATCAGTTACGACTCAGTAAATGAATGCACTCCCTGTATCAGAAGTAGAGGGAAGAGAATATCGTATATATCATTTTGGTGAAGCAGCTTGGAATGTCAGCTTTGAGATTTTTTTCTCAGTCTTAGCCAGGCAAGGTTCCTGAACAGATGCTTTACGAAGTTCGTTGGTCCTTCCAGATGAATGGGAGCATCAAGGATAAGCTATAGAGGAACTGAGGCTGGTACAGATGAGTTCTGGGCTAGTTAGGATGTAGTCCAATGCAAGACATTACCTTTTATTCCTTCCTTTCTCCAATAGGCTTAATTCTTCCCTAGCTCAACTTTTATTCTTACAACCTTATTCTTGTGAAATGAGATACTCCAGTCGTTATCTCTCAGTGTATCTCAGACAAGATGTTGTAACTATTCTCCAACCTTGCACATGCTGATCAATTGAACTTTCGTTTCCTGTCTGAAAGTTCTGTTGGCCTGTTGACTCACCCGACATGTAATGTGAAGTTTTTAAACTGCAGAAAATGTTAGTGGGATTTCAATGCATCTAAATAGCAGTATAGTGCATGCTGTTTCTATATCCCATGCTCATGCTGCCCACATTCCTAGGAAAAGGATTCCACGTTTTGCAAAAATGGCTATCACACCGAACTCCATAGAACAAATTAATATACACATTGGCGATTTTTGCCATTTTTCAGAGTGCAAAATATGCATCGATTCTTTCGATGGGATCAGAAGAGAGCAATAGAATGGGGAGGTCAGAGAAGCCATGGGGTTTGTGGATCAAACAGGGACTCTCCTGCTTGCTCTCTTACAGGACCTCGCCCAGTCTCCTTCTTGAACATGGATGAATCCATCAAAAACAAGATCATCACCGCTGAGGGCTTTCTCCTGCTCATCTGTGCCATCGGTCCTGGTCTTTTTCTGCTATTCAGGGTGAGCTGTTTTTTCCCTCTGCCCGTCATTTGCACGCACACAAATATATAGCATGACCTGTTCTGAATACATCAGCCTACAGTTTCCAGTCACCAGATCTTGTTCTGCTTTTGATGGTATGTTGAGGAGTGCTCTCCTGTCCCATGGAGGCCTAGCAGACAAGCTGTCGGAGAAACCAAGCTGTTTTAAGTTTCTCATTTGGAGGTTTCCCGAAGACCAAATATTGCACCTATGTTCTGGAATTCTTCCCAACACCCTTTTCAAATATTCGGCCACAACATCTAGCTATCGACCCAGTTTGCATTTAAATGACTAATTGTGGATTAATTAAGTGGGGTCATGCAAAAGAGCACATGCTGTCTCACTTCGTATTTGGTTTAGAATATAACCCAGGAATGGGTTGTTCAGTGTTGCATGAAAATCTGGCCCTCTGTGCTGTTCCAGGGGATAAATCCTGCATTTTAATCCAACACCAAACCATAATTTAAAACTCTAGGTTCTTTTCCCTTCAACAGCCCAGAGTGTTATGGTCATAGGTCACACCAAATGGTTTTTCTAAACCAGATGCAAAGCAGAAGTACGAGGCAACATGCTTGCTTGCATCCCTAGCCAACCATTAGTTGAACATTCCATGGGTTGTTGTTACATGTGAACTGGGCTAATACATTTAATGCAAAAATTCCCCCAAATGGTAGTTATTAGAATCTCATGGGCAGGCTACCAACAACAAATTTTGGGGATAGTGCACAAAGATAAAATGCTGTTGACCATTTAGAAAAATATTTGTGCAATTTTATTTGCTATTTATATCCTGCCTTTCTGCAATGATGGGACTCCAGGCAGAATGCATGCAGTCTTCCATTCAGATATTAACCTCATCCAGATGGTTTAGTTTCAACAACTTTGCAGGAACATGGGCCTGATACTCATCAGAGTCCTGTTGCTGCATCTACATTACTTACCAAAGGGTACTTCACAAAACTTCAGCTTGGTTGTGTACAGGTGTTCGTGGAATTAGCTATTGGATTCTTCAATTATCCAGTTATCCAGCATGAGGCTTTCACCCCATAAGACCGAGTTTACATAACTGCATTGCCATATGTCTTGGTTAGCAGTAACATGTACTCAGGTTTACCTTGTGTTAATTCACTGAGAAACACTTTTGTTTGGTTTTATTTGGCCCTTATATTGTCTAAATAAATTAGTTTAAGTGTCATAACTTCTTCCAGTCAACTTCCATCTGACTCCCATCCATAAAAAGCATACTTTTCCACTTTACTGGTAATTAGTTAACCCACTATAAGTAATGGCCTCATTTGTTCTCTATCCCTTTTGTTCTGCACAACCAACGTATTAATTAATATGGTGAGCATTGTGACAAACCTATGAATACCATTCTAAAAATAGGGATTCTTGGACATTCTGTATTTGCAGTTGCGAAACAGCCACCAAAATCTTGATGGATGTGGTTGCACTTTCTCCTAAGCATGGTGTCATTTCATTTATTACATTTCTATGCTGCCCAGCAATGAAAGCACTCTGGGTGATTCACAGCAATAAAAGAAAGCATACTAATATATCCATTGCAGTAAGTACATCATTACAATAAGAAACAACCCAAACTGTTTGTTTGTTTAAAACTTTTGTAGACTGTCCCATTACCAAAGTCTCAGGATGGTTTAACAATAAAATAGTATTTCATGAACACTAGCATTAGTTACAGGAAATGCAAGATCAAAGATGACCACATAATGTCAATTATCATTAAGCAGTAATCTGTAAGCCAGGACCAAATCCACCAAATAAACTTTTCCTATGCATTGAGGCATTAATACACAATACAAACTGCAAACAGCTACCCCAGGAATACAAAGTGCAACAAGATTTCTTATTGCCAGCAATAGATGCTCTCTTCCGTGCGTTGCTCTTTCATCTTGGTGCAATTCTCAAAGCTTCCTTAGTTAATCTCTTCCAGACTCTTACTTCTCTGCAGTCCTTGATTCTGACCTGTCAAATAAACCACTGACCCCCCACAGAGTAAAAATTTAAGTAGGTATGTAAATAGCTAGGTGTTGGAGGATTTTGTTTTTTACTTGAAGCAGCAAAAGGTTTTGGGCTAGCCCTGCTAGAGTCTTGTTGTCTTTCTTTTGCAGAAGCGATGGGAAAATGAACGCCTCTTGCAGGCCAAGAAGGCAGCTTATGAAGAGGAGAATTTATATGAGGTAACTGCAGGAAACACATGTGCAAGGGAATATAGGCAATTTTTTAATCAAGGGAGGTGTGGTGATGCTTGTACTCCTGTCAGTGGAAGCAGGAATCCCAGCCAGCCGGCCCATTCTATTACAGTTTACTACAGAAACTCACACAAAAGCTAAATGAGAGAGCCATATTGGTGGGAATACCAGCCCAAAATTAGTAGATTTAAAAATTTAAAAGTTCTTTGATCCAAATAGGAAAGGCAGTCAACAACATTACCATTCCAAAAAAAAAAAAAAAAAATACAGTAGATCTAAGACTATCTTTCCAGTCCAAGCCTGTGACCATGAAATTCTGCTTTGGACTAGTTCTAGAAGTACCAGAACTTTTTCTTGGAGCAAGACCTGAAGTATGTATAAAGAGGAAAAAGTTGTTTGCACTGACTGACCATTCCTCACTTTATATTCCCATGTCCCCCTCAGCTCAGTAGGACTTATTTCCTGATAGTCTTATGTAAGATTGCAGTCTAAAACTCCTCACACTCCTACAATGTAAGCATAGTACAATCTTTTTGTTTTTCTCTTCTTTAGGGACTGAATCTGGATGAGTGTTCCATGTATGAAGACATATCACGTGGGCTGCAAGCCACGTACCAAGATATAGGCAATGTCAAAGTGATTGATCTGCAGCTAGAGAAGCCAGAAAAACCATGATGGAAAGGAACTTGCTTTGCATTCAGCTTTTCAGGAGCCTACCATAAACAGCTGTTCTGGATTACTGAATAGTCTCTTGGTTTCTCTGCAGATAATGTGAGGTAGAAATTCTGCTTTCCTGCCTCTTGGACATTGATGCCTTGTATATATACTTTAGCTGTATAATAAGGAGGTGGATAACTGACTGGTTCTGTATTGTTGAAGATCTGGCTTTAATATGAGAGTAAAATACAGAGGGACTTCCCTAGCATTTTCATTTTCCAAGCAAAATATCCTGATCTGTACTATTTTTACTGGACATTTTCCTATTCTGTTTTCCATTTTTGACATCCAATATGTTGGAAAGGAGACTTTCCTCCCTAATTCTGGAGAAGGGGATTCTGAGACCTAAATAATTCTAAATGTTCTATTCAGTGCTTTTTTTGTAAGAAAAAAGGTACCAGAACTCATGAAATTATTTAACTTTCGCGACCACACAACCAATCACAAGCTGAGCAGCGCCACAAGCCGAGCAGCACCATCACAACCAGCGTGGACGAAGCACGCATGCATCGGATTCGACACGCAAGCAGCCCGCATGCACCATTTTAATGATTTTGCCTCCGACCTGCTACGCTCGACAGGGCAATCAAATCCACATGAACCAAACATCAAATTTTGAAAAGTTGCTTTTAAAACTTGGAAAATCTGTCAAAAAAAGGTGCCGGAACTCTGTTCCGGTGTGTTCTATGCCAAAAAAAGCACTGGTTCTATTCAATTATATTCACAGAGGCTGCAATTAATTCTTCCAGAATTTGTGCTTGTTTCTGTCTTATCATTTCAATTTGGAATGAAAAGAGTCATGGAGCAGCAAGACTAGTTTAGAAGTGTCCTCACTATGTTCTGTAAAAATGTCTATTTTCCTCTCTAGGACTAAATACTGAAAAATAAATCTATAAGTTTGTAATAAAACCAGGCTGTGGGTGGTGTTATCTGGGTAGTGCTTGTATTATGTCAGTCATGCATATTGCGAAGCCAGGAAAAAGCTGGAATCACAAGACGGATGAAGAGACTACTGCAACTTCTGTTTCAATATTTCTATCTTCACCTTTGATCTACCATTTTTATAATTTCATGTTTTTGAACAGTGGAATATACAGCATTGTTAGAGTTGTAGGGTATTTAGGCAGCCCCCTCTATTAGCATCCTCACTTTCTTCAGAAGCCAGAGGTATTGAGAAATAGGGCTGATAGGCCTAATTTGTAGATTAAGGTTAGTGCCAAAGCCAAAGAATTTTGGTTTCCATGGGGCTCAGATAAAAATGACAAAACTATAGGACTTGATTATTTCTGTAAATAATAGGCTTATCTTTTTAATGCAACATACAACACTCTGTTTACTATAGTAGATAAAGGCAGGTGAACTATAGCAATACCTGCTAATTGAGACAGAGACTTCACAATAAAATCTGCCAGAGATGAGTTTCTAATTCTATGCTGGTATAACCACTGACTAAATTTCCTTTGTTCTTAATGTTTTGTGAAGCAAAATGTTAATAAAATAACCAAATCTTTAATTTCATGATGTAGAATCCATGTCTTTGTCATGACTATGACACAGAGTAAATGTGTTGTATTCATCTGATCCAAAGATGTTCATAATTACTTAACGGAATAGTTGGGTCAGAAGGGGCCATGAAGACCAACAAGCCCAACCCTCTGCTAGTCCGGGACACCAGTCACACCATCCCACTCAGATAACTGTCCAATTGCTTCTTGAAAGACTCGAGTATGGAAAAGCACAAAACCTCTCTTGGCAGCTGGTTCCACTGTCGTACTGCTGTCAGTCAGGAAATTCTTCCTTGTGTCTAGACTGCACCTGGTTTACTCTGTTTTCATTGTTGCATGCCCTACAATCTGGGATGAGCAAGAATAGGTCTTTTCTTCTTTGTGACAGCCTTTGAGGGTTTCTGTCCTTTCTTAGCCCTCCCCATGCACTGCTTCCTTCTCTTGTAGCAGTGCCTGGAATGAGAGCAGCCCTCCCCGTAGACTCACCTACAGCTTGGCTTTTCATTGTTGCTGTTTTTTAAACTGGCATCACTTCATGCAATACTTTTTAAGTAACTGAAGTCTTTAGATTCCACTTCACCTTTTAAGCCTGATATGAAGAACAATTGTTAAGAGTAGCCTGGGCTGCTCCTGCTGTTTCCTTCTATTTCATTCCAATGCTTACATCCCTAAGGAGACATAAGTCCCCAGATTACTTTCATTAGCTAGTGAGATCTAATTGCCTTGAGGACTAAAGCAGACAGGGTGTGCAACATCTGTTGGCTTATTTAAAAGGGTAAATAGTAATGTGGGGGGCATCAGGTTTACTGCACTGAGGAGAAAATGTAACCCTCCCCACATTCCCACTTGCCCCCCTCTCTAAAGGCATTACAAAGGTACTACCCGAGCTGTCTGTTTTGCTTGGAGGGCATGTAGCAGGTAATATTCACTCAGATACCACTCCCACAGCACTGCAGCCTCAGTCAAAAACTTACACAGACATACACAATAATTCCAGAAAATATTCTATTCTCCTCCTATGATTAGTATATTTGACCCTGATTTTTTTCTGGTTGAGTTTGCAGATGGGAGCATAGAATTTGACAAATGTGACCATTTGAAATGGTTTAGGCTGAAGTATATGTTTCATGCAGATGCATGTAACAAAAATCTATGTGGTTGCTCCTTCTGGGCAAAAGGGCTTTGACAGTTGCAATTTGTAACAGAGCATCTGAGAGGTTATTTGTGCCACTGACACTACTTTTCTCCAGTATATTCTCCCCATGCTTCTTTTGTTCCTGTGCATTTTTAGACATTGGTTTCCAAAGAAAACACCCTGGTGTGGATCTTGTCCCTGCACCCCAGGCAGAATGCCCTAGAAGAAACCTGTGGTAGAAACAAGAGTTCAGCACATGACTTTTCCTTCTGTTTTGATTTCAGATTGTCTTCTCACAAAGCTGACTTGCCTCTTATTATAAATATGGCCATGAATCTGGCCAAATCAGCTTTGTTATAAATATGTAAATCAGCTTTATCATAAATATGGCCATGTCTCCATGGCCATGAATGACATTGAACCAATCACTGATTGTCAGTCTGATCTACAGCACAGGTTTGGTGTGAGAATTAAAAAAAGAGGAGGATTATATAAATTGTCTTGGGTACCTTGCAGGAAAAAGGTGAGATAAAAATAATACATTCTGCTGAATTTTCATTCCTGGATCCTTAAACTATATTTATCTATGCAAGCAAATAAAACTATACTTTTTGTTAGCCAAAACTTAAAAAAAAAGTCACTATAGCAACACTTAAAGAGGCACTAGGTGCCACTGCAACTCTTGCTTAATTATTTTTCCTTTGGGAGAGAATCTAACCTTTAGAAGCCAATGTTAAATATACATATGCACTTCTTAAAGTTTAAGAAGTCAGCTTTTATAAGTTTTTTTAACCATAAGAATGAAAGAGACCATAAAAATGTTCATGACTTGCTACATGAAAACTCAGAAGATCCATACCTAAGCTTCTATGTTTTAGGAACTCTGAGCCAGAGAGGCAATATTAGCCCAGCAATCATCACTGTCCAATTAGTCATCCTTAAGATGTATCTAGCAGAATAGTAGACTAGACTAGTTCCTCCCACTCCGGTGGGAGAATGGACCAGACACTACTAGGACAGTTACTTTATTGACATCTCCAAGTCCACAAACTACAGTTCATATCTCTTTATTATGATGAACAAATGCAATCATTATGATGAACTAATGTGGTTTCCTTCCTGTGTGCACTCTCTTGTGTCGGACTAGGAGTGATGACCGGCTGAAGCTCTTCCCGCACTCCCTGCATGAATATGGCTTCTCTCCTGTGTGCACTCTCTTGTGTTGGACTAGGTTTGATGAGCAGCTGAAGCTCTTCCCACACTCCCTGCATGAATATGGCTTCTCTCCTGTGTGCACTCTCTTGTGTTGGACTAGGTGTGATGAGTAGCTGAAGCTCTTCCCGCACTCCCTGCATGAATATGGCTTCTCTCCTGTGTCCATTTGCTTGTGATTGACTAGGTGGAAAACCTTCTTTCTATTGCTAGCATGATTACTATCTGCCTTTTTGTTTGTATCTTTTGAAAATAATGGTTCATTGTTATCTTTGTTTACATAACATGGAACTAAGCATTGCAGCCTATTACTGTGGGGAGCACAATTTGTGACTTTGAACACAGTTTTCTCTAGGGGTAGATATTGTTTTTCTTCACCCTGTATTCCATACGTAGAATGTTTCCACTTCATGTGTCGGCTGAGGTAATTTTTGCAAGTGAAAGCTACCTCACAGCAGGGGCAACAGTGATAGGTTGTATCTTTCTTCTGCACCAACTGTAAATTCTGCCTGTGAACTATTTACAAACAAAAAATTCTAAATAACTCTACTCCAGCATTTGAAAGAATAACAAATTACAAAGCCACATAGAACAGTTTCACTCAATAATGTTCTATCAGTCAGAATTTCTACCTATGACGCTTCCAGGTGGAGGGTTCCTGGCTATCACTGATTGTGCAGCTACACTGCTTTGCCCTTTCTAACAGATTTTCTGTGGTAAGAAACACAGTGAATTATAAGTAGTAGACAAGAACATCTAGAACCTCTTGGAAAATTCCTCATGAAGCAGGGTGATGGCACAATAAAAGCCTCACCTGGAAGCACTGCTTTTAGACAATGCAGAGATAAAGGCAGGATAATTTGATATTTATGACTAAACCCCTTTCCTACCCTCTGAATCAATACTGTTCAGTTTCAAGTATGTTCTGCTACATTTGCTGCATTCTTCATGAGTTTTTCCTTATTTCCTACAACTTTTCTGAAGTGTTGATTGCTTTTAACAACTTTTTTCCTGAGAAGCAATCAAGCTATGTCAACTGTTGAGTAAAAATGTTACCAAACTATGTTAAATTTTGAATAATATTTAACTATTTAATATTTCATCCAGTGAAAAGGCTACAAAAGGGAGAGAAGATGGGAAGAGAAGCCACTTTTTCATCTTCTCTGCCCTTTCCTATCTCATTTGTAACATGATGTAGGTCTGTAGGCAGAGGCTGCCTTGTTTTTATTGATTGTAGTTGTTCTGGAAATCTTTCTGGCTGAGGCACAAAATAAAAATGATTTAAATACGTAAAACAATGAAGGGTGAGTAGGATTTAGTAGAAAAAGGATCCAGCGCTACAGTCAAAATCCTTCTCTGACTGATGATATTAGCAGCAAATTTGTTGTTTCTAATATTATTGAAAGCAGCAGCATTCTTTCCATCAACATATGGTGGCCAGATACAAAAGAGGGCATGGCTCCTGAGTTCCTGGCCTTCTGTTTGATAGAAAAGGTGTAAGCTGGGCACTGTCATCCACTACAAAGCATTAAGATTTCCTGCATTGCGTTTTAATTATCTTACAATGGAGAACTTCAACCATATTTTATTAGGATAGGCTACAGAAACAAATGTAACTCTTTCAATATGGTTTAAACTACCTCCTCCAAGACAATTTCCTCTAAATGAAGATCTCCTGCCACTAATAATTAGAAGGCATTGTGCAATATTCCATCTTTTCCCCAGCTGATTTTTAAGGAAAAACAACAACAGCAATAGGAAAATAGAAGAGAGCTATGAGTAGAAGATGGCATCATCTGGATCCAAATAGCATTCTGTGAATAAGGCAGGACTATGATATGATAAGCATCTTATCTATATCATACGTGAGAATTGAATTCAGACTTCATCTTACTTAGAATAGACCCACTGAAATAAAAATGTAATCCTATGCAAACAGGAAACTAGGCACACTGGGCAGCTAGAGTCTCTTCCCCTAAAAGCACTAGTATTTTGGTGTTCCTTTTTAACATGGGAGAATATTAAAAAAATAGTACCCTCTATCTATTTTACCCTCTAAAGTGCATGGGAAATGATATTCCTGAAAGAGACAACCAACAGCTTAGGGGACCAAAATGAGACAACTATGACAAGTGATGGATCTTGACTGCTATTAAGGGAAGCAAAGTGGGAAACAGATCTTATATACACTAGACAATATGCAAATGTGTTCTTCTGTAGTACCATTTGAAATTGATGAAATATGCAGAATAACCTATTATACTACATTCCCTCTGCTAGAATCATTTTAATTTTTTTCATTTTATGTACTTTTTAAAAAGTTCTCCTCTGTTCTTTCACTCAAATGTGGAGTGCTCATGTAACAAATATAATAAAGAATGCCTATAATAAAGAGTGCCCAGAGAGGTCTGCCTGGCGCCATCGTTATTTGTTTTTCGGCTCCAGGCCAAGACCTTTTTATTCAAACAATATTTTAACAATGTTTAATATTTATAGGTTTTAATTGTGCAGCCAGGGCGTTTCCAGGTTTTAATTGTAATTGTTATTTATAATGTATTTATTTATTTCTGTGAGCTGTCCCGAGGCTATATAGCAAGGGGACGGCATATAAAAACTTTAAATAAATAAATAAATAAATGTTGAACTATTTTGTAAATGCCTTTCCTTAACACATACACATATTCTTAAATCTCTGCATCATACTCTCAGGGTAGTGTACCTAATTCTATGTTCATTTTCTCACTCACACCCCAGTTAGACTTGCAGCATTAGGGAAATTCTAATTAATACATAATGCATTGTACCTTTTAGTGATTTCCATCTAGATCCCCACTTGATGCCAAGCTCCTTCCCATATTCTTCTCCATACCAGACCAGAAGCTCAGAGTGAAGGAGGATTATCTTACATACTCTGTAATAGATTTTCCCATGATATTGGAAGGCAACAAGGTTTTGCTCTTCCTCATTCCTTGCACAGTTAACATACCTGGAAAGTCATTGTTAAGATAAGAGGGCTCATCCCAGGAAGCTGGAAGCCAGAAAAGCACTATAAACTACGATGCAGCCGGCTCACAACTTAATTTCAAAAGTGATTCCATTATTAAATATTCCCAATGTATTTTTTGGAATTAGGAAGAGAGCATTAAATGTATACACAGGGGAAACTGCATATTACATGATAACAGTGTTGCAGTGATCCCCTCTTTTTTTTTTTTTTTAAGACAAAGCAGCTTCAGGAAGAAGTGATGAAGAGTAGCAGAAAAAAGGGGGGCACTAAGCTTTTCCCATTATCTTTCTTTACCTCTCCAGCCTGATTCCCTAATATGATATCATTCAAAACAAATGTTCACAAGGGCAAGCACAGATTACCACTTCGGGATCAAAATGGAACATAAAACCTGAAAAGTAAATGACTAACAAAGCACCCTTCTATCTCCCATGTGGGTTTGCTCTATATTCCCTCCTTCTCACAGAAACTTCATTTAAAAATAAATTTGGGGGATGCAAATACTATTATGAAAGTACACACTGTAGTCACAAAAGGCAATGAGGTTCAAATATTCTTAACAAGTCAAATGTATAAATGAAAATCATATCCCATTATCCTCTGCAGTACACAGGAAAGACTGATTGACAGGTTGATAAAAAAGCAGCTTCTGATAAAAGGTGAAAATAATACACCACCTTGCAAATCTTGGTTAGACTTATCATTTTGCTGTTCTTGCTTAGTGTTGTCTGCCTAATGGACTACAATTGCTAATTAATTCTGATTTGCTTTAATATTGAATTTTCCATATGAACAGCAGAATACTTTTTATTATTTTGATTAAAATCTATGTAATATGATAAGCTGCAGTTTTAAGCTTATTTAGCTTGAATTCTCATTGAAATCAATGGACTTGACTAGCTACACTAATATTAGTTTAGTTAGCACAAAATTATTTACATCAATTTGTAAGCCATTAGCCTCCTCAGCTGTACAAAGACACTTGTTTAAAAAGCCTCTTCCTATTTAGCTTCATCAAGATATTTTTTTTACCTCATCCAGTTGGAATTAGTTTCATCCTTTCCATCAATATAAGTATAGTAATTTTGCCCTCTGGTAATCTGTAATTAAGTAGGCACGAACCACATTCATCAGTATGGAAAGAACACAACAATATGCATAGTAAAAAGTTCTATTTCTGATCTAACATATTAGCTCAGTGCCAAGCTCAGCTCTAGTTCCTAGCAAATGAGAGAAGTCTACCATAAATGGCCAATAAAAATAATGTTGAGGTTTATTTAATCTAAGTCTCATAAAATATTGTTTTGAGCTTGTTTATATGTGTGATTAAGTCTCATAAAACATAGCAGGGTTATCTTCTGAATAAATATGCATGGAACTAGACTGCATGGTTGAAAATACTTGTTTGCCTACAAAGTGCTTAACATGCAAGATTTTATTAAGCGGTTTTAACCATTTTAAAGTCATATGCTCAAAACTGGTAATACAATATCCTTGCCTCAGATTATTGTAAACTTCATCATTATTATATTTATAAAGTGTCTAAAATCAACTATACAATAAAGATTATTCCTTCCCTACAGGCCCACTATCATTTATTGGATTATTTTGCACACTGCCTTTCTACCAAAAAAGGCATGCAAGAAGGCAGCTTACAGAAATAACTAAAATGGAACAATGATCATTCATTCATTCATTCATATCAGTTTTATATCACGCCATAGCCATTGCTCTCTGGGCAGTTTTCAAAGAGGTAAATAATACATGTAAATACAATAAAAATGTAGAATTACATATTTTTTCAAACAATATTGTTAAAACAGTTCTCAAACCAAGAGAGCCCTTTACCAGCTAAATGCCTTCTTTAACCAAGATTTGCCAGCCTGCAGAAAGACAGCAGAGTGGAGAGCAAACCTAGTTTCTCTTAGGATTGCTGTTCAACAGCCTGGAAAGAACCACAGAAAACATTCTCTTGAGTCCCTCCTAAACATGGCCTCTCTAGAACAACTGGCCAGGCCTGGGTATGAGAGAAGGTGGTAGCCTTGTGGCAAGCTACCATACACTCTTGCACTTTGTTCAATAATAGAATACTACATGGCACATGTTTGTCTTACCCTCCCCTGCATTTCACTCAAATTGCCTAGCTGTTGTTTTAAAATGCTGGGTGAATACTGATCCTTTTAGACTCCCACCCTTCATCTTATTAAAAACCTGGAAACATGATTATGGAGGGTAACCACTTGGCTTTTGTTGCTACTTCTTCCCTGGAGAGGAAAAGTGTTCCTATTGAACATGTTCATGTCATTTCCATATCAGATTCACTGCTGAATATGTCTGTATTGGGTCCCAGATTCCTAAGAAGGGGTACATTTAATGTTAGATGAAAATGCAACATAATTTCAATACATGTACTACCTTGTAGCAAGATTGAGAAATGTTTGGATAAGACTGAGCAAAACAGATGAGTTAAAAGTGTCCCTAATCATGCTAGACACTGTGAAGGTTTCACAGAACAGGAGATGGAGTATTTGCACATTAATCATACGGAATCCTGGCTTATTAAATTAGAATGAACACCTTGATAGTACTTGTGGCCTGTTCACTCCAAATTTGCTTTTTATATAAGCAGGTAAACAACTGAGGCCAAGATAATTTAGCATGATTTACAAACCTGGGATTATAGTTCACTGTGACCCCTCCAAATCACGATCATAAACCAGCTTTAAACTGGGGTTGTTGTTTTGGATTGTAATCATGCAGAATGGAAGTAAACAGCCTATATGAACCAATATACTGTTATTCACTTTGTGGCTTAATCCAGGATGTCTGGGTTGTTTTTATGAATGAATACAGACTCTATCATGTGTGAACACAAACACCGTGAGCACCATTTTAGTAGTAGAATAGCACTAAAATAGAAGTGTTATAAGTAGTAATTTTCTATTCTTTTCCTCCTTCTCTCTTTCTCTTAGTTTTATGATGCACTGTTTTATATTGCTTTAATAATTGTTGTTTTATTATTGCACTACTATAATATTTTACACTGTGTAAGCCATCCTGAGTGCTTGTCAGAAGGACAGGATATAAATGTTTGTAATAAACAAATAAACAAATAAATAAATAAATAAATAATCAATCATACCATCCATGAGTAACCACTGTTGGCTGCTTCCTCTTCCTCTGACATTCTCCCTTCATAGGGCCCAAAATGAATTCCTGGAGGCAGAATTTCTCCTTCATTCCAGACTCCCTGACCAGCTTTAGGGATACCTGAAGGGCCAATTCTCAAACCAGGAGGCAAAGTAAGGGTTGCTCTCTTTTCCAGTCCTATTTTTGCTATGGTATCTTCAATGAAAACAGGAGGACCATGAACTGAACATTCATCAATAAAAAATATCAGGCAATATTCACAAACTAGAAAGTGAAAAAGAGAATTGAATGCTGAGTTATGAATAATGCAGCAAAAAGTATTCTTTTCACACCTGAGTCAGCTTTTCAGATTTTCATACAAATTCAAATATTTCAAGTTGTAAAAGTTGCAGAAGTGATGTAAATTGGAAATTTGGATTTACTGTGAAGTGTATTTCTGGTCAGCGAAAGCTAATGCTGACAGGCAGTGTGCCTACCTCTTCCATTTTCACCATCCAGCCCACAACTGGGCTATTTATTTATTTATCACCCAACAGCTGAAGCTTTCTGGGTTATGGTTTTACCCTGCTAAGCAACCCAGCAGTCTGGGTTCACAAGTCCTATTCCACAACTTATGAAGCAACCAATCATGGGTTGTGGAGTAAAGAGCAAAGAGGCAAGTATCCTAAGCTAGTCTTTCCCCCAGGTCCCCTTCCAAGCAGATAAGGACAAAAGGTTTTCTAATTAAAGCCTTTCTAGTGATAAAGCTGCCCAGGCATAGGAATGGGTGTCATAAGTACTTGTTAGGGGACAAGTGGCTGGAGAGCATCACTTGTGAAAGGGATCTCAGGGTACTGGCTGACTGCAAGCTGAACACGAGTCAGCAGTGTGACACAGTGGTCAAGAGGGCAAATGCCGCCCTTGGTTGCATAGCCAGAAGCATGGCTTCTAGATTGAGAGAGGTATTACTACCACTCTATACGACTCCGGTGCACCTGCAACTGGAGTATTGTGCTCAGTTCTGGGCTCCACATTACAGGAAGGATATAGCCAGGATGGAGTCAGGGAAAGCCATGTGAGGTGAGACTGAGGGAATTGGGTCTCTTCAGCCTGGAGAAGAGGAAACTCAGAGGGGATCTGTTGGCAACATATAGGTATGTGAGGGGGTGTCACATGGGGGTGGGTAGAGACCTGTTCTCCCCTGTGGAGGAAGGCAGGATGTGCTCCAATGGAGCCAAGCTCAAGGAGCCAAGGTTCAACTTGTATGCCAGGAAGGACTTCCTGACAGTTAGGACCCCAGGGGCATGGAATGGGCTTCCATGGGAGGTGGCTGAAGCCCCATCGGTGAAGGTGTTCGAGGATAGGCCAGACGTGCACATGGGAGGCATGCCATGAGCAAAGCCGGCTGGAGCTGGGGGGTCAGACTAGATGGCCCAGGAGACCCCTTCTGACTTGCTCTGTTTCTTTGTTTTTCTTGTTGTTACATGGGAACAGGAATAGGGTTGTTGTTGTTGTTAATTACTTCTCATACCACATATATTGGCTGAAACAGGGAACTGCATTCTACATCAAAGTTAGTGGTTGTAATCCAGGAACTTCTTGCAGGAAAGACTGATTTGCCTTCTTAAAAAATGGAGTGCTGTCATAAAAATTCGATAAATTTAATAGGGCCACAGGCTAGCAATCTATAGATGCATACTGATATATTTTTAATTCTGCACTCTTCAAAAAGGAAGCATAAAATACTAGTTTACCTAACACAATGAATTTTATTCAATATATGTATAATTTAAAACCTGAAAAACTTGCCATAAAATGAAAAATAAACACAGATAAACTATTAATATTTTTCTAAAAAGGTCATAGGAACTGAAGATGGAAAATGCTGATCAGAAAAGATGTCACTTACACAAATAATCATCATCACTAGGTTCATTTATTTCCATATAAGTTTTTCTTTCTCTCTTCCGCAAACTGTATGTGCTAACTTGTCTGTGCTGCTCAATTTTCCTTTTATCTTTTTCTCCACATTCATTTTTACTCTGGAAATCTGCAGATGAAAACATACTAGCTAATTTTTAGTGTATAAACATATGGAAAGCAGCAGTATGAGTAGAATATGAGAATTTCAATTCAACCATTGTTATGTTAAGATGCATGTAGAAAAGCAAGTGTTAGTTCTAGTCTTCAGTGACACTATTTACTTGCATTAAAATATATACTGAATGTGCTGTCTGTGTCTAACAAGTCATATAAGGGGCAGGTATCAGCTGAACACTTCAGATGAGCACATCAGATGGGCACTAAATAGTTAAAGGGTGCTTCCAGATGCGGCCTTCATAACCCTGCCTCATTTACTGAATTTTACACAGACTCCGGATGACTATGTCTTCAATCATAACCTCCTGTATTTTCCTACTGCTTCTTCCAGCTTTCCCCATACTACAGAAGAAGAAAAGGTAGCATTGCTGCACAATGCCTAATGATAGTGCTAGAATCCCTCCATCCAAGAAGTACCTAAAGTGGGGATTGCTGTTGGTATAGTCAGATGGCATAAATAATTAGCATCAGAAATGTACAGATAATATCTGATTCGTGTTGCTATTAGAGCAAGAATAAAAGATACTTTTTGACTAGTGTTTTCCAACTGACAATTCAGCACTTGGTCCCTGGCAACTGTGCACAACTGAAATTATATGTAGTCTCTTCTAGTCAATATCAACTCCTCCACCCCCATTGTCAGCTGAAACATGCAAGTGTGACCAAGCAAGATGACACATACTGGACAGCTGCAAGAGCATATTTGCAAAATAGCAACAAAACAAATAATCATTTAAAAATGTGAAAATATTTGTACAGTTCTCTGGGATTGAAGACAAAATGCTGTTTGGACATGAAAAGCAACAGAGACTGTGTCTCAGTTATTGGCAACCAAGATTGTGAAGGGCAACAATTAGTTTACCATTCTTGGCAAGCAGCTCACTAGCCAGTCCCCACAACTCACAATTGAAATTGTTCTCCTGTGAGGGTCTAACAACCTCTAGAATAAGTCATGAGTTATCAGGATGGCTGAAGATTACTTAAGTCATTGTGCAGGAAGTGATCCAGCCCACCATGGTTACTTACCCACAATAGATTGTCATGTTATGCAAATCCAGTCATTGCTTTCCAGTGCTAAACATGCAGCTGTAATTGTACATTTAGTTGTACAACAGCAACTATTTAACAAAAACAAAAATATACACCATTTCATCTAGGCAGCTAAACTGAAAGATACACATTAGCAATAGATAGACCTGGATTGATATGAAGTAGTATCATCCAAAGAGATTTTCAGGTAACTGCAAAGTATTACATTAAATGACACTACATTATTTTGGTAATTTACCTGCAGATTTTGGTGTCCATTCATCATCTGACTCAGAAGACTCATTTGCAGTCTTTGGGAGCTGCCGTGCATAATACATAAATGCTGGTTTAGGAGCAGGAAGACCTAATAAAAATATCAATTATAAAGGATTTTCTGACATTGCTTTGAAATACTGCTTCCAAACCTTTGTGTCTGTTCAACTGATGTCAATACATGGCGTTTGTTTGCAGCAACATGTTCCTCCCTCAAGAGCCAGAGATCTGGGTTCAGTTATCACAAGACACAAGCCAAGAATTGTCCAACCTTTGTTAACCAAAGCAGAAGCCATAGTGGTTGGAAATCAACATGCTTTTTTATTGCCATGTGATTCCATCTAGTCGTGGTTTAAACAACCCACAGATTGTCATTATGTGTGATTGACTTACTGGACTGGATTCAAATTTAGCCATATTTAGAGTAGACTAATTGATTTCAGTGTGTCTACAATAAAGTATGACTAATCTGGATCCAACCCATAATCACCAGCAAGAGGATAAAGGAAAAGTCAGAAGTTAATATGACATCTCTACCCAATCTGCAAAATTTCAATCTGTTACAGATTATATTCAACCACAACTATTTGTAAAAGCCCATAGTGGAAAGATCAGTCTGTCATTTCAAGTCCAAAATACTGTCTTTCTCTAAGCTCTGCAACTATTCCTATTGTTCAACTCAGGATATGAAATGAAAGATAGTGGTCCGGATCTGACTACGGTAGTGGCATGCATGTCCCACTGAAATCAATGAGAAGTTCTAAATGAGTAACTCTCATTGATGTCAAAGGGAACTAGGTACAATTCTGTTAGTCCATATCCAGCCCACTGACTTATCCAACCCAACCCAATGAATTTAGAAAGTTAATTCTTTAGAAGAAACTAGATCCCACAACCCAAAACCACAACTCCTAAATGCACTTGAAGCATTCTATCCCCTGAGTCACATTCACTCTAATTAACCTCTCTGCTCCTCCTGTCCTGAATTTGCGTGAAGATGCAAACCTAAACTTTTAACCTGTTTATGAAAGGTATCAATACAAGATAAGTTGATAAGTTCTACAACTGAGTTGAATATAGTAATAGTACTAAATGAAGTAGGTACATAAATTTTAGACTTCCAACATAAGCTTCAATATAACCCTAAGTAATACCATCATCACTTCCTTAATTTCCAGCCATCCTCTCACCCAGTTGAATCATGAATTCATAGTTCTCCTTCATGTTCTTATAACGAATTTTCTCCCATTCTCCCATTTCAGCCCACTGTTCTTTGGGAAAATAGATGGACAAGCCTTTAAATATATCTTCATTCTAAAACATTGGAAGCAAGTGGGTACAGGCACATACATGAAATGTTTAAACTTTCCGCTTAAACATGTTACAACTAAACATTAATCAATTAATCAGTGTAATAAATGAACATTAATCACACATTTAAATTGGCACACCCATTTAACAACAACCAGTTAACTGTTTGGGACTGCTGTTGGATAACCAGCTGATGTACAGACTGAAAAACTGTTGTAGTTAATCTGGGAACCACATATTCAAGACTGCATTTGTGAATAAGCAACCAGTAGTTATTTTTGTACTACATAGCGAGGGGTGCTCCAAGTTCAGAATCGCAGCTCCAACCTGGAGTAAGTATGCAAGGTTGAGCTCAAAAAAATCCAGTAGCTGCATACATGTTGTCCAGCAGCCATATGATTATGCTGTTAATCACTTAACATCCCTAATTATTATAATAGAAAGTATTCAACTTTTTCTGGAGCACAAAATATTAAAGATGGTCTCTGCAATAGTTGTTCACTTATCTAGTTGAAGTGTTTTCAATTGGAGGGATCCTACCATTAACAACCAAAAGCTATTGTACAGCTATCCCATTTTTTTCCTTAACAAATTTTCCAAAGATGTAAGAAGTGGTAGGAGACCACAGAAGTGTTATGGGAGCAAGATGTTATCATCTGCCTTCAACTCCCACTTCCACTAAAGTAACATTCAATTAATTAGGCAGTAGAATGGTGAAAATAAAAGACTTCTCTGGAAGCACCACTACTCCCAGGGAAGGGTGTGTACAATTGTATCCTAAAAGTATTTGTTTACTGCATTTGTTTAATTGAAGAGTATACTTGTGAAAAACCCTCTTTCACTTGCAATCTTCAAGATGTGCTTTCACTGATACTTTGTTCATTTATTTCTGCTTGAGCAGCTAACTTGCTAGGAGCCAGACACTGAATAACTCTTCTCCTTTATTTATTTTCTTTCTAGGAGTTGGGAACCTGTGACCATCCAGAAGTTTCTGGCCATCCAACTTCCATCAGCTTGGCCAGTTCTGGGTGATAAGGGGAGTTGTAGACCAACAGTATGAGAGGCTCCTCATCCCGGCTCTAGCAAAAACTATGCTACTCATTAGCAGCACAATCCTATACAGTTTCCACAGAATTCAATCAAACTTACTAATAAGTAAAGCTACAAGGAATTGCAGCTTAAACTTTTATTGTTTTCCCCTTACTTTTTTAATGCGTATGTCTCATCTTTCTTTTAAAAAACCCTCAAGGCAGTTAAATACATTAAAAGCAAATAAAAATATTACAAAAGCCCTGAAAGAAGCAAGTTCCAGGCAGAATAGCATGTCTCAGCTAATTTGATAAGAACCCTTTGGATGGGATTTGCTCACTACTTTAAGTTCCTCACCTTGTGTTTGTGCCCCCTTTTCTTATTTTTGCCATTCTCTATGGAGACCCTCTCTCTAGAACTATTTTTGTTGGTATCTGAAACTCCCTCCTTGACTTCTGTAGGAAACAAATGTGAAGGAAGCACCTCATAGGTCTTATCCTTCAAGGGCCCTCTGCTCAGATCACTTTGATCATTTCTCATAAGCCTTTTCCACTCAGGAACGTGGCCTCCAGCTTCAGCTGCCATCTTTCCTTGGGCTTCATTTTGGTCTATCTCCCCCCTCACCCTTTGGGACCCTGCCCCATTTGACTCATCTTCTCCCTGCACATAGGATTCAATTTCCTTTGGTGCCCTTCCTTTCAACCCCTGAACTTCTGTCCCAGGGGATCTCTCTTCCCAAACTTCCCAACCTTCTGCCCCATGTGGCACCTCCTGCCATTCTCCTTGGGCTTCTGCCCCAGTTGCCATGTCCCCCTCAAAATCCCGACTTTCCATCCCTGTCAGGGGATATTTCCTCTCTGTTCTGTGACTTCACTACAGTTTAATCATCTCTCTCTCTCGCAATCCCCTCAGCCGCCACCCAACCGACTGGTACCCCCCCCACTTCTCTCCCCTCCTCCCCGCAGTTGATGCTGTTTAGCCCACGTCGGGGGCTTTTTCTTTCGTCTTAGGATTCAGCCCCGAATTCGGTTCTGCTAGGCTTCCGTGCCCCAAACGGGGCGAGGAAACCAAGTAGCCCGAGGCGACTCCTTTGCTCCCTTCCTTTCCCCTCACAACTCCCTCACGGCGGCGAGCGGCCGCCGAAGCCCGCCAAAACCAAGCAGCCAATGAACGAGAGGCGACGGCGCGCTCCTGCCAATCACCGCGCAGCGCGGGAAAAATGTTCAGCCAGGTCTCGCGCCCCGCTGCTCGGTCCGTGCCAGAGCCAGGAATGCTCGCGCGCTCTTAGAGGAGCGGCAGCGGGGAGGGCAGAGGAAACCTGGCAGGAGGCTTCTCTCCTAGGCGAGGAATCCACGGTTCCCCGGGCGTCGATCGCAGTGGGGAAGAAATCTCTAGGTCTCCAAGGAAGATCCAAGGAAGAACTTCCCCCAAGAAGTCTGTTTTGTAAGCCTCCCCCAGGCTTTTTGCGAATGGGGCGGCATAGAAATGTAAAATAAATAAAAATAAAATCAATAAAATCAAATCCTTTGGGTGGGGGTTCCAGAGAGCCAGAAACCAAAGTTTCATTTGAACTTTTGAGCATATGCAGAGTTCCTTTCCCCTTGCCATTAAGTAGCCACAAGCAACAGCGACCAGATCTGATAGCATATCTTTAATGTAGGCATAAGCTCCAGCATATCATCAACATCTTCATCTTCATGTGTCACTTCCCACCAAAAAAAGTAGTCTAAAAGTGACATAGTTTTTTTAGAATGTGTGTGTGTGTGGGGGGGAGCAAATCAATATATCCCATATTTAGCACAATAAAAATAAACATTATAAAACAGTACATGAAACCTGTTCATCACAACACAGTGAGTCCTCTCCCCACACCCAGATTACAGCGAACACCACAGCCTGAGTATCTCCAGGTGTTTTGGGGCAACTCCCATGATTCTGGACCATTTGCTGGGGCTGGTGGGAGTTGCAGGCCAACATGTCTTGAGGGTACCATACTGCCTATCGCTGGCTTGGGGAATGTACACCTGTGCTGCTGATTCTCCAAGCCCAGTTTCCTGAGATGTGCACCAGTTGCTGGGGAACTCGGTTCCACTTGGGCCCTGCCTGTGAGTCTTCTCTAGCATGGGCACAAAGCTGGACTAGATGGACTTGACTCTTCTAATGAGATGTAATGTCTTTTAACTGTTCAAGAAATATGGTAAGGAAGGGCTGATCTCAGAAGATGTATACCATATAGATCTGCCCCCCCTACTCTGGGACTCTCCAGATGTGTTGGACAACAATTCCCAGAATCCTCCAGCCAGTACTCCAGAACATCTGGAGAGTTCCAGGTTGGGGAAGATTGTCGTAATGCATGCACAATCCCTATTTCACACACAACTAATTTCACCAGTGAGAGAGATGATGGGATGGGGTAGGAACTGATGGTCCCTGAGGTTGCATTCTCTGACCCTCCCTCCCAAAAGGTTCCTTTGACAGCAAGCACAATTTCCCTTACCAAACATTCATGCATAAATGGTTCTTTTCCCATTCTGTTCTGCTTAGACTGGGACAAAACAGAGTGGAACATAAGTTTGTTAGTATTTCCCGAACTGGCTGTGCAAACAGTAAGTGCTTTACGGACAATCTAGGCATCTCTGCCTAGATAAAAGATCAGTCAGAAAATGTACTGTCTGAAATCGCCCTCAATAGGAGGCAAAGAAAAATGAAGGCTGTGTGTGTTGGGGGGGGGGGGGTTATACTATTAATATTCATGTGGAAGAAACATTTCAGTAGATGAAACATGACCCAGTCTGGCTGCAGCGTCATGACATGACAAGCTGTGTCTATTGAAATTCCTCTACTGCACAGCTGTACACAGCCTTGATGCTCACTTCCCCTCAAGCTATGATAAGGCTGCCAAAGATACATATTGTTTCCAGTTATGGGGGGCATTGTGCCCTGGTATAGCATTTGCTGGAAAGAGGGTGCTCTTGCAATCATGTCCCACGTGTGGGTGTCCCCCAGGCAGCTGCTTGGCTACTGTGTGAACAGAACACTGGACAAGATAGGTTTTCATCTGATTCATCATGGCTTGTCCTGTATTTTTTGAGCGTCTGGATAAGCCAGGAATGTTTTAGATGAAACTGAAACATTCTGAAAGAGATCACTGGGAGGCACTGCAGCTCCATTAAGCTAAGCCTCAAAACTGGTGTAGGAACAATTTGTGAGGGTGTCAAGCTGTATGGGTGGTCCTTCAAAAGAGGAGTTTAAAAATGATCCGTGGACATTGCAAAGAGACGTAAGGATAAATAAAGCCTGCTTCCATGGACCTTTTAAAACCTTGTTGCTGTTCTGAATTCCAACAGTGAGGAAGCACCAATTTCCAATGACAACTAACCTGTGCGTGGTAAGGATGCACAACCCCAACTGGGATACAGAGTATGATTTGCCCCACCTAGCCATTTTCAAAAAGCAGATTTTGAGTGACATGACAACTTTCATTTGAAGACTGCATTCTTGTTTTTTAGAGTAGGAAAATAGTTATAACTGACCTCTCTTGAAACAACCAATAGTGTCTCAGCAGATGTCATCAACAAAGATTTCTCCTGGCTGAAGGCGTGTTTTTCAAAATGATTCTATATTGATGCTTTATTATGGCTTTATTGCCTTATGTGGAGTCCATCAATTATATACAAATTATGTTTTATGATTTTTATTTGAAATACCACTAACGTGTGGAAAATATAAAAAGATTATTATGAATACTAACTTTAAAATCTGCCTGTAGATAATCGGGATCGCACAACACAACAATCTATCATGAGTAACTAGCCAGTGAATTGTCAGTGTCATGCCAACCCCTGGCCACTTCCCGCAGGATAGCATGTTTATAAACAAGTCTTTTGGGCAACCCATGGTTTGCTCTGGTTGTTGTTGTGTCCTCTAAGCACAAGCAATTGCTTGGCCAGTCCCAAGCCCTCAGAGTAATAGACGCTTTAAGGAAAGACAAAAGATCTATGTGTTCTTTTATTGGAAAATTTCACAATATAAAGAAGAGGGGAAAGAATATACAATATTCCTCCATTTATACCCAGTTTCCTAGCAAAAGAAGGCTAACATAGTGGTTCATAAAGATTATTTTAGATATCCCATAATAAAAGTACATCATAGCCTATTAAAAACACTTTCCATATGTCACATATTATTTGTAATTTATTGTTGCTGTACCTGGAAAATATTGCAGCAAAACTCTAGTTGCAGACACACACAAATAGGTGAACCATTCCAGTGCAGTGGCTGTAATAAAAATGGATTTACCAGTTGTGTGGTGGATGGAGTAGGATGAGTTGTGAGATTGTGACTAGCCATGGAAAACAACTACCTGGCATGTAATCTAAACCACTCTTTCTTCATGACTTAACATATTATACATCTAGGGTTCCAAATGAGTACATTGAGGAATCATTGTATAGCTAAATACCAGTAATAAGCTCATGAAGTAAGGGACACTGATAATCATCCCTGGAAAGGATCGAAGAATGACACTATGATTTCACATTTTGTTTGTAGCATTATCAAGCAGAGACTGAGTAACTGCCATAAAACAAGACAAAGGGGAAAAAAAGAATAGAACAGAAACTAAACAGACCCACTGAAATATTAATGAGAATGAAAATTAATCTTAACATTATAACCCTTTGTGGTCTCTTGAATAAAATATTTATTAAAGACCCTATTCTGAGGCTCTGAGATTTTTATTATTAGAACGATAATAATGACATTCATAATGGTATGTAAACAAGACTTGCTTTGTTCAAATATTGATAACGAAAGACTGATCAAGCTTATTTGACAGGAATGTTGAATTTGTATTAGAATAGGTGGGCAAGTCATTTCAGCAATGGCTAGGATTAAATTTGCTCTTTAAAAGTTCAAATTGTTCTTGAAAGTCAAGTAATTAATAATATGCACACTTCACTTGCAGGAATTCTCAAAATCCTAAACACAAAAGTGTTATTTTACATAATTTTAAAAAGGAAAACAATCCATTGGACTAGGATATTGGGGAGGGGGGTTAATGAGTAAATAAAAAGATCAGACAAGGTGCATTAGATCAAAGTTTGATTCCAGAGTTTCACTATGAGAAGTACCATAAACGGAGGGTGAGGACTGAAAATGATAGTTGATCATAATTTCCCTCCTGACACTCTAAATATAATTGCGCAGAGGTAGTAGAGGTAACAGCAATACAAGAGCCCACATTTTCACAGTCTGATAACCTAGGTGATTACCTTTTTCTGCTTGTCTTTCTCCCTGCTATGGGCAGAAATAATATGAGCTCTGGAATTACTATAGTGTGTACATGAACATTCATTTTCCAGGTGATTGCATTTGAATTAGGGTGCTATCACAAACTGCTCTAAACACACCTTTTAGCTTCCATTGCACTATTTATGAATATGTGTATGTACATGATTGCAATACACAATCATTCTGCCTGCAGGTGGAAAAGCACCAAGGAGGGGTGGTTGGGGTATTTGTAAAGTAAATATGGCCCCCAAGACATAGGGAACATGTTTACGCAGTCCACCCCCTCTAGTTCA